TATAGGGTCCTCTATCACCCCGAAATTGCCGTATGGGTCCTCTTTCCAATTCAGATTCAAAATCTGTAGTCCCTGCAAGATCTGTTTGCCTTCCACTACTGTGCCGCCATCCGCCACCCCAACCCCAACTTCCTCCACACAACTTCACTGCCAAACTTTTCCAAACTGCAAGGTGGGTCACCAAGCTCCGTATATACAGTAAGTACTATACCGAATGTGTAGGAATCAATGCGACATTTTAGGGTTGTATTTGGCCTAAAGCCTGGCTCCCACAATGCGACGCTAGACTTTCGTTTCGTTTTTCGTCAGCTACAGTCGTATCGTCAATTTGTGAACAGCGCAGCGCGTTGACGAAAGACTGAGACGAAACGAAACGAAAGCCTAGTGTCGTATTGTGAACCAAGCTTATGTAATTCTTTGTGTGTACTACTCACAGACGAGTTGGAGAGGCTAAAGTTGACTGATGGTCCAGTGTGGCACGTGTCGTCAGTTCTTGAAAATAGTGAGTCACTCCACTCCTTCCCTCCATCTTCATCTTACCTTCCTCCCATACTCCCCCCTCCCCCTCAGACCCAGAACTGACTCCGAGCTACCCGAGACAGGTCATCGTCCCTCGCTGTATCCCTGATCTGGACCTCCTGAGGGGGGCAAAGCTGTACCGACAGGGCCGGTTCCCAACCCTCACCTGGTGCCGACAGGATGGCGGAGTCTTCCTCCTCAGAGCTGCCCCTACCCTCTCTCACAGGTGGAGCTCCTCTCACACCCTCTACTCACCTCCATTAGGCTAAGTTCACATTACATCACCTGTCGCACCGTGCCGTGTTGCCGCGTAGAATCCATTTCTATCTAACCAGCATGACGCAGGGACGCGGCACGGCGCGCACGGCAGGGCAATACGACATATTGTGAACCTAGCCTTACTTGTGTATGGAGAGGGAACCATACCTACCTACCTATGTATGTAAGTCATGCGAAATGCGAAAATCTCTTACATAAATCGCTCTGCAGTATTATGCTAGGTTCACAATATGTCGCACTGCTCCGTCGTGCCGTGCTGCTTTGTCACCCCGCGAGGATATTTCTATCATCGCGGCAGCGGCACGGCGCGAGGATATTTCTATCATTGCGGCAGGATGCGACGCGGCAAGGCACGGCATGGCGCGACGGAGCAATGCGACATATTGTGAACCTAGCCTTTGTCTGAACTGCCTAACTTATTTTACATGCTCATCGCACGATTAATTTGTTACGTTTTCGTTTCACTGTACGACTGTTATCGCCACCTTTCCCCACCCCCACACACCCCGCACTTCTGCACCCTTTCTCGTGTACAGAGGGCACTCTGGCAGTACAGACATGCGTCTAGACGAAACCATACTACAGGCAGTGTGCGTCTCCACGGAGAAGACTCGCGGCAGTACGAAGCTCTACATCTTCACTGAGAAACCTGACTCCACCCCCACCGCGTAAGCTCCTTTCTTCTTCCATCTTTGCTCGCCAATCACATGTTTGTTACTCACACACACACCACACACACTCACACACCACAGACTGAGCGATCCAATGCACACTAGTCTAACGGCGGCCCAGAAGAGAGCCTACTACTACCACAACTGTCAGTTCGAGTACATCGTCTCCCCGCCAACCTTCAAAAACATCCGTCACAGCTTCCGGAAACTCTCTGCTCTTCTCGAGGAAAACAAAGTGTAATTGCAGTTCTAGAGATTTCATGGAGGGGAGGGGAGAGGAGGCAGGAGGGGTGTGTAAAGGGGGGCCTTTAGAACCCTTTCAAGGAATCTAAGCCGTAATTCTCACTGACAAAAAACAGAATGTTTTGGCCTCATCGGCCATCCTCGGCTGATAACTAAAACGAACCTCGCCCTTTCCCTGATCTTTTCCTTGATCTTTAGCTACACGATAGAGAAGAAACTATGAGTAGGATCGCAATGTGTCATTAACCCCGTGTTAATGTGGTAAACCTTGACTTTGCCCTCATCCTGCCCACTTTTCTTTTCTCTCCCTCCCTTCCTCTGTTTCTTTTCCCCTCTTCTCTCCCCTCTACTCTCCCCACTTCCTCCGTCCGTCTCTCACCAGAGGAGAAGACGAGTTTCTGATAGCTCTGGACGACACCCAGTGGCTCTACAGGGTGCAGGAGCTCCTGCAGACTGCTGCAGGCGTGGTGGGTAAACTGGAGGAGGAGAGAGCTTCTGTCCTCGTCTCCTATGACTCTGGCTGGGACAGAACCACTCAGGTTATTAACGTACTCAGCCCCGCACGTCTGTAGTGTTGCAATGCATATCATCTCCCTGCTTGCTAAAAGGGACCTTCGAAATGAAGGACACCTCTCTATAATGGACACTTGATTCTGCCCCATACTAATATATTAGTGTATGATTCTGCCCCATACTAATACATTAGTAAAGGACACATCTACATCAATGAGTTTCAATGTCCTCAAGATACTGCACTCCTACATATGTAGCTGTGGCAGTGTTACACAAATTACCACTGTAGCAGTAGTACTTCTGTTGGCTGGTCCAGAGTGCGTGGTGGCAGAATGGACTTCGAACTAATGCACATCCTTTACTAAACACAGCACTCACTCACTGTGCAGCATGTCCTCGAGTATCTGAACTACAGCATGTCCTCGAGTATCTAAACTACAGCATATCTGAACTACAGCATGTCCTCGAGTATCTGAACTACAGCGTGACACGTGAACGTCTCATGCACTGCCAACTCAGAAACAGTGTCAATTCGACCCCCGAACCATCCACCTTCCTAATCGCGCGACACATTCAAAGCTCACTTTCCCCCTTAGAGCGCCGTTGTTAAGATGTTTTTGCGATATTCAACGCGGTGTAGCCCCCACTTTCACCACTGATTGATACACATGCACACGGCCCTGTAGTCTGTGTCCCTTTGCCCTTTCATAGTCGTTCAATAAATCCCTGTGACTCCTGAATGGCTGAATTCACCCGATTTATACGTGTGTGTGTGTAATCCGTGTGTATCAACCTGTCGTGTGTGTGTGCGTAGCCAGTTACTCTAACTCTCCTCCCCTTCCTCTCTCCTCTCTCCTCCTCCCGCCCTCCCCCCTCCCTCCTCTCCTTCCCTGCTCGTTTGCTAATTTTCAGATCACAAGCCTCGCTCAGCTCCTAGTGGATCCATTCTACAGGACAATGAACGGCTTTCAGGTTGGTGAGTGTGTGTTTGCGTTCCTCGCCAGTCACTAGAAATTCTTCTTGCCTATCTGTGTTTCAACCATTATGATATCAAATGTGACAGTTTTTTTTTCACAACTTGTTCTACTTTGAACCCCTCACAGTTCACCCCACACCCAAGGCCGTGAAAAATAAATTGTAAAAAAAATTTTTTGGGGGCAGTGTGCTACACTTTCGGGGCTTGTGCATTTGAAGATTAAAATGTTAATAGTTCATGATAATATATCAATTCATGAATAATCATGAAATATCGTATTGACCTGTGTTACATGGATCACATCAACCTGCTGTTTTCTCTCCTGTAGATATTGGTTCAGAAGGAGTGGCTGTGGTTTGGTCATCCATTTGAATCTCGACACACTCGCCACGGGAGAGTCAAGGACGACGGACCAGTGTTTCTGCAGTGGGTCGACTGTGTCTGGCAGGTGGGACCTCTCTCCTTCCTCCTTCTCTCTTCCCTCTTCCTTCTCTCTCTTCCCCTCTCTCCCTCTCCCTTTCTCTGATCTCTCTCTCTCTCTCTCTCTCTCTCTGATATCCCCTCTCTCCATTTCTTCTCCCCCCCCCTCTCTCTCTCATCTTCCTCAAATTTACAACCTCACTGTATCTCACTGTAGGTATTTCATCAGTGTCCCTCTGCATTTGAGTTCAACGAGAAATTCCTAATGGTAAGTACGTACATAGGATATGTTCCCCTCTCGTGGAGAAACTGTGTGTGCCAAACAAATAATTGATTTTCTGGTAATTAATGGGTAATTAAGGTTAAAACGGAAGTAGACAGGCAACAAGCACGCGCATACAAAACAGACGTGCAGCGCAACAGTGCTCACACTATCGCATAGAGCAGTGTTTGCAGCAAACACTGCTCTACGCGATAGTGTGAGCACTGTTGCGCTTCCTCTTACCAACTTTCTCAATGAATATCGTTATGAGATTCCCACATGTTTCTTTAGCGCTAAATGTAAATGCTTGGCCTTTTCAGATGCTGTAGCTGGCCATGGCGTTTACTCCATACCCATCCTCTTTTTCATACACTGTACCATTTTCGATCAACAAAACTGTCGAAATTCGCAGGAAAACACGCAAAAGGCCTTATCAGGGCGTGGGGAAAGCACGGGAATGAACACACACAAGGAAGAGAGCGTAGTGGCGATAGGGAGGGGTGCGGGTCAGGTGTTAAAAAAGGGGAGGGTGGTTTTTTCAGGCCGGATTTACGGTACTCGTGAGGTGTGATGAATATTCTCGGGAACTTCTTATCATCTCTCCGTCTCTAGTTCCTCGTAATTCAATAATAGCCACGGGAGGAGGTGATGTGTAAACATTTAGAGCACACCACATAGTTGTGATTGTTTCCACTAAAAAGTCTGTTTTTAAATATTTTGTGTACTAGATTTACGTGCCTACAGACACCAAACACTTTAATAAGGACACATTGTCTTTCTCTAAGAGAACAGTTCTTGCATGGAATTGAACCCCTGAACTAAGGACACCTCTCTAAAAAGACACGTTGTTTTTGTCCAGATTAGAGGAGTTCCACTATCTCCATGCGGTCCTCACTTCACCTTTCTTCTCCTCACTCTCTACTCTTGTATCTCTTCCCCCCCTCTCCTTTGCTCCCTTCCTCCCTCCCTCCCTCCCCCTCCCTCCCTCCCTCTAGGTGATGGTGGAGAGTTCGTATTCAGGGCAGTTTGGATCTTTCCTTCTCAACAATGAACAGGAGAGACACAAGGTATACACACATGTCACCATTACAACTCAGCCATCACTTATTTTTTGAGAAAGCTCTTCGTTCTGATTGGGGACTATTCACAAAATTCAAAAAGTCATACACCTCAGAAATTTTGCTCTATAATTGTACGGTGAAAAACTTTGACCCCTGATGGGATACATTTTCTTCCCCCAAGAACAGCTCTTGCGTGCAACGTAACCCCTGATATAAGGACGCCGCACTAATATTGACGCTTTCTTCCGTCCCGTTGGTGTCTGGATTAGAGGGGTCTCCACTATAGTATAGGTCTACCGCTGTGTATGTGTGTCTGTGTCTGTCCCTGCAGACATTGGCTGACGAGGCACACAAGCACAAGAGCGTGGCGACACACACCCTCTCGTTCTGGACCTGGGTTGGCATGGTCAACGCAGCTGGAAGAACCTTCTTCAACCATCTCTATGACCCTCACACCTACCCATGGTATGGTATGGTAAAGACTCTTACTTGGCCTATATTACAGCTCTATTTGTATCGCTGGATTGAACTTATGATGGATTGCAGGGGATTATTATGCTCCATATCGAGAACCCAGCAACTATGTGTGCTCATGGCTGATATAATTTTTTAGGGGTAGAAACGAAAAAATGTGTTGCCATAATGGGTTTATGAATGGTGGGGGCAAAAATTGTACTCTTCACGGGTGCTATATTGTGTGTGCAGCAAAAATGCACCAATGGAGGTTTTCAAGCTGCCTTCCAGCTGGGTTAGATTCTGAGCGTAGCCACACACGCGTGTGGCACACCGCGATACAACTCGTGCAGCACACGACCCTGCAGTGCGTAGTAGTAGTTTGGGGAAGATGGTCTCGTGTTTGCTGTTCTCCTCCCCTCTCTCCCAACACATCTCATCCCCAATCAGACTCACCCTATAATCGCACACTCGTCTACATACCTGCTGGCGCCACGGCAGTGTACACCACAGCTCACGTCTGTGTATATAGCTAGGTCAGCCTTAGTCTATGCCGTATTTGTGCAGTCCCTTATGCCCCCTCCTTTTCTCTCTCTTTCTTCCCCTGTCTGCAACAAGCATCTCGAGCTGTTTAAGAAGTACACTTTTGCAGCCTCCAAACTGGTTTACTCCCTCCTTCTCTTAGAAGTGCAGTAGTAACGATTTTGATTTTCATTTCATTCATGGACAGTGGAATGGCAGTATATACTCGTTCTAGTGGCCTTCGCTTTGAGCAGTTGAATGCTACTAAAGAATGTACAGTGGAATGTGTACTAGAAGGGAGAGTAGGCAGTTGGCCAGTTCCTCTGCTATATTCTGAACCTCCTGTGCCAGCCTTGGCCTGTGTATGCGGTCCATCATCCTGATGTGACAGTAGAAGCTTTGACCCTATTACTATTCTACTCTATGCGTCTACCGTATCTGCCTTGATTCTTGCACCGGGTGCAACATTACTGTTTCATTTTCGCGCGCGTGTGTGTGTGTGATCCGTTTGATTCTGTCTACTCAGTCGAATCGTTTACTTTTCCCGAAAGAAAAGTGCCTTGAGCAAGCATCCCAGGCGTCAGCTGTTTTTGGGCCGTAGTCAAAACAAACGCCAACATTTATATTGTTTTGTCTCATTGTGTCCCTTCCCCTCCCCTGTAGCTCGTTATGCAATTCCTCTGTGCATTGTGTGGATTTATTACTCCCTGCATGAAAGGAAAGGTTAATTTCCTCTCCATACCGCCACTGTTTGTTTTCCCTCCTCTTCCATTGACAACGATATCCCATCTCGACCCTGATCCCCTGTGTAACCGCATACCGTCACCGTACACATGGCTTATTACGTAATGAAGATTTCGTGATGAGTGTTTTTTTTTTAACTGCAAGAAGAAATCACCGTGGTGTGTCGGTGCATTCGGAGAAAATTAGGCTGCGAAATTCATTTTGCTTACCTGTCAACATAAATTAAACCCTGTACGGTATAATATTATAAAACAGTGACTGTTGTGTGTGCGGTGTAAGTGTGTTCACACCCGGTTGAGATGTGTGTGCTAAGAAAACACACGAGGAGCGATACTTGGAGGAGACGGGGCGGTGTCTGTCTGCGTGTCCTGTGGTCTTCCCGAGCAGCCGCCGAGTCAGCTGACCCCGACAACACCACACACATTCCGAGTGGTCTGCGTTGTCGTGACAGCGCCTCGTCTGTGTGATGTAGCCACAGGGGTTGGTCCTGTGCTCGACAACCCCCCTCCTTGCGCGATACTCTATCTTCCTCCGTTTCACTACCTCTCTCACACCCGAACTGCAACTGTGGTTTTGTGGACCCAGTTGAGGTTTCTTCTGTCGTCCTCTGTTGCAGCTGCCCGCTCCGTGAGCTGTGTAATCACACCTTCCCGTCGGTTTTGATTGGAGGGTCCTCTCCCAAGGATTGTGTGGGAGGTTGTGTGGGGAAGTCGTTACAGCTGGTTCCCATTATTCAAACTTCTCACGGGCACACCCTCACCCACTCTCTCCCTCTCTCTCTCTGTCTCTCTCTGTCTTTTGTTCACTGTATATACCAATCCTCTATTTGGCCTTGTACTACCACTAGCATATCGCATTGCTAGCAAACTTTTGGCAAGTGAATCCAAACATAGGGCATTTACTTTGTGCAACAACTTTTCCACGATTTTTGCTCATGTGCAGTTAAACTTGCTTTGATTTACGGCAGTGACTGTGTGAATTTCACACTTTATGGCTGTTTTGAGGGTCTCCAATAGAATTCTATGGGTGGGGCTGAGTATTTCAACTAATTATCATTTCCTACTCATTTCCTGAAAGTGTTTTAGTACATAGTTCCCTCAGAAAGTGTCCCTCTGAAAGTGTCCCTCTGAAATCTTGTGTGTAAATGAAGCTACGGAATAGATTGCCTGCTGTAGTTTTGAGGGGAGTGTAATTACTCAACACCTATCCCACGTATTGGACAAGGAGCCAGGCCCGGCTACTCTGTGACTCTCTGTTTTCGAGAAAAGTGTCAGTGTCGGTAGACTTTTTGACTTCTGTTATCCCAAATTTTGCTCATTCCCGAATTTAGCCTTTCGACAACGAAGGTGACCGCAATTGGCAATTAGTATATTACACCAATTCGCGTTCTTATTATAATTTTTTTGTTTGCGCAATAGTGGGCCTTCAGTGGACGTGTAATGCATGGTGGCCAACGCACGCGTGTCCTGCCGTGCATTACTGCGTGATTTGGTTTATCTTTTGCCATATGTCGGTGTGCATCACACGGACGGACAAAGGGGGATTGGGAGAGCTATTATTCGCTGCTTCGTTCCGTTGCAACGCAATCAGTCGGCTGTTATTCCCCCCTAAATTGTCACACGGTGCGTGTGTATACTGCTGAGTGGTGTGTTATGTGAGTCTCATGCCAGTGGTTATGAGGCAACTTGCCACAGAGCAAATATCCCACCTGAAATATCCTCCGTTTTGACTGTCTGGCGGGCACAGATTGCCTCCCGTTACGTACGTTGTTTTCAATCAGATCATGCACGAGTCCCAGGTGGTTAGTCATACGCATGCAGTATAGCTGGATCCGTGGAAATGTTCCCTGGGGGCTCTGTCTCGTTATTGCACTATTAGTAGGGTACAACTCGGTTTACACATCATCGCACACATGACTCACACAATATGTACACCGTTTTAACAGTAATGACAGGGAGCGGTGGGCATGATTGGCTAGACGTCTACGATATTCGACCCTCGTCTGTTGGTGTGTTGGAAAATATGCAAAACTGGGATTCCAGCCACTTAGCGCTTGCCCGGCCCAAGCTTGTTTTAGTCTGAGGCCGAATTACACGGTCTGGTAGAGGTACAGAATGGTATTAGAGCATTTTCTCAGAAGTTTATCATAACTGGTTTCAGGTTGGGCAGTTGTTGCTTCCCCCCGCTTGACTTTCGTGAGCATTTCTCTCCCTGTGTGTCCCCGGATTTGTGTTTCAGCTTCTCCTCCCCCCTCTCACTGTCTCTCGCCATCTCTCCTCTCCCTCCTCCTCCCTCTCTCTCTCTCTCATCATTTCTTGTGAAGTGCGTGGGGTGTGTGCGCTGCCATTGTCTCCCTATTTCCCCTTCCCTCTGTCTTTTGTAGTGTGTACACACCGTGTGTGGAGGTGTGTAGGGGTATCTCCCTTTTGGTCCTCTGTTGTGGGTGCACTTAACCCTTCATCTTCTCCTTCCCCCGCCTCATTTCACAAACACACACATGCACACATACACGCACGCACACATGCACACACACACATTCGTTCACAGGGTCATTTATCCCAACTGTGCCGTTCCATGCCTGAAGCTGTGGACGAGACACTACTCACAGAGCAAGTATCAGGTATATAATACGTTCACCAAACAGGGTGGCATATATACTACTATCTAGCAGTTTAATTAATACAAGAGAGCTAATAAAGAAAGAAGTACAGTGGAACCCCCTAATCCAGGCACTAATGGGACAGAAGAAAGTGTGAGGTGTCCTTGTTAAAGTTAACCCAAAACATTTTGTGAAGAGAGAAAGATGTACTTAATATAGAGCTGTAAGTGTCATCAGACCAGAAGTGTCCTTAGAGAGGTATTTGGAGCATATAGTCTTTTGAAGGGACTAACAGAATGCCTTGATGTGAAATGCCCCGCCTTTTTCCCAACGGAAACTTCTAGAAAACAGGGTGTGATCTTGTCTTCAGAGGTGTCCCCAGTCAACCATTTTCCCATGCACAATTCAATCGTGTAGCCACCTTGTAAACTATTAAAAATGATGCTTGTCGTTTGCTGTATGTAAGAATCTTTGATGCAAAGTCTGTGATGAACGAACGTACGTGTAAGCCACGACAATATACTTGCTCCTATGGCAACACCGCAGCAACGCACCGGTAGGCAGGCAGGCAGGCAGCAGGAGAGGGACGCAGAGTCCGCAATATTTACATGTCTTGTGTAATGCCATTTGTCGACATGGAGTCGTTGCCTGATTGGACGATCTTGCCGTGTACTTGCGTACATAGTAACACAGTCTCCAGCTAGCTGTGTATACAGGCTCTGGTGGTCACACTATTTTGACTTTGCGTATATATACTGCTTTGATAGAGTCCAGAGCCTGGGCTCCATGCCATATACAGTGTGTTGCATAGCTACATACATACATACATACTGGTACATACATACAGCTACATACATACATACTGGTACATACATACTGGTACATACATACATACTGGTACATACATACTGGTACATAAAGGCCGAGAATTGAACGTATTCATTGAGGCCAGACTATCAGAAAATAGGCTGGTGGATATTTGATATTTTTATTCATACATTCTCGTGTGTTGTTTGGCTTTTACTTAAGAGCAGTGTAGTGGTGGAATGCTTATTATAATTATGCTGTTTGTATTATATATTATTATTTTGATACGTAGTTGTTTCGTCTTGGTCGAGAGCCTTACTTGCTGGTGTGTGTGTGTGTGTCTTGATCGAGATGTGGTGGTAATTTTAAGCATTCCTGAAGCACGTGTGTGTACCAGAGCCTATTGTCTGGCTGATCTACACACAGCTGACTAGCCGTCTAGTCTATCTACCGCGGAATCTTATGATAGATCCAACATGCACAGGGTAGCATCTGAATACACTTGGTCCTCAACTTTTATATCCTCCACTTTTGCCCACTGCTGCTATATACTAATTTTTAACAACTAGATCAGTAATGTACTATTGAGGCATATCCACACTTATGTACTCTATTTTCATTTTTTCGGGGTCAAAAGTATTATTACAGGAGGAGCCACAGGTTAAGCGTATAGCGTATTATAATAAAAGGAGGTATTTTTTCCGAAAGTTCTTTTTTGATGTTGCTGATAATGTTGCATATGGATCTCTCCCTCCTCCCCTAGCAACACCTGCAGCATTCTGCTAACACAACTCCACTCCAGAAACAATTGGACCAGCTTGTTAGAGAGTATCAGGTAGGGGTCTGCTGATTTACGTGTACATAATATCTCTGATAACATCTCTCCGTGCTGTGGGTTTTATCAACCAGGGGTTGTGCTGTACAACGCATGCATGTGTGTGCGTTTAGTGCTATCTCCAGCCCTCATCTTGTCCGAGTGGAATTTCTGCGTTTTATTCGAGCGCTTGTTTACACGTGTACGCGTGCGTTGTCCTGTATGAGTGGGTGGCTGGCGGCTTAGCTATTGTAGGGAAGCCTTTTGCGTGGGTGTATCTCCCTCTCTCTCTCTCTCTCTCTCTCTCTCTCTCTCTCTCTCTTTGTCTCTCTCTCTTCTCTCTCTCTCTCTTCTCTCCCTCTCTCTCTCATCTCTCCTCTCTCCTTCTCACTCGCTCTCTCTCATCTCTACTCTGCTCTCTTTTCTCCTCTCTCTCTCTCTCTCTCTCTTTGTCTCTTTCTGTCTCTCTCTGTCTCGCAGATGTTAAGCAGTAAGACAGAAGTGGGGACCTCTCCCCGAACTCCATCTATAGCCCTTCCTCCTGCAATAGCAGGTATGTAAAGTATCTACAGTCCTACATTCAGCTAATGTGTGGTCCAACACATACTCTGGCTGTGTTACTAAACTTTCTCCTTACCTCACACACTTTAACACCTCGCCTATATGATTCATGCCCTACTGTCTCTGACCCCATAGCACAGTTAGAGAGCCCCTACTGAATATAGAACTCTGGAATAGGTATTCCTCTGACCCCAAGCACGTTAGGAGCCCCATGAATATGAACTCTGAAAGAGGTGATGTACACAGTTAGAGCCCTACTGAGTATAAACTCTGAAAGAAGTTAAGTTGTTGAGTAGCTGCCGATGGTCATGTGGTAGCTATGGGGTGGGCCAATAAAAGTCAGACCCGAAAGAGTGCCTAAGCGAGTGTAGCCAGTCGAGGAGGAAGCCCCTCCAATGAAAACCCAGCCGACCTGATAAGCCGGTCGAGAAAAAAAGATAAGCTGTTAAACCTTTTCCATCTGTCAGTTATTTCATGGCGGAGTTTCCAGGAATAACACACACCCCCTCCGCCCCCCTTTTCCAACAAAACTAACACTCTATATACACGTGCAAATCACTGTTCAATTGCAACATGTACTATATACACTGGCGACGTAATGCTGCAGAGTCCATTTAGTGAACCTATGCCGCTAAAATTAGCATTTGCTCTATTGTTAAAATTGTTAACTTTTGGTTACCGCATTTTAAAGAGGTGAGAGAGAGTGAAAGAGGTGAAAGAGCATTAAGGGAAAGACACGAAGATTGACTCCTCAATATGTTTAGTGTTGGTGGGTTTCACACAGCCAGCCGTGGGGTGGTGGGGCTCCTTTGGAAGGGGACTGAAGGAATTCATTTTTTAATCGCGCGGCGGAGTGTCCAAGCGGCATTTTCCAGTTTCATTTTCTGGTCCCTTGATTGCGGCTGAAGGCCAGGACGGACTTCTGTGCTATTTAGAATTTAATACCTCCTTCAAGTCCAGCCCTAAAGGCTACCCCAAACATTTTCCACTTGTGATAACCGCGCTTTTTGGAAAGAGTTTTTCCGCCCATTGGCAACTTTGCAGCTGGCGACAGCTATGTACACAGGCACCGCATATTGATGTATTTATAGTGTATTTAGTGTAAGGTGAACCCCTACCTGCTGAGATGCCCTGGTAGCTCAGTTGGTAGAGCACTCGCTTAGACTGCTGAGTGTCGTGGGTTCGAATGCTGCCCAGTTCCTATGGGGATCTAGTTGTGTTGTTTGGTGTTATGCGTTGACACATGGTGTGTGTGTGTGCGTGTGTGTGTGTGATCGTACAGATAAGGAACCGCAGAGGAACTCCTTCGGGCTGGAGAGGGAGAGGGAGAGAGTGCGGCAGTCGGGGCGCTCCATCCGCAGCAAAACACCGGCTCACTGCCAGAACATTCAAGAGTACCTAACGTCTCAAGGTTTGCGAAAGGCTTTCTGCACATGAAACTACGACTGATTTTACTCCCAGTGTATATATATATATTAATATATCTCTCTCCTCTCTTCTCTTGTTCTTCACTTCTCTCTCACTTCTTCTCTCCCCCCTCTCATCCCCTCTTTCTCCACCCTCCTTTCTCCCCCCCTCTCCCTACCAGGAATTGATTGCTCAGTATGCAAGCACGCCGTGATAGTTGGAAACACTTGTCAAGGGCTCCTTGTCAAACTAGGAGGTGGGCTGGCATTCCAGCTTTGTCCTCTGTTTACTTTTCCCCCACGTTCTCAATAGCCCCAGCAAAACCTTTTGTTTAACTACACATGCTTAACACTTGTCCGACACATAATTTGTCTTTTGTGAATACAACTATAGCTCTCAAGTCCTTGCTCACGATATGTTTGTTTTCTCGCAAACTGGAGATAGTGCGCTTGTTTTTAGTTAGACTACTGGTTAATTACGGGGTAAGTTGGCGGGGGGGGAAGGCGTGGTTTTGTATTGTTAGGGCCTATTGGGTGATACATGCGTCTTTGAATAGGCTATGTGTGTATTATGATCCTTTTCCTGCGTACTACTCTAAACTGTGAATCTTATTGGTTTTCATAGGTAGCCAGAAGGTATGCGCCAATGCATCATCGTCTGTTGAATGGTCTCGAAATTTTGTTTCTAGTTTTAAAAACATGTCCACTAATGTCGAGATTCTTCGGCATTTTGTATTTTATGGTTGTGGATAATGTGGTGGTTGTTTTGCTGTTTTACGCAGGAGTTAGAAAACACTGGCAAGAACGATGGTTTGTGTTGGATTTCGCCTCACAACTTCTTACCTACTTTGAGAACAAAGAGGTACATTCCATTATTACCGTATGCACGGTGATGGATGATGTAATGATGATGTAATCGTCATTGTTGCAGGAGTTCACGACCACAGACCGGGGCACGCCGAAGGGGGTCATAGAGCTGACAAACATGACCAGAGTGTGGCAAAACGACCGAAAGAAGGACCACTTGGTGCGACACATCTTCACCGTGGTGACCAAAGACCGGACTTACCTGTTTCGCGCCCCGTCGCTCCTCACGATGCAGATGTGGATAGCGGTACTGAACATGCCACGGACTACAGTGGCGCTTGACTCGTGACCAGTTTACTGGTGTGTGTTTTGAGATTGCACATCCGCACATCGCATAGGGTAATTTTGGTGGCTAGTCACTCACCCCCGCCCACCCTCCCACCGTCAACTTATTGTTAATCATCCTCTTTCTTTCTCTGCTGCTTGTGTCTGTCTTGTTCGCCTGTCCCTCTTCGTGGAAGTGTCACAAGTCACGTATAACGTCAATTATATATATATCATTATGGCTAATCAATAATTACACCACTTCCCTTCATTCGTTTATCACGGAACAGGTGTTTTAGTGTTTTGTGACTCATGAGATTGATTTTTGCATTCAAACGCAGACCGCGTGACAAGGAATCATTGCGCTTGCTTTTTTCAATGAATTGGAGCCTTTAATCATCTGTACATAACCATCTTTATGGCTGTGGGCAGCGTTTTAGTTCACACAGCTATAGCTGCTTGTTCACGTGCGAAACTTAATTGTTGTTAGAAATCTTTTATATTATGTGTATGTGTATATAGGATTTAGCTCTGTGTAAGTGATGACGTGATGATGATACAAAAATAATGATAGCACCTCTATTGACTTCACTGGGTCTCTACAATCGATATAGAACACGGTCGATGTTGATCTGTATATAGTATCGTTATTATGAATGATTAAGCGACTTATTATTTTCTAAGTACAAAAATTAAAGAATGTGGACTACTTTACATGAGGAAGAAAGAAAAATTAAGGAATAAAAACACCCTGCGGTGGCAGTTGGTTGCGACGTTAGGACTTCTTTAGCGTTAAGTTCGCGTTTCAGTTTTGCAGTTTGTGTGTCTCTGTAATTTCAGTGATGGTTGACTGTTGTACCACCTTGCTTTGGTCTGCTTCTGTCGACTGTGGGAAGAGGGGAGAGGGAAGGGGGTAAAATTATTGAACCAACAAAATGTCAAATCTTGCACTGCACCATACTGCGAGGACGGCATGTGACATCGAACCGCTCTCCCTTGCTACAAGCTGGCAACCTAGCCTATTTAGACGCGGAAAATTGAGGGTTTGGGACGAATGGTTGTGTCGTGTTTGCCGTACGCGAGAGAAGTCCTTGTGCGGAGGGTTCTGCAACTGTTGGTGGATTCCGACATGACTGTTTCATGTCCTTGCTACACACAACATTGGGGGCGGGTGTGAAAGGGGCTCTTTTCGTGACTCCCTTCGTTGGGAAAAACGAACCGGAGAATATGTGGAAAAGAAAACCAGCAAGAACGCGCCCCCACTCTGGCAAGGCTCTATGCTTCAACCAAATGGATCCACGTAAAACCCGTTGTGTATCTTTGACCTTGGGTATAATACCTTGGGCTTTCCCCTATAAACATCATTTCGCCCCATTAACTGAATACTGGACCTTCGATTAGACTCACAAGTAGGAGAAAATCTCTCCGGCAGTCCGGAAACTTCTCCGTAGTTGTGGATCTTCTCCTCAGTGTCATGGCGACTGTTGGAGCGCGGGCTGTCGTCGTCGGGACTCTGCGAGCCGAGTCTGGGAGCGTGACCACCGCCGCTGGTCGAGTCATCATCGTGGTAACTGGAGCTTGAGCTTCCTCTTCCACTGGTGCCGTTTTGCAGCGGGGTTGAGGTGCTGCAGTTAGGTCTCTCTTCGTCTTCCTGAGACGCTTTCTTCATTCTCCTCCGACAGTTGGCAAACCACGTGGACACCTGAAGATTGCCCAAGGAGAGAAAGAACTGTAATACGGTGTTAAGTAAGCAAAAAAATTTCTGCAAGGAGTCATTTCTCAAAAGGATTCATTGCTGGACACAGAAACCTGGCTATGTACATACACATATATACACACCCTGCTGCCTCTATGGTTGGCTCTACACACTGTGGGTTGAGTGAATTAGACTTGAAGGCCTGGGTACCCACCACGGCAGTATGTAAACTGTAGTTAGTCCTACACAAACTGCCTCAGGTATACGTATACACCACACGCTGTAAAGTGAGCTGGTATAATATTATGGTTATGGCATTCAGTGCGTGTATATCATAAACACTTGGGAGGCAACGAAGCGTGTGTCATATCGGAGACGAGATGACGTGTCAGGCTAGACATTCCGGAATGCGTGCGCTGTAGCAGACAAACAATTGTCAGACGAAATTCTAGACACTCCCTGTCTAATCACACACCGGTTCAGCTCTGCCGTGCGTATGCATGCATGCGAGTACAGCTAATGTACACTCGTGATGCCGAATGGGGGGTGTACCATACAATGAACAGCACACAGTGGCACGTGTGTCTCCAGAAGATAACATCTACATGTAGTACAAGATGTATGGTGCACGTGTCTATATACACTAGTGGTGTATGTGCACCAAGTGTAACCGTGTATTTCTCAATGTCTTAGTTCACCTCTGTGCTACACACAAAAATTCAGGTTCAGCCCGCGACAAAATTTTTTTGGGTGGTGCTACGGAATTTACCTGTGAAAACTTCCCTGAAAGCACACATATGGCTTCCTAGTTAGTGAAAATTTCTCATTTAGGCCTCTTCCCTATAAAGATCAGCAGATCAGCAAAGGACCCCATTTTCCCCTCAATTATGTCTATACTGTGGCGTGGTTGTGTCTGTGGGTAGCAGCTGACCTGGGTGAACGTGAGGTTGGTTTCCTGACAGAGAACAATCTTGTCGTGTCGAGTCGGGTACGGATGGTCTCTGTGCTCGTCGAACCACTTCTGCAGCGGCGTGGCCCTCTCCGGGGTGAGCTTGTACCGTGGTGAGTCGTAGGAGAGCTTCTGAGTGTGAATGTTGTTGGAGTATCTGCAGAGGGGAAGTGTGTGAGCGTGTGTGTAAGGGCGCAAAACCGAGGTGATTGCCATTTTTCACCAGTGAACATAGGCACGCATTGTTTCAAAGTTTTAATCAGTCTACACCTCCCTCCCCACGCTCTATCTGTATCTAGAGCTAGGTAATTTAAATCGCGCAATCTGATTGGCCAATGCAAATTCACGTAGAGCCTGGAAACTTTCGAATCGAGTTCGGGTCCCCTCTTTTATTTCCTCCCTTCCTCCCTCTCTTCCCGTACTCACTGATTCCAAATTCCGTTGAAAGCCGCGGTCCCTGAAGAGTAGTCGGGAAGTGGCGCCGGGTGTTGAGGATACATGACAACATTAGGCAGAGCCGCATGTGGAGCTCCCGGACTGAAACTGGTGTACGGCGGAGTGAAGCTGTTCAGAGTGGACGGTATGTGTGAGAAGGTGCTCTGGGGAAAGTGATGCTGCGTTAGTCTCGGGAAACCGTTAGTGGAGATCCCGCTTGTCATTGTGGAGAGGAACGTCGGTTTGTGCTGGAGAGGCTGGGAACTGCTGATGAGGACAGAGGGCGTCGCCGGGGGAAACTGAGAAGTGGAGTTCGGGGAGAGGAGCTGGGAGGGTGGGCTGGCGGCCGCGGCGGGGAGCGGGGAGAGGCTGGCTTCGTCCACGGAGCTGATGCGCTGTCTGTGGTGGTGGTTTTCCTCGATGGTGGGAGGTGGGGGAGGAGGAGGGGAGGAGTTCAACTGGCTGTCCAGTGCCTGCTCGTGGTGCTTGGTCTAGATATTGAGTGAAAAGAAACACAATGATTGCAGAGCTGGAAGGCTACACACATACACGTTGGCTGTGTAGAGGTCTTTGTATATTAGAGAGTTCAGTTAAGTGTTTCACAATTGTATTGTTCTGTAGATGTGAAGCCTTATAACTATCTATCTGTAGATTCCGGGGTCGAGGGACTTACTGGTGAAATGAGTTCCTCAGTGCTGTGTCCACCATTCATCTCACTGTAGTGGAGACCCAGCGCGGAGTCTGAGCAGTACGTGTTGACCGCCATGGTGGGAGGGTGAGTCAACGTCATTGTTCCCCCACCGCACCCTCCTCCGTACATGTAGGTGCTGGAGAGGGCGGAAGGCGGAACTGTGAAAGGTAGCTGGTGGTAGTAGGACTGTTTCCCTCCAGGATAGGTGGCCATTTGGAGACTGGCTGCTGCTGTTGTCATGGCCTGTGGCAGGGGGGAGGTGAGGATACCTTGAAAGTTTTTATCAGCGTGAAAGGAGGAAAATCGGAAAGTGAATGTTCGAATTATTCAACTCATTACTGTAGGGATGCACCTCCACCATGCACAACTCGCAGTTAGGTAGTTTTGTGAAAAGTGGCGAGCTATGTACTAGAAAGCAAATCACTGCAACCTATGTAGCTAGTTCACTACTCATGCTATTGGTAGTAGGATCTTACTGGAATTCCTGCAGTGTAAGAAGCTGTCCGCATCTATAATAGCTCGTTCTGCGCCACCGCAGGCAGGGCTTCTAGTCTGCGTGTTGGAGTGCAACAACAGAGTGCATTATTATACGTATAGCTGTCTGAAAGAAAGAACACTGCAGTAGCTATTTTTCTGCTGCATGCAATGCGCTGTACGTGTGATCGGTTCGTGCCCGTATGAACGCCCGCTTACGCCACCGATCGCCTTTTAGACATGCACATACTTCCACAGCTAGCTTTGCAGCTAGCTACGATCTACAGCTCCTTGCATAGACATTTTGCTCAATCACACACATACGGACTGGAAAACGACCAACACGTATGTACGCACCGCTGCTAGCTAATGTGATCTCACCTTCGCTTGAAAACGGTCTTGCTGTAGCTAATACGTGTCACTGACACCTGATGCGTCGGAACTCGCTGCTCTAGCTGTGGATGCACCCAACAACAACAACCGTTAACGTTGCACGATCGCTAACAGTGGAACTAGACAGCTTCTGTGTCTGCATTCATGTTTTTATCCCCAGCGAATCCATCCGACGACGAGGTATCGTCGCGCATAAATAATTAGGGGCGGGGCTCGGCGCGGGGCTCGGCGCGTGCCCATTGGCGCTCTAGCAGATCCGTTGGTGGAAATGGTTCCTGCGTTCTCTGACATTGCCGGTACTCAGGAGAAGGACTCTAGAGCCCTGTTCGATAGCGCTGTGCAGGCATCCGTAGCGCTTGGGGAAGCAGTTCGGCGAAGCTTCGGACCGAACGGTACTCTGAACCCACGTGCTTGTTTGTACCCCGCGCCGCGTGTGCAGCCAGCGCAACTTATAGCGACAGTGTTGTTGTTCTGCGTTGTGTACCTCCATGCACGGACTATTTAGTAACCACCGAGCGTGTGTATGAGTAGCCCTTTCCTACTACCGCTGCAAACACTGCACTACTAGGTATTGACGTGCTCCTGGAGAGTTCAGAGGGACACGTGACCTGCAGCAACTGTGGGCGCCAAATCCTCTCCTCCCTCTCCCTCTCCCACCCAGTATTAACTAACTATGTAGCCATTCGCACCTTTCATGATAACATACAACTTCTCTTTTCTTCCCCGCTAGGTTGGGTCCATCATTTCCAAATCTGTTACCAACTACCACAACAATACAGGTGGAGAAATGGTTAATTGTTCGGTGGGTGGTAAATCATCTGCAACCGACTTTTGTGGTACAGGAGATGGATCGAAGAAGATGCTCTTGGTTCTAAGTGGAACAATGAAAGAGGTTTCACTATCAAGTGGTCATTTTCGCATGTAATGTTGCATTATATTGTGCGTATTTTTTTGGTACAATAGCTGGGCTCATCTGTCCACAGTCTCTCAAAGATAGAAGGTGATGTTGATTTTGTAATTTCTGGAATTTAATTAAAGGGGTTTACTCACACAGTGTCTAATGCGCTACTCTGGCTGAACCAGACTGTCATTCCTGAAGTAACAGCTCGCCTCAGGAAAAATGTAAAAAAAAACTCACTACTGCTGACAGGGGCTATTGTTTATTTCGTGTGTGTAGGTCAAGTTTCCATGTAAGTTAGAAGTGGATTTCGTTTGCTTAATATTCGTTTGTATGCTTATCCACAGAGACACTCCACCTACAATCATCATGCAATACGTTCTCAGAATTCCGAAACCCGAATGAGCAAAATAACAGATTTATACACATTACTTCAGCAGTATATTAATATTATTATTATTATATGCACACATGAGGTGCACTGGAAATCACGTCGTGCTGTTTCTGTTCCTCACAGAAGCCAATCTGTCAAACAGCAAGAGACTCTGAAGACCTGAGACGTATGCTGCTGAAAATAGCCACCTCCTGTGAGTATTACGGAAGTATCGCTATCAACTGAATTGGCCGTTTCCTCAACTGAATCGAAAATGAACGTGGAGTGCTGTACGCCTGTATGGTGGGAAGATATTTTTGCGATGCGGTAATAATTTTGTTGATTGCTTGCCTACACAAAAAAAATAATTCTGTAAAATTTTTCCCTGGAGGGTTGCCCTGACCCCACCTTCAGGAGTAGTAGGAAAAGTTAGAAAAAGTTTGTGCATGCAATAAGCACGATTGAAAGTGTGTATTATATCCCTTTTCAAAACGGGCAGTATCGAAGGTATGTGAAAATAGAAGAGCTATATACTAGTATTCATAGAGTGAAAGGCAGTTGTGTGTTCAGCTTGTAGACAAGACAGTTGACTTGCCCGAATTGTGTTCTGTGTGGCTCTGTGAGACAGTTTCAATCCCGTGTCCACCTGTGTCACGATGTGTTAGTGGGGCGGGCCCGGCTTTGCTGGCTAACAAACTCCTTGTGCTTGTCTTGTGAGTAGAAGACAAGTGTCCCCCGCTGTGTCGGTTCGAAACTTCCACGGAACCTTTTTCACACCTTCAGAGAGCTCACGAAATAACCTCCATGCACAAACTTTGCCCATTTATGTGCGCACACGCAGAGTATTTGAAAGTGGGTAATATCTTGTGCCTAGACCCCGCCCTCTGTCTTCCATGTGGGTGTGGTCTGGGAGCAAGACTGTTTTTCGTATAAAATATGGACGGCTGGCATACAAAGTTACGACAGAGTTAAAGGGAATGTAGGAGTACGTAAGGGCTAAATTTACTAAAGATAGAACTAAGTAATAGGGCCCAGTAATAATAATAATACTCAGGTGGCTGCCATAGCACTAGGGCCATCGACCACGCACCCAGAGCAATTGGGCGGAACCGTTAACAAACGAACACACGCCAATTGTGCAAGAATGCAACTAAGATTCAGTTTTTAGTAACAATTTGGCCCATATCCACTGGCACATTCCCTTTAAGGTAAAAGAGACCTATGTATTATACCAATGTTTCCTATCATCTAGCTAGATTGCTACTATGCCACGGACGGTTTGGTTTAGCCACTATTAATGTTTGTATCTCTTGTCAGGCTATGGGCACTGTTACAGGAGAGAAATATCGCAGAAATTGGGAGAAATTCTATCAGCACTCGTCCACCATTCGTTTTCCACGCTTCATAACACCACTCCTCACTCCATTGGAAAGGTGCCCCTTTCCCCCTTACTGTATATAGTATGTGTATTAGTGTGCTCACTAGCCTTTGGATTTCCGGTCCAATTGCAGATATACAGTGGATCCTCTACTGATAGAGGCCCCTCCAAATACTCTATAAAGGACACTTGACTCTGCCCCATATATACATTAGTGTATCATACTACCTAAGAATATTAAAGGATGTGCCCTATTCCCGTAGCAGGTCAAATATTGCTTCCGACACTTCTGAATAAAGGACACTTTCGACATTCCGAATGTGTCCCTTATTCGGAGTTGTTACTAAGAGCTCCCATTCTAGTGCAGTATTGAGCCGCTACAGTGTGGAGGGTGTGTGTGGGAGTTAGTTACCATGTTACTATGTTTGTTCGTGTTCTCTGTCTGACTCTGCAGTACGTGGAGTTCACTAGGAAGAACATGGCGGTTCTTCTTGTTCCCCAACCCAGTCACTCCTTGTCGGCTGCCCGCACCATTCCTGGGTCAGCCACACACCATTCCTTCCCAGACACCCTCCTCCTCTCCTCTCCTCCTCCTCACACTCCCTCTCCTCCTCCTCCTCCTCACACTCCCTCTCCTCCTCCTCCCCCTCTCCTCTCCTCCCCCCTCTCCTCCTTTCTTCTCTCGTGCCTCATACACCTCTCTGCGTCTGTGTCTCTGTAGCATTGACATCCGACATTGTACGTAGCATTAGCTGTGCGTTAAACCAGCGGGAACCAATTGGAGAAATCGTTTAAAAGATTGTTCATGCAAGTATGTGTGGGTGAAAAGTAAAGTGGGAAAACGTGGTGTGTTTCAAGAAGTTTAGAACAAGATGTGTAGCAGTTAGATGCTACTGTGCATCACCAGGTTGCCTGAAACAGACACAGGATTTTGAACCTGCCCTCCATAATGTCTGCATGGTAGTGGTGGCATAATATAGCGTGTTTAGTGTGCATCACCGCTACATGGTATTGTGGGAGGTCTAACTTGTGTAAACGTTTTAGGATCACATTTTTTCTAACCCCTCCTTTCTCTCTGGTGGATTAACACAGCCTGTTATTAGACCTTAACCTGGTCCACCCACTAATGAGAGACCTGGTCACCGAAGAATGGCAGACGAAAAGGTCAGTTTTTACACCCTCCCCCTCCTGCTAGCATGGTTGGGGAGGTGGGGAGGGACGCTCTGTGAAAACTGTTTTCACAGCAGAGGCGGTGTTGGTAGGAAGTTACGGTGTCTCCTGGTGAGGAGTTGGAGTCCCGAGTCTGATGATGACCACCCCCTCCACTATCTACCCCAGCTGTGGTGGGTGTGTGTGCGCGTGTGATGGTGATATATATATCTATCTGGGTTCTCTTTTTCCCTATTTTATCCTCTCCCTTTTCCATCCTCGTCCCCCTTTAATCATGCTACAGTGTAAACAGTCTAGGCGGCGTTGCCAAAGTTGCTGAGAGTTTCTCCCGTCAACTTCAAGAAACTGTTTCGCTACTCAAGGCTGCTGATATACAGTAATCCTTTCTTTCTTGTCCTCTCTTCTCTCTTGACGCGTACTTTTTCAGTGACTCTCCTGAATCTGAATATTACCTGTTATCCCCATTTTCTCCCTCTCTTTTTTCTCACCCCCTCTTCCCCTTACTTAGATCCACTACCTAAACCGATTATTGCACTCCCCGACCAATTTTCAAACACACGCTCCCATCAGGTTGATCCTGTCTGGTGACAAGATTCCTACCGGTGCAAGATACGTTCTCAGGGAGCGCGGGATTCTTGCATTCGAAGTGAGTAAACGTCTCTTTCGTTGTTTCACCAGCAGCAGGAGTGTGGGGACCCTATAGTACATGTACACCCGAAGTCGATACCAACAGCTATGAACACGCTGTAAACCGTCGCGTACAACTGCGCAGGCACGCAGGGAGGAGGAAGATAAAAAAACGCCGCTGGTTGACAACATATCGAGAGACTTGCTGTCGTATGGTCCAGTGAGCGTCTCACGATGCCAGGCAAGGGAACATGGCCCCAGGAATGTGTAGCGGCCTGGGGTCAGGTCTTGATGTTTCCAAAGAAGAGGGACACAGACAAGCATACACATAATACATGTAGAGCTGATTTCCTCTTCCAGTCTACCAGGCATGAGATCAGGAGCGATTAAATGCGCCGGGTTATTTAATCCGAGGTAACCCGGTGAAGAAGTTATCCGTATAGAGTGCGAAGTCCAGGAAACACCAATGAATTAACACACACACACACATGTGTGTACACATTATCTGCATAACTAATCGGTATTGTCCAACAGTATGACTCTGCACCTCCATCCAGCCCTGATGCCCTCCATATAAAAAAAACCTCTTACATGAACCGATGTCACATTACAGAGCACTCTACAATGACCGACAATAACCCGTTGTAACACGAAGATGTGTGTCAATGTCGTATGGTTTATGTAGGTGGTTTCAGAGGGTTTTGTTGACGTGCTGTCTGAGTGTTGCTCCATACATCCTCTGTCTACAATCCATGAAATGGTACGATATAGCGTCCTACTATCTGTAGTGTGTAGTCTCCTGTTAGCTACAGTTGCGTCTACTGTTTTAGCTAAGGTTATTGGCTACCTTAGCTCGCTGTTGTGACTCCCGTGTCTAGTGAACATGTATTTAGCTAGTTTAGTCTTGTGTTAGCTAGCTCTCCCTCCCTCCCTCTCTCTCTCTCTCTCTCTCTCTCTCTCATTTAGAGAGACTCATCGTCTGCCATAGGTTCCTCTGTCTGGCTCTCCTTCTCCCTCGTCTCCATGGAAACCAACAAACAGTGTGTACATTGACTACTGTATGTATACACACAGACACACTAAAATTAATAGGGGTTTTCTCTGGAATGCAACTTTGTGTGTGCGGCCTGTAAACGATGTAGGCTCCCTGTAAAAATGCTGTGCTGTGTAACACACTGGCATGTTTCGTTGTGCGTGCACTGCAGCTATTATATAGGCCGATTCCAGCCTGTCTAGCCTCCTCGTCTGCTCTTCCTGTAGCTAGCGGGAGCCGGCTCTGTTTATCGGTCTGGACCGGGGCCCCAGACAGACAGACAGGCTGCACACATACTATACTAAACCAGGCCCTCTCTACACAGTGAGGTGTGGTTTAGAGTCTCTAACGATATTCATTGGTTGGTTTAGGCTCCCTGGAGATGATTCATGGTGCGTTCAGCTGTTAGGTAGCCTAGCCGTTGGTCCTGGCTGCAGTCTCAGCTGAGTGCCTCGATCCAGCAGTAAATATTATTATTCTCCTGTTCAGGTTCGTTTGTTTGGAGCCGCCTCCTGAAGTCCACTTACGGTGAGTGAGTAAAGTTATTGATTGAGGAGGATTGAGGGGGGAGAAGATAAGTATATAGTATTGAGGCAGGAAAGATGGTGAAGTGAGGCATATACAGTGCTTTATAAAAGGCACACATAATAATAGTGTATCTGCAGACTGTGGAATGCGAAAATTGTAGGCATGTCATGGATTGTTGGTCTGTTATGAAGGAAATTTGTGGAAAAAATCGCTTCTGGTTAATTAAGTGAGCATGTATGTGAAGAACTGTCCTGGGTGTCCTGTTTATCAGTCTGGTTGACTTGTTTTCTTTGTCGTAGACACGTGTAATAATGGTCTTCGTATCGTCTTCTTGTTCACAGTCCATTGAGTGTGGTCCTCTGTGCACCGACAGCTGGTTTGTGTCGTCAGCTCCAGCAACGGCTCTCCAACGTCCTCCGTGTGGTGGGCGGAGTATGTTGCCACGACGACGACGATGACCCTCCTGCTGTCGTCCTGGGAGGCGGGGCCTGGGAGATTGCACTGATAAGAGAGCTGGAGATCTTCAAGAAACACCAGAACCTCGTCAAGTATGCCTCATGCTAGAAGCCGAGAAGTTCTTAAACTGGTAGACAAATCAAAGCCTTTTCTCTCTTTATGCGTGTGTCACTTTCTGCATGATAATAATATAAGTGGCTTGTTATATTATGCAGATATTCTCCTAAGTGGGTAGCAGTGAATGCCTTTCAGAAGGTTGGTGGTCTAATGTGTACGATATTATAATAGGGTTATTTCGTCAGGGCAAAAATCTGTTCTTTGATAGTTTATCGTTTGCGTACAGGGGCTTCTGTCAGTCCCCCACTCCCTCCTCACCTCCTCTGTCCCCTCTCACGCCCGCAACCCCCTCTCCCTGCGCACCCTCTACTGTGGTTCCTTCACCACGACAGCAGACCTGCCTTACCTCGCCGTGGACTGCCTCAATGGTTAGCCATGCAGTCAGATAGGGAGGGGGAGAGGGAAGGTGACAGAGAGGGGGTGAATGTGATTGGTCATTACTGCAGGGGTTCTTGTGGAGGTTGACGAGCAGTGGCCTGTCCTGGAGCCATTTTCCTCACAGTATCCAACAAAATACACTCTCGGCATTCTCATACTCTTCTTACTTACATGATTATCACACACAGGAATGAGTGTAACCATCCTTACTCCTCAAACGATTTAGCCCCTGAACTAACTCATTATGTAATCCGTATGAATAGTGTGTGCATGACATTGGACGTGGAGATTTGTCAGACTCAGGCAGAGTCGGGAAAGAGATGAGTTGAAGTGAACTTAACCATGGTCACCTGCATGGCTGGTAGCACCACACATGCATGGAAGAATTGTGTTTTCACCCACCCCTCCCCTCCCTTCTCATTGCGTCTTTCCTTGACTCTCATCTCCTCCACCAAAGATGCCACCTCCTCCATGCAGTCCTCTCTCTGGCTGCACAACTCACAAGACTGGACCTCATGGCACCTGCCTCCAAGTCACCGTCCACACACGATATCTAGAACTCTACTGGGAACACAATTTAGGGGATTCCTCAGTTTGCAAGATCTCCACTTCACCAAAGATCCTCCCTTTGCTTATTATACATGAGATTTCCTCCTTTTCCTTTGTCAATGCAAAAAGGCATTATAATCTTACTCCACGTAAGAAGTTTTGTGCATTTGTGAACTCCAACAATCATTATACTTGTTTGAGGGCTCCATGTGCAGTAATCTTATAATGTGCAGTAATCTTGGTTTTGTAAAAGTCACTGAGACTGAGACTCTTATGGAGTGATTCATGGTGTGCTGATGAGAGGGCGGAGTGCAAGTTTCGTGATCTGCTGGGGGTCTGGGAACCGCTCCGTCAGTAGAATACCCTGGTCCTGGAACGAGTTCAGCTCAGACACGTACCCAAACCAGTAGATGACCAGTCCAGACCCAAACCTGGAGCAGAACAGAGGTCGAAGACACAGCATCACTACGTCGGTATAACACGGGCTGTTTCAAGAACACAGAATGGCTGTGTAAATCAATGCACTGTTATTTCTTAGGGAGCATGATACTGAATATGTAGATATGTTTGACTAAACAACAGGGCCCTATGCAAGAATTAACCCTTGCTGCCACATTCCCCTTTTGTAATCTGCAGGGTGATTTGCAAAAAGAAACTGGTAACCTACTAGTTTAATTGTCGGTAAGACAGACCTGTTTTGGTAGGACCAGAATTGGTCCTCCATGTATTGTTCGTGACATGTACGGTCGCCGAATGAAGCTTTGCTCTCGATCCAGTTGACAATGTGTCCATCGACAGCTATGGGCACCTCTAGCTTGATATCCGGTGTCTTGTCGTAGCCTCTGGCTCTCAGACCTTCTTCATCTGGCCCAGGGAGGGGAGGGTAGTAAAATTGATGGAGGAGAGGAGAAAAGGGTTCTGCTGCTAATTTTTACACATAGGAGGCTTGGGGGTAGAGGAAGGCAGCTGAATTGGGAAAGGAGAAGGGAGAGTGTGATTAGAGCAAAACAGGCCCACCTAGGAACGGTACTGCCAGCTCCTGAACTTTCTCCCGGAGCAAGAACTCGTATTCATAGCCAACAGATCTGGGGTGGACAATAAATCATTTCAACAACTGCTGGAAACGATGTCATTTAGAATTCTTTATCATCGCACCTCTTGATATTGTCTGCCAAAGGTCCATAGTGTGTGTCCTTAAAGATGCACTGTATATATGATCAATAGAGAAGGTGTAGTCTTTGATCTACCGTAAAATAAATGTTTGCCCAATGCATGTAGAAATTATGAAACTGCCAAATTAAATTCTGTGAAGGTGAGTCAAACTTATGTGAAAATTTAATGGCATACGGTTTTGATGTGGAGCTGCAGGGTTGTGTCAGGAATGGAGAGGGGGTTTTTCATCCACTGGTTGACTAGAGTAGACACCGATACTGTAGTGGGCGTGGTCACAACTTTGGTGGGTGTGGCTAAGGCGGCAGTAGATTTGGTAAAAGTCAGTAGTGTAGAAGTGGTAGTATTGGTAGTCAGTGGTGTAGAAGTGGTAGCATTGGTAGTCGGTGGTGTAGAAGTGGTAGCATTGGTAGTCGGTGGTGTTGAAGTGGTAGCATTGGTAGTCGGTGGTGTTGAAGTGGTAGCAGAGGGGGTGGGGGTGCCACAGGCATTGGAAGCAGTGACAGTAGCAGGTGGAGTGGCAGCTGCTATACTCTCTGCATACTGCTCTAGGATTATTCTGCCATACAGGGCCGGGGAGAGACAGACCTGAAACAAGCGTGTGTGTGTGTGTGGTGAACAAGAAGGGAGGAGGTGCATACTGTGGACACCCCTGAAATGAGGAGACCTCTCTAACAGGTACAACTGTTGAGTTTTCTCCCCCTAAGAGCAAGTGTGTTTAATCCGGCAACTCACTTTCCCATTGGTGTCGAATTATATGGGGTCCATATAACTGAAATGTGGACAAACCTTTTCAGCTAACTGGAGCAAAAGATCACCAGTTCCAGTGCCAGTTTCTCTAGCCACTAGGTAACTGAAAAGATGCACGACCACTAAAAAGATATCTGTCTCGTACAAAAATATGCACCTCTGATAGTATTCCAGCTTCGTCTTGAGTTTGTTGTGCTGCCAGTAAGTGCGTTTTGTGTGTAGCTGTGAAGAGAGAGAACACAGTTATAGTTGATGCTGCGTATGTTATACATACCCGCACGAGCTGGGAGTATATGCTGAGAAGCGATTCTTCTGGGATCCTGTATTGGGAAGTGCATGCACCACTCATCACCAAGGTGTCCAGGAGCGGCTTACTGAGGGAATCGTGCGGTAGCCAGCTGCAAGGAATCCCGTCTGAACGATCTGGACTCTATGATCCGTGCTAACTCGTCGTACTCTCTCTCTGCAATCACAGAAGACTGCATGACGAGAGCTAGGAAAGCCGAAGGGGGCGTGACATGCATGGCCACGCGCATGCGCAGTTAAAAACAGCGCGTGGTGGTCATGGTAAACGCGAATCTTCGCAGGGGCGACAGAGGCGCAGAGAGAGGAACAGCCAGCGAGACGCGGGCAGAAACAAAAGAACAGCGCCACTAGGAGAATCCCAAGTTGCGCGCGATGTCCATTGATTTCGTTGCGGGATGGTGCGGGGGTAAGGCCGACTATTCACTTGACACCGTGATGTGCGTTTGCTCCGATGGCTAGTAGATAGCTAGAGAATGGAGGTTAGATTGAGTGTGTATTGCTGATCGAGTTGTGTTACATTAGGCGCTGCTGGGATGGCGGTAGGCCAACCGTTCGATACGGTGAAGGTAGGTCTTAGAGGCTCGCACGTCTACATGCATAACACCAGCAGTTCCCAGGCGAGACTGCAGACTGACGGACTGCTGGACGGTAAGAAGACGTACAGAGGAGCCTACCACTGCTTCTCTCACATTGTCAAGCACGAGGGGGTGAGAAAGCTTCCGCACATTAGCCATTAGCACATCAATTAGATATGGTGCAGTCTGATGTAGTAGAACCCATACCACTTGCATACAGTGGTCAAAGATTTTCGTAGTGCATTGTAGTGTATTTGCTAATGGTTGCAAAGGTATGGTGTGTGTTTCCTCATCGCAGCCACGAGCTCTGTTCAAAGGGATGGCGGCACCTCTCCTCGGAATGGCTGCCCTCAATTCTCTCGTCTTTGGTGTCCACGGCAACCTCATGATCGTATTCCAGGCACGAGCCGATGGTCCCGACACCACCCCCGGACTAAAATACTCTTTCATCTCGGGCTGCGTGGCCGGGTTTGTGCAGACAGTCATCTCCTCCACGACTGAGCTGATAAAACTGCGACTCCAGTTCCAGAAGGACAGGACGGATCTGATTCCTCGCTCCCTCCACCACCACCATCATTCCAAGGGTCACACGGAGACACGAGTCTACTCGGGTCCGTGGGACGCTGCCAGGAAGATCTACCAACGAGAGGGGCTCCTCCGAGGAATCGGGAGGGGATATTGGGTGACCTGTCTCAGAGATGTACCCGCCTTTGGGTTCTACTTTGGTACCTACGACTACATGTGTCGATGGAGACTGAGGCAGAAGGGACTTGGTCACATAGACGAACTGAGTCCGGGGTTTATATGTGTGGCAGGTGGAATGGGTGGAACTATATCGTGGATCAGTTCCTACCCAGTCGACGTCGTGAAGTCCCGCTACCAGATTGACGGGATGGGCAGCGGGACGTACAGGTATTCCAGTGGAGTTGACTGCTTCAGACAGACTTCTCGGGAGGGCTGGCGTGCGTTTTTCGCCGGACTCAGCCCCACCCTCTGTCGGGCGTTTCCTGTGAATGCAGTGACCTTTGTAACTGTTGCCGTCATATTGAGAGAGTGGCGGAAATTCAGATCTAACGGATCATAGTGGCAAAGGGTTTCCTTTTTTTCAATGCAGCCCTATATACCATTTTTACCACACATCACTAATCTATAGATCATCTCCCAAGCCTCTATTGTTGTATATACAAATTCTTTGTAGTGCTTTATTGTTTGAACAGAGAATGGCTATTTTAATTATACAGAGAGATATAATAATAAAGAGCAGTGAAATATAATCCAGCGGGAGTAAAATGTCATGTGAGAGAAGAAGAAAGCTATATAAGGTGTGTGTGTGTGTGCTACACTCTGTTCACTTTAGTGACGATACAGACTCGGACCATCTGGTCAAACGAACAGCAAGCCAGCAGACCCGCCTGTGGAACATATAGTGAGAGGAAGAAACGAATCATTGAGAACCCAAGGCTGGAAAAGTTGACAAAGTGGGAGGAAATTGTCTGGCAAAAAATATTGGCGATTTGACTGATCGGAATCACACAATTTTACTGCTTACTACACGTAAAATTAGACTCTGCAAAGAGTATAATATACACATGCACTATACTATGTTCAGCACATTCAACGGTAGACCTATAATATATTTGCTATAGCATGTCCTGTTCTATGTAGATGGCCTGGCCTACGCTATATTCACAAGCCTGCCAAAATGGGCATGTGCACAACACCTTGTCCGGACTCCAGTCCATGCTGGAGATGGGTTGGGACGAGATGGTGACGTTCTGGAGTAGGGACACGGAGCCAATCACACCTTCCTCCTGACCACTGCTGTCCTTCTGCACTCTCTGGTCTGGGTAGGAACTGTGTGTTGCAGATAAAACAGCATTCAGTATAGACGTCCTATTTCAGTCATCACAGTCATAATAAAATAATATCATTTTCTCTCTCTCTACCACTACTGTTTAAGCAATAGGTGGTGGTTCTGCCAAAATCTTTACCAGTCACAGTGGGAACACAAGGATTTAGTAGCAAAACGTGTCTATCAAAAACTGTGGTACGCAGTGGTTGATTGTTTTCTAGTGTGTGTGAGTGTGGTGTACTGTGACCTACTATTTCCAGAGGTGGAGGGATCCACCACCGGACGTCATGAAGACGTCTCTGTTCTGAGGAAGATGGCGAACACACCAGAGAGTGGAGCTCTTGTGGGCCTGGTGGGTGGGTGGGTGGGTGGGGGAATAGGCAGAGAGGAATAGGGGAGGAAAGGGGAACAAGAGGTGGTAGAATTGGTCATGGATATTTACTATGTACATGTCGCAACAACTTGGTAACGAGGTAGAAAGGCAAGGCAAGGCAAATAAGTCAACTACGATTCGAACCCACGACACTCTGCAGTCTAGGCGAGCGCTCTACCAACTGAGCTACCAGGGCAACTCCGGTACGTGGGGGGTTATTTGAGCAATTATATACGGTATACAGTGGTGGAAATATATAGAAGAGTTGTTCAGGTGATACATATAAACACACACGTGCACAGTGCATTATGTGAGTGAGGAAACATGCAGAGGTGAATGTGATTCAAGCACTCACTGTCTCAGTCAGACTTGCAAAACCCTTCTTGGGGTGCTGTGTCCGCATGTCGTACACCGTGAACTTGGACTCGAGACCAGCCACCACCAGCTTGTTCATGGGGATGTCCCTGCGATCAAACTCCATGCTACATATCTGTGAGTATATAATACAATACACAGTCACAAGAGTCAGTGGAGCCCCTTTAAAGACACTTATTTCTGTTCCTGTAGCTCAGAAATATAACAGACACCATTTTCTGGTCCTTTGTAGTGGAAGTCACACCCCTGAAATGAGGACACCTCTCTAACAAGGACACATTTTCTTTCCCCAAGAACCGTTGCTTGCTTGCAATTAACCCCTGAAATAAGGACCTCTTTACTGTGGATACTTTCTTATACCCCACTGGTGTGGGGTATACATTTAGCAGGCTCTACTCCACTGGTGTGGGGTATACATTTAGCAGGCTCTACTCCATGTATATACACACCCAAAGCTGCAAGTTGCACATACACCCAAACAGGAATTGCCACTAAAGGTTATGAGGCAACTGTGATATAGACACTGCCATAAAAGGCATTAAGTACCGGTGCTAAAAATACCTTAACCATATTACGTAAGACAGGAATCATGATGTAGCAGGAAGCCATCAAAGGCAAGTGGAAGTTGAAAATTGTGGCACTTACTCCGTTCCGAAATACCACCTATGCATTAGAGTTAACCAGGCGTGTGATATTACGTAAGACCGGAATCATGATGTAGCAGGAAGCCGTCAAAGGCAAGTTGAAAATTGTGGCACTTACTCCGTTCCTGTGGGTCGTCTCCCATCTGAGGGTCATGGTTCGAAGGTCAAACAGTTTTATGTCTCCGTTGTCGTAGCCGGCACACACACACCTCTCCGTGTCGTTGAACGAGTTACCTGTCACAGTAATTGCATCATCAACCGTCAATATTACAGTAGAAGATATAGTACAACCTCTTATATATAAAGAACACTCCAAGTAAAGGACACTGCTTAGGATCTGGCGCTTATCTTTTACACTACTGCTTCTATTTAAACCTCCGATGTGTTTAAAAATTGATTTGCATGGTCTCATTGCGCCCTTTACTTGGAGGCTCCACTACATACACGTGAATGTAAGGAAACAACATATTGTAGTTAGACATTTTCAAGGAAAAAACGCCTGTGGCTTTGCTTTTATCAGGGTGAGGAATGGCGGGAGAAGCAATCAGTGACAAGTTTTTTCCTTGGAAATGTTTCGAAGAGGCTGACCGAAGGTGACGGTCCAGCAGTCTCTGTGGGTGTCTCCTTCAGCTGGCTCCATGCAGGCCACTGGCTCCTCCTTCTGACGAGGGTCCCACACTTTAACCTTCCCTGGGAGAGAGGGCGGAAGGGAGAGAGTGAGATTGGTGTTTGTGGTATAATAATTGTAGGTCCAGCTCATTCTCACTCTGTATGGCCTGTGTACATATATTTGGGACTCCGGGATTACTTAGTCTTAAACCTGCATACATCACTAGAAATCCCTCTCCAAGGACACCCCTAATAAAACGACACCTCTCTAATAACACACCTTTCTTTTCCCCAAGAACAGTTGCTTGCATGCAATTATAAGGACACCTCACTAAATATCTTTTGTCCCACTGGTGTCCAGTATTGTACACACACAAACCGTCGCGGCCTCCAGTGACAATCTCTGGAGCTCCGCCCCCAATCCCCAGTCCCCCGCAGCCGTCGATGGTGTTTATGATCCCCTCGTGTCCCTTCACAGAGTATGTGGGAGCCTCAAGCCGCTCCAGGTCCCTGAGAAAAGCAGAGAAAGTGGAGGTTAGTACACCATTTCAAACTATGCCCTTCTAATGAAATAAATGCACCTACCAGATGTTGATTCTTCCTCCAAAGTCGCCGGTTGCTATCCGCCTCTTCTGCAGACTCGATGCTCGAAAAGTCCCACACTTGAACGAATGACGCTTCTCCGACTGCGTGCGTTCATACGCACTATACTTAGACAGGAGCTATAGGGCGGTTTCTCTAATTAGAGCGCACCTCCCTGACGAGTTTGAGCTCTCCCTTGGAGACCTCGTAGATCTGCAGTGCTCCCGTGTCGCGAGGGTGAGACCCGAGAACCACCACCTTGGCACTGCTGGGGAGCCATTTCACGTCGAAGACGGTGTAGTTGAGACTCTTTTCTATGTGCGTGATTATCTGCGGCTTCTCCAAACCCTCCATGCTGAGCAGCAACGCCCCCTCGAGCTCTAATACGCGCTCTGTGAGCGCTTATCCACAAGCGCCCGAGGGTGGAGGTGTGCATTTCCGGAGCTCGTCGGCGGAGCTGGAAGAAAACGGCAAGCCAGCCATATGCCGTCGCATGCAAGCCGTCTCCTAGCTATTCCAGTCTAGTCCAGTCCGTGGTGCAGTGCAGAATCGAGCAGCAGCTACATCTCCAAACAGTGCAGCCGTGTCACTGTCCTCGAGCGAGAGCAGCGAGAGAAGACGACTCGCTCCGCAACACCCACCCCCCACCCTCTAACTTAGCTCGGATCTGACTCGACGAGGGAAAGCGAGGCCATGTCGTCCGACGATTCGTTCCGTGGCATGGTGAGTGTCACGGTCATCGAGGCCACGGGCCTAAAGCCCGTCACCCGCCCGGGAGGCAGCGTCCTCACCGTCGACAACATGAACCCTTACGCCGTTATCGACTTCGACGACTTTTACTTCGGGAAGACGAACAGCCGGAAGGGGACAAGCAACCCCATCTGGGGCGAGATCATAGAAGAGAGCGTGGAAGACGCGCAGAGGATGCAGGTTACGCTGTTCAGCGCCTCCTCCATCCCTCCCGACACGTTTCTGGCCCACGTTATGATCGAGACGTCGGAGCTACGCAGCTTCACGCGTCAAGGCTTTGACGAACACGAGGTAAACGCTAGCTGGCTAGGCTGCGTCCATGTGCATGTGCGTGTGTGTGTGTGTGTTAGTGGCCCTAGGGTGAGTGCATGTGCAATTTGTTGCATTTGTTGCATTTGGGACAGTTCGTTATCCCAATTACCCTTTGGTTGTATATACACCTTAGTACATTCGAAGTCCGTGAGCAATGTTGATTGCATATCTGCTGAGCTATTATTGTCTCTACGCATGCTGTACATGCACGTGTACTGTTGGCTAATAATTGTACAGCGTGTAGGCCCCTTTTAAGGTTCCTGTTGTGCTACGAGGAAAGCTAACTCCACACCCCTAGAATAAACCAACGCACAGCTCACTGAAGCTGTGTTTCCTCTCTCACTAAAGCTTTAGCGATGTTGACTAGCCTGTCGCTGTAAAAGTGGTTGGAAGGGCAGATCATATCCTGCCTTTTGTAAACTAAAAAACGTCAGTTGTGCTGTAGCATGTTCAGCACTTGTGTGCTAAAAGTCATTTCGTATGTCGCAATGGTAAACGTGATCATAAAAATGCTCTAAATTTCACATACCTACCTATACTTAAGTACAGAGGATGAAACCGTGTCCAGAAATGTGCGTTTGGATGCTGTAATTGTTACCTCAGTATGCATTAATTCATCATGATGATGCACTGTGGTGGTGGAGAGTTGTGACACTTGTATCTCCGGGTACAAGGCTTGTTTGTGGTCGTTTCTAGCTCAGCTAGTCTAGGCCCTGGTTGGAAGCTGCATAAACGGGCCTTCGTAGACGTTGTGCGAACTTGGTTATATTATTATACTCGGGCATAAATGTACGTTTATTTTAGGGACGGGTGTATATAGATGCATTCACTTGTTGATTATTTGAGTGTTAGAATAAACCACTCACCACTTATACTCTCTCTCTCTCTCTCTCTCTTCATCTTTCCTCCGTCACACAGTATAAACTGGAACCCGATGGAAAGATTCGCTTCAAGATTTCCTTCACTGAGCATTGGACTGGTGAGCACTCCCCCTCTCCCTCCCTCTCCCTCCCTCTGCCTCTCTCTGGTGTGAAGGTAGCCAGCCTCCTCCTTCATTTCCTTTCTGAGGAATCCTTGTCCTTCCTCACTCCATAGCTTCTTTTTCTCCCTTCCTTTCTCTTTCTCAACTCTCCCTCCATCTTCTCTCTCTCTCTCTCCTTCTTTCTCACCCTCTCTCCTTCCATTCCTCTCCCTCCTTCCTCTCGCTCCATCTCTCCCCTCCCTCGTTCTGTCCCAATTATTAAATACTTCGTTCCCGATGAGCCTTGAAGCCTATTACGTTCTCTTCAAACGTGGGGCCAAACCCCGTCTTAAACCACTTAGTGTATGCATAAGTTTGGGAAACCCCTGCAATAATGGCATAAAATCTGAGTCATTTTCAAACGAGACGGAAGACATTGTATATACACACGTACACTCTGTGGGTTCGGGATATAAATCAATTGTGTTGCTCGACTGTGCCCTGATATCAAGTAGCTAAAACAGAATCACGCAAAAGAAACCTTTAACGAATGTGGTTAGTCCAAGTATGTGTGTGGTATGCTCAGTTTACTTCATGGAGTTGGTTGGAATTTCAACATCTTGTTCATTCTAAGTGTCTTCGTCTTAGTGTCCTCGCGGCACAATTTTCCTGCACAGGTGCACACCAATTGGAGTTTGCTCTAAATAAGTTAGAAACTTAGAAGCCTAAGCTGGGCTGGTGTGTGTGTGTGTATAATGTCACGGACTTGTTGTCCGTGATGTATTGTATGAGGTCACTGCTTCACTGCTTCATTGATGGGCTACTACTGTTACAGTGAAGCTTTGGGTCATTGGGTAGTGTAAACAGTCCTGGACAACAGCAGGAACTAGAGAATGGTAACCTAGGCAATGCCGGTCGTCCCTGAAAGAATGTTTCGGTCGAGAAAGAGTAAAAGATGTAGTGTGTGTGAGAGTATGTGTGTGTCGTGACGTATGCTATTCTGTTTATGTGCATGCTATGCGTACTTACTCCAATTAATGCTTTGTCTTGCCCTACATACATTGCATTCCAGAAGGTTTTGTACAGAAATGATACACACATGCATGTGTACTACATGTATGTACCAAGCTACTCCATGCATGTGTACTACATGTATGTACCAAGCTACTCCATGCATGTGTATATACTACATGTATGTACCAAGCTACTCCATGCATGTATATATACTACATGTATGTACCAAGCTACTCCATGCATGTGTACTACATGTATGTACCAAGCTACTCCATGCATGTGTCAGTAATGGCAGTAATGAGCATGTGCATGCATGTACCCACATTGAGTGTTTCTGACGTGTATATAGCCCAATTATCCCGTTCTTAACGAGTGAAGTAAGCTTACTTTTCTGACTAAGTTTGCCATAGTAAGAACAGGTTATTGTGAACGTGGGTTACGAGCTAAGAACAATTGAAAATGCTGACCAGCAGATTTCGTGGCTCTAAACGTGGTCTTAACCGAAGAACTAACCAACCGTTAGTGTTGTTTATGTTATGGTAGTTTGTGTAAAGTTTACGCAATAGTAGAGAAAACAGCACCAGTAGGAGGATAGTTTATACACATTAAAGTTGTTCCGACAAAGCCCCTATAATTGCGGTGGAACCTCCGAACAAGGGACACTACGAGACCGATTCATTTTGTACCTTGTAGAGAGGTTGTCCCTATCTCGGAGGTCAATTAGTATTAGCATGGGGTTGAAGCTAGTGTCCTTTGTAGAGAGGTCGTCCCTATCTCGGAGGTCAAGTAATACACTAAAGTATGGGGTTCAAAACAAGTGTCCTTTGTAGAGAGGTCGTCCCTATCTCGGAGGGTCCCTTATCGGAGGTTCCACTGTATATGTATTGCTGCACCAGACGAGGGAGAAAGTTGATATCCTAGTGCAAGTTTAAAATCACGAGAACAAACAGTGATCACTGTTGGTTCCGATGATGTAATGTTTTTAGCACACTAGCCAAAGTCACATGATTGTCACAGGGACGAGACAGAAGTTTGTTGCACGGAGTCAGATGCTGCGCGGTCACAGAGGAGCTGTGAGGAGAAAGATTCACATCGTCAACCATCACAAGTTCATGGCCACCTTCCTAAGACAACCCTCCTTCTGTTCCCACTGTGATAGCTTCATATGGTGAGGTGGGGGAGGGAGGGAGGGGGAGAGGGAGGGAGGGGAGCAAGAAGGAACAGGGGGAGACGGGAGAGGGTATATAAGAGGCAGAGAAGGAAGGGGGGAGAGGGGGAAAGGGCCACGAGAGAAAGAGGCAGGGAAGGGTGAAGTAATGGGAAGAGGGGGAACCGATGCCAGGGAGGAAGTCAAACACTCAGGTTTCTGTCCTTTGTTCTTTGTAGGAAATGGTTGATGGGCTGTTTCTGTATCTCTTTATAATGTCACACTCTGTCATTCTTTGCTCTCTTGCTCCCTGCAGGGGGGTAGTGAACAAGCAAGCTTATCAGTGTAAAGGTCAGGTGATATTAGGTACTATGGAAGTGTGGTGTGAAGAATTGCTTCTCCCTCTTTACTCTCTAGTGTGTAATCGAGTGGTGCACAAAAGATGCCACCAATCTGTCCTCACACAGTGCACTGGAGTGTTAGAAGAGCCACAAGACGATGTGAGATACGGGTTATAACACTCACTGGCTAGCAATGGGTTAAAACACGTACACCCTAGCTAAGAATGGGTTAAGACACACACCCTAGCTATAAATGGGTTAAATACCCCCGACATGATGAGTTGAAAAGCATACACACCAGCAAGAAAAGGGTTAATTAATTAACCCAGTAGGTAATGGGTTAATACTGCCACTTGTTTGTGAGTGTTACAATGCATTGAGTTGTGTTCCGTTTCTCCGGTTCTCAGAATGATCATATTTCATGAAAATAGCCGAAAGCTTTGCTTGAAGTTGGCGACTCTGTGTACAAAACAGAAGTATATAGTTTGCGAAGGAATTTCTTGGCATTCCTGTGGATTTAGCACGCAGCCATGTACCACGAAAACAGGACATCCGTTCCATAATCAGGACAAAGTGGGTTTACGGGAAATAATCAGGACACCTCTCCGGAGTAATTAGGACACCTTTCAGATGTGGAGGGGGAGTTCAGGACACTAGGACGACTAAAATCTGGGTGTGGGTTGTTTCACCACGCGGTTGCCACGGCGTTGAGTCCGAATGTTCTGTTTTGGAGTGCTGGAGGAAGTGGCCGCATCCTGTGTGTAGTGATGATGTAATGGTGATGTAATGCACAATTGAATTGGAGGTGTGCGGCAACAGAACCCAGGGTTATGTGTCAGCACGTTCCGTAGATGGTCTGGTTCGAATTGTGCTGATTCTATTGTGGGATTCCCGCAACCCAGGCTCCACCGAGGGAGGAGGTAGAGGAGAGGGGGCGAATGAGCGTGGTCTCCCCCTATTTACAACTGGGTTCTCCCCTTCATCTCCCTATTATCTTAACTAGTGTGTATGCGTATGCTGTGTTTAGGGTGGTGTGCATTGTACTAGTAAGTATATAGGCATATGGACGTGTATGTAGTTTTGTACTGGTGTATAACTCTAAGTACAGTATTCGCTGACCACACTTGACGTACATTGATTCACACGTGAGCGTCATCTGCGTGTTACTCCCAAGTACATAGATGTTGCAAGCTGGTTTTGATCTGTGTGGTGGTTGTACGGAATGTTTAATAAACACAAAACTTGGCTTGGGTGAACGCTAATATTTACACTGTACTTATCCTCCCCTCCCCCTCCCTCCTACACTTCTCGCTCTCTTCTCTCTCTCTCCTTCTCTCCTCTCCCCCTCCCTCTTCCCTTCCTTCTCCTCCTCCCCTTCCTCCTCCAGAAGGAGCTGGCCCGGCAGGCTCGGTTCAGCATCAACGTGCCCCACAGGTTCAAAGTCCACAACTACAAACGTTTCACGTTCTGCAGCCACTGCGGTTCCCTCCTCTATGGCCTCTACCGACAGGGTCTCAAGTGTGACAGTGAGTCGAGGGACCATAATGTATGTAGAAGAGAGGGGTTTGGTATAATGTATGTACACTAGTATACAAATTCAGTCGAGGGACCATAATGTATGTAGAAGAGAGGGGTTTGGTATAATGTATGTACACTAGTATACAAATTCAGTCGAGGGACCATAATGTATGTAGAAGAGAGGGGTTTGGTATAATGTATGTACACTAGTATACAAATTCAGTCGAGGGACCATAATGTATGTAGAAGAGAGGGGTTTGGTATAATGTATGTACACTAGTATACAAATTCAGTCGAGGGACCATAATGTATGTAGAAGAGAGGGGTTTGGTATAATGTATGTACACTAGTATACAAATTCAGTCGAGGGACCATAATGTATGTAGAAGAGAGGGGTTTGGTATAATGTATGTACACTAGTATACAAATTCAGTCGAGGGACCATAATGTATGTAGAAGAGAGGGGTTTGGTATAATGTATGTACACTAGTATACAAATTCAGTCGAGGGACCATAATGTATGTAGAAGAGAGGGGTTTGGTATAATGTATGTACACTAGTATACAAATTCAGTCGAGGGACCATAATGTATGTAGAAGAGAGGGGTTTGGTATAATGTATGTACACTAGTATACAAATTCAGTCGAGGGACCATAATGTATGTAGAAGAGAGGGGTTTGGTATAATGTATGTACACTAGTATACAAATTCAGTCGAGGGACCATAATGTATGTAGAAGAGAGGGGTTTGGTATAATGTATGTACACTAGTATACAAATTCAGTCGAGGGACCATAATGTATGTAGAAGAGAGGGGTTTGGTATAATGTATGTACACTAGTATACAAATTCAGTCGAGGGACCGTAATGTATGTAGAAGAGAGGGGTTTGGTATAATGTATGTACACTAGTATACAAATTCAGTCGAGGGACCATAATGTATGTAGAAGAGAGGGGTTTGGTATAATGTATGTACACTAGTATACAAATTCAGTCGAGGGACTTGGGGCTAACCTGCTCATGTGTAAGAAGTACGGTGTTCCCCATCGTGTTGTGTTGTGTGTTTGTTACACGATTTTTACACGATTTCCAAGGCAAAGAGTGGGTGATGTTTGTCTGTCTACAAGTGTGAAACATTCACTCTTTCCCTGTTGTGCTCCCCTACCACTTCCCTCCTCTCCCTCCTCTCCCTCCTCTCCCTCCTCTCCCTCCTCTCCTTCCTCTCCCTCCTCTCCTTCCTCTCCCTCCTCTCCCCCTCTCCCTTCTCGTTCCCTCTCTCGTCCTTGTGCAGCGTGTGGAATCAACGTCCACAAACGTTGTGAGCGCAACGTTCCCCACAACTGCGGCATCAACTCCAAGGACCTGGCCAAGGTCATGGAGGAAATGGGAGTCACTCCAGACCAGCTCAAGGGGAAAAGCTCAACGGTAATATCTCTCTCCGTTCCTCTTTTCCTCCGTCCCTCTCTCCTTGCTTTCCCTGACCTCATCTTTCTCCCCTCTTTTGTCTCTCTTTTCTGACACTCTTTTCTCTCGATTCCTTTTCCTTCATTCATTTTTCTCTCTCCCCCTACCTCCCTCACCTCCCCCTCACCAGGTAAGTCGTCGCTCCACAGCCGGCTCGGTCTCCTCCTCCCACGACTCTGAGTCCATGTCAGAGAGAAACGGTCTTCTCGAGCGGCCGTCCATCCCCGCGCCCACCCTCCAACTCCCCAAACCGGTCGTCCTCCCCAACAACGACGAGATGAAAATAATGAGTCTAGCCGACTTCACGTTGCTCAAGGTCTTAGGCAAAGGGAGCTTCGGAAAGGTGAGCAGGGGGCAGTTTGCTCTTCTATGGGTGAGCAAAGCAACGTACCTATATAGTCGTCCGAGTGAAGGAGTATTTGAATAATATACCTGCTCGTGCTCGCCCGCCAAATGTTATGATATGTAAGTAAGACGGCCGATGGACCCTGAGCTGTATAGCTGTCTGACGGCAGAAAAGGAAGCTAAGGGCTCCGGTGCAGTCTTAATGGTGTATTTCCATTGAGGCAAGGTATAACTGACTTAGATGGTGGCCTGTACATATATTCGTGAGACAGCCCTACAATCTAAATTGCCTGTACATATATTCCTGAGACAGCCCTACAATCTAAATTGCCTGTACATATAATTATTCCTGAGACAGCCCTACAATCTAAATTGCCTGTACATATTCCTGAGACAGCCCTACAATCTAAATTGTAGAGTAGGCGGGCGTGTGTGTGTGTAATGCAACAAACTTTAGTTTTGCTGTTTGTTAGCCTCTAATGATCACGACTGTTACCTTGAGTGTGTGTTTGTTGTGTGAGTATGCTTGCCAGTAATGGGCCAACTAATAACTTGTCTAGACAGGAAATGAGCCCTCTTTCTACGTATCCTCCTGGCTTTCCTTCCTCCATTAATATTCCGTACTCTCTATAATAGCTCTGTATAAGCCTGTAGCTGTGCATGATCTATATATGCGTATTGTGACAGGATCAGTAGGCATTATATAGAGAAGGTTTACGTTTAAGTATAGCATGTTTGTCTATCATTCCTGTGGTGGGTGTATGTGATTGTTGTAGAGATGCAGTCTTGAAGGAAGTGCACATTGATACGCTGTGAGAGAAGGCGAGACAGGGAAGCTTGTAGTGCGTGTGATAGTATTCACGTCAGCTGCTGAAGGATTTGCGCGAGATGTGACCATAAATGTCCATGTATCACACGAACACACAAACACTCACATGTACACACAGCATTGTGTGTGGAAGGTGCTCATTTGGTAGTGTACTGCGTGCGCCCTCACAGCTAGTAGTTGCACCATTCTGCTATGTATATAGTATGCATGCTAGTATGACTCTATAGGTGCCTGTGTGTGTGTACATGCTAGTATGACTCTATAGGTGCCTGTGTACAATGTACATGCTTGCACCGGAACCAGTCTGCACGACTTTCCCCCAGTTTTTCCCTTTCCTTGTTGTCCTTCCCCATCTCCTTCCCTTTTGCCCTTCCCGTTTCCTGCTCGTCCTCCTCCCTCATTCCGATTTCCCTCTCTCTCTCCTGTTCATCTTTTCCTCTTCCTCGTTTAACCCTTTATGATCCCCTATACCACGTACACTCCTCACTACCCATGATCTCGTATCACTCTCCCTCTTCCCCCCTCCCCTCTCTCACACCATCGCAGGTAATGCTGGCAGAGCTAAAGGACAACCCGGACCAGGTCTATGCCATAAAGATCCTCCGGAAAGACGTCATCATTCAAGACGACGACGTGGAGTGTACTCTGACAGAGAAGAGGGTTCTGGCACTAGCTGGTCAACACCCTTACCTCACATCTCTGCACTCCTGCTTTCAGACCAGGGTATATACCGACAACATATGTAGATGTTGTATGTGTGTGTGCATAGAACTGTCGCCAACTGAAATTTGCTCATACCCGCAGCTAATTCCCTTTTGATCTGATAATTATGTTAGATGCGTGGTAAAAAATTACTTGCACCTCTTTGTGGTTGCCATGGCTACCAGTACCCCTGGCCAAGCAATAATAGGTACCCGTGCAGGTTTGGTCCAGCTGTCCTGCTGTCGTGGCAACAAAACACTGATCGACTCAGTTGTGCTGATCGGGCCGAAGTCTCCTTCTGCTGCACCTGTGCCACCTGCACACACGTCACAGATTATTTCATGTTGCACATGGCACAGTTATGCACATACGTATGAACTCCATAGACTCCTTGTACAAAGTGGGGATTAAGACACCCACATTCTTAGTAGGGTGTTTTTAGTAGCACTGAAATCTTTACCTACTCCCTCCTATACATATATCCTCCTTTTTCTCTTCTTCTTCTCTACTCCCCATCTCTCCCCTCTCCACCCTCTCCCCCCTCTCCACCAGGAGCGACTGTTCTTTGTAATGGAGTATGTCAACGGAGGAGACCTCATGTTCCAGATCCAGAGAGCTCGCAAGTTTGATGAGGACAGAGCGAGATTCTACTCAGCCGAGATCATCCTTGCACTCCTCTTCCTGCACAACAGAGGCATCATATACAGGTAGGTAACATTGATACCACAATGTAATAGTGACAGCATTATAAATTATGCAAGAATGACATCTTATAAATTGTGTAAGAATGACATCATGAGTTGTAGTATTGTATGAACTGTCAGCAAACAGATTACACGTCTTGTCGAGTGTTGTAATCGAAATTTGTACACGGTACGGTGTTTGCTTTGTGTTTGGTTGTCGTGGTGATGTAATTAGGTACATGGTGGTGGGCAGTCTTGTGTCAGTGTGGTGTTGCGAAATGCCTCTCGTCAGCAGTAGTTGCACCCCCTACCTACGTGTGTGTGTGTGTATTGTCAAACATGATTAGGACTTTTGACTTTTCATTCCCTGGCCCATTACTCACACAGTCTCTGTATAATTTCTGTTTCACTATGGAATAAGTATTCTGTAATTCCATTTTACATTATGTACTGTCATTGTACTTACAGTGTGTGCACTAAGTATTGAGCATGTGTCAGTCCGTGGGTGCGTGTGGGTGTGTCTTGGTGATGAATAATTATCTGGGCTAATAGTGCAGTAAAAGTGTGCTAGTGTTGGTTTGTCTTACTGACGTAATGTTACACTGCACACCAGTGTGACGTCGTCCATAACAAATGGTGCGTATGTGCATGAATTTATAGGCATGCCATAGCTGTGCGTGAATGTGCATAACTCATTATGTATTACATAACCAGCGACTTGTAAAATGTAAATTTCATGGTGTTTTTAAACAAACTACGTACCGTGTTGTATTTATGCACACCCCGTTGATATTGACCACACCCATCACGTGACTCCTCCCCCTTGGCCACACCCACAGAGACTTGAAGTTGGACAACATTTTGCTAGATTCCGAGGGTCACGTGAAGGTCGCCGACTTTGGCATGTGTAAGGAAGACGTCAGAGATGGACGACTTACCTCGACATTCTGTGGCACTCCAGACTACATCGCCCCTGAGGTGAGCCCCTTACTTACCATACATAATACAGTGAAAGTTCCAATAAAAGCACCCCTCCAATAGGGACACATTTTGCCACCACTGGCTTGAAAACGGAGGTATATAGCTATGTATGTATGCGACAAAAACTGTTAATCCGCAAATCTTCACCCCAATTCAAATTCAACACGTGGCCATGAGATTTGAAAAATCACAATTGCGGCATTGTTCTGTCTATGCATGTTGCATTCCCTGCTTCCCACTCCACACCCTTTCTCTTCTCTTACACACACTCTCTCATCGATGGAAGTATATATGGGATGATGGATTGAAGAACGTACAGAATAGATAAACAGTCAAGGAATAGATGGAGAAATATAGACCCACCTTTACTTCCTCTCCCTCCCCCCCACACACACACACACAGATCCTAAGAGAAGAAGACTATGGTGCGTCAGTAGACTGGTGGGCCCTCGGAGTGCTAATGTACGAAATGATGGCGGGGCAGCCCCCCTTCGAGGCTGACAATGAGGACGAACTGTTTGAAGCCATTCTGAACGACGAAGTCCTCTACCCAGTGTGGCTGAGCCGAGAGGCAAACTCCATCTTGAGAGGAGTGAGTTGACCAAGGGAAGGGGAAGAAATGGAGAACAGTAATTAAGAAGACTCTCAGAAAGGGAAGGAGAGAGGGGGGAAGATAGAAGTAGGAAGGGAGTAGGAGGGAAAAGGAAAGGGTCTCTTACTGCCCTCTCTCTCCCTCAGTTTCTGACCAAGAACCCTCTCTCACTGCCCTCTCTCTCCCTCAGTTTCTGACCAAGAACCCTCTCTCACTGCCCTCTCTCTCCCTCGGTTTCTGACCAAGAACCCTCTCTCACTGCCCTCTCTCTCCCTCGGTTTCTGACCAAGAACCCTCTCTCACTGCCCTCTCTCTCCCTCAGTTTCTGACCAAGAACCCTCTCTCACTGCCCTCTCTCTCCCTCAGTTTCTGACCAAGAACCCTCTCTCACTGCCCTCTCTCTCCCTCAGTTTCTGACCAAGAACCCTCTCTCACTGCCCTCCTCTCTCCCTCAGTTTCTGACCAAGAACCCTCTCTCACTGCCCTCTCTCTCCCTCAGTTTCTGACCAAGAACCCTCTCTCACTGCCCTCTCTCTCCCTCAGTTTCTGACCAAGAACCCCACGCGGAGACTCGGCTGTCAGCCAGGCATCGGAGAGAGACAGATCAAGGGCCACGCCTTCTTCCGCAGCATCCACTGGGAGAAACTGGAGAAAAGAGAGGTTCCCGCACCTTTCAGGCCACAAGTGGTACGACTCCAATTGCACACCTATCACTCATCCACAAACTTGCTCTGCATGCGAAACAGTTGTCTATATATGTATGGTGTTCAAGGAAGCATTCTATATGCTTGCAATGCGGGCCTAGCACTGATACATAATATGCTTTTAAACTGTGAAATTTGTGTCCTCAGCTATTTTATCCCTTGTTCTCTAATTATAGAGGTCGAGAAAAGACTTCAGTAATTTCGACGTGGATTTCATCTCAGAGCAGCCGCGACTGACCCCAATTGATGACAAGGTCACCCAATCTCTCAGCCAGGAAGAGTTCATTGGGTTCACCTTCACCAACTCCGAGTTTCACGAACCGTGAGTTGTGGGCGTGGCCAACTGTGTGACTTGACCTTTGACCTCTCGAGGCAACCGTAATTGCACACGGCCATAGTACATCTAAACTAACACATAGTCATAAGGAGTATATTGTCATGCCATATTTTGTCAATCCTGTCATTATAATAAATATAGTCACAGTTATTTTGTGTGTTGTTTGGTGTCGTTAAAATAAAGAAATGTTTGTGTTGCTACTGTTTACACGTGTTGTTTATTCGATGATACGTTGCTATGATTTTGCGGATGTAGTCGTCCATTATCTGTGATACCAGTGCAGTTTCAGTGGATGATCTTTTGTTCGACGTGTCACTGCCATTATAATTATTGCGGAAACTTGAAAAATGGATAGTGATTTTTTTAAATTTCAGTACATAAAATTGACACTTGGGCAGTACATAATACAAAAGTGAGATGAAAAGAGTGTAGTGGGTAAACCCCTGCAATTAATGTCCTAATTCGACCGTCTTTTCCTCAATATTTTGAACCCCTTCATTTGGATGAGGTAACTAGCACCAGACATTACCGTGGAAACCGCCGTCGTCACCCTGAGGAAGGAGAAAAAGGCTTTATATACTCTGTCACAACTAAACTTGAAAGAATAGACCCTAACCAACGTGGCCAAGAATATCCAGCCACTATGTTTTTGCTTCAAACAGGCAATATTATATATACGTAGGCAGTAGTGTGTAGCACATTATTACACAGAGACACAAGATAATCTTTGAAGTATATACAACCACTAAACGGCCATGTTTAAATGCCTGTAAAAATACAGTGTTCCAATTTGCCTTTCAAAACACTTTATTGGCTCATCCGACTTACCTGTCTTTTACCAACTGGCTAAATGACATTGAAGAGGTGGGCATATTTAACCCCTAGCTCACCAGAGGGCCTGTAAAAGGGGGTGGTGGGAGGCGTTGACAAGAGCGGCACCCAGGGAGAGACCGACCGTGGACAACTGGAGGAGAGTGTTGAGTTTGCTGAGTGGAGATGGAGTGACTCGGAGTGTGGACCGCTGAATGTCCCAGTACCGCGACCACGTTCTCTGGGAGAGAGGGAGAGGGAGGAAGAGGGAGGGAGAGGGAGGAAGAGGGAGGGAGGGAAAGGGGAGGGAAGAGAAAGAGGTAGAGTGAGAAGGCAAGATTGAACCATCAGTAAGAGAGGGAGCAAGAATGGAAAAAAAACTTGTGATAGTGTGTAACAGGAAATTTTTGACAGAGAAAATTTCGTGAACTTTGACAATCGAATGCAATTTCCTTTCATTTTTCAGTAATAATACATGTGTTGCAGGACCTCATTAGGCCAAAAAGGCCTCGTGTCTTACGTAATCACATACAGGTGGTGGAAGGGTTGTGTAGCGGAGATAGAAACTGGCGCCAATTAGAACAGCATCTCTGGACAGAATTACCACTGTGAGCGGCACTGAGAAAGGGAGACACACACACACTACAAAGAGTACTCCCTTTCTCAGTATATCCTCACATGGTATAAGGCCCTGGACGGTGAGAGTTATGCAGAGAATTGAGAGGAGGCATTTGTCGGCCAGAGGGTCCAGAACACTGCCCAACATTGACGACTGCCCCGGATAGTGTCGCGCTATCTGCCCATCCACCTACAGACATTTCACCAGTCAGCGAGCACTCAGCTACTGTATGTATTACTAAAAATTTCTCAGGTTAAACAAATTTCTCGGATTAAACCCAGCCATTGTTTCGTGAAGTTTCCATGATAAGGTGGGACAAGAAACGTGCTAAACATTTCTCTGTGATTATGTTTGCCATCATAATTACGAGCCCTTAAAAGTTTCCACCATTGAGGGATCAGGGTAGGGGCACGGAGAGCCACACACAGGGTTTCATTACCCACCTACCACGTCACTGACAGCTGCAACAGCCAGGAGTCCAAACGCCATCAGATAGCTCTCCTGCAGGACCTGCAGCCAGTGATGGCTAACACTCCATTCTCCCCGTCCCCTCTTTCTTTCTCTCCCTGACCTGATGAACTCACCTGGTAGCCCAGAATTGGAGACAGGAGAATTCTCGACAGAGAAAGAACGTTGGGAATCGTCCATATGTTCTCCTACAAACGAAGGAAAGTGTCTATTATCAATGCTGGGTATACCAATAGCTAGTAGGAGAACCTTTTCAAAACTGTGATGATCATCCTCCTCGGATACACCGGTATCAGGCTTGTGAGCTCCTCCACCTCCTCCTCCTCTGTCACTGTCTCTGTGACGTGCTACGCTCACTGCTAATCCTCTATGTCCGGACACTTGTGGTGCCTGTGTCAGCGCGACCAGGGGACTACGCCATCTCGAGCTCTTTGGGACGCGGAAGGCTGCGGTGCAGGGTCGCTGTAGAGAGCGGCAGCAGTACGTACACACCGTGCGCCACCACAGGCTCTTCACGACCACCCAGCCACCACACCGGGTAGGAAGAAGACAACGCCACATACGGTATATACGCTCCTCTCGATATCCCTCTCCGCTTTTTCCACGTGGGGAGGAGCTGTTACGTAACCAGTTAGTTAACGCCCACGTACATCACATGAGCAGGCTACGCCAGCTTTTTGATGGCTCTGCTAACTTTTCTGAGCGTACTAGCAGCTTTAGCTGGTGCTATCAACGCCCAGTGTCCCATCTCCGGCTGTGACGGCCTCCGTTCTTTCTCCTCCACGGCGAGAACCGGCCTGCAACCGACGCGTTCGAACACCGAGCGACACAACCCCGAACACGATGCAGCACCCCGGCTACTGTGGAGTTACGAGACCCACCTACCCTCCGGAGCTGGTTGCGTCACTAACGGAGCTGAAGACTCCGCTGTTGTGATCTGCCCCATGGCTATTGGACAAAAGTAAACGTTTTTGCAGCAATATCATGGACTGATCTGTGAAGCATTTTCTTTTTTCCTACACACACCCCCAGTGCCAGTGTGGTATCATTTTCAGCGGCGAATGGAAGCGTTCTCTGGACCCTATCCCTCACCTCCCAAGCAGTCCTACCGCTAGTCAGCATCGACGGAGGATCGGTGGTCAGTGACGGTCAGACACTGGACTGGCTGGCTCGCGATGGTCGCTCCCTCGCTCCTCCTGTCACCCTCTTCCCGGTCCAAGGTCCTCTGTTTGACCTCACCATTACCCTCCCTACCAGCATCGTCACTATACTCTACAAGTGTGGCTTCATCTCCACTTACACCGTAGGTGTGTCTGTATGTATACCAAGGGTAGACACGTAGACGTAGGGAGAACACGAGGATCGGTTTGAGGCTGAAAGCCATCCAAAAGAGCCAATGAACTTTCAGAAAGCAGGGATCCCATTTTCAATGTATCAAAGTTTCCTTGCTTCTGCTATAATATACATCTGTAGATACTTTTGTTAAAATGTAAATGATTTCTGATTGACTTTTGTTAAAATGTAAATGATTTCTGATTGACCACAGATGGAGTCCCGATATCTGGACTGTGGTTGAACGGTACACGGAATGGAGTGAGGGGAACGTTTGTCCCTCTCGCGAACCCCGTCATAAACGACACTCGTCTCTATATTCTCTCAGCCTTCAGACCTCACACAACTGAACGAGATAGCAACACCACGCTCCTCAGACTGTATGCTATCAATGTGGCAGCAGCTCTCGACCATAAGTTCACCATTCTCTGGACATACAACGTGACGCTCAGGGGAATCATACCATACCTCAGTACTGTTGGCACATACTGCAGCAACTCGCTGCCTCCTGAGGCTCGTTACGATGATAATCACAGGGGCTCTAGCTCATCATCAGAGAAGTCTCCTGGACTGTTAGAGCCTCCACCAGGTGTACTAACAATGACAGGAGGGAGGATTTTAGGGTCCGTATCTGTTTTAACCCAGTCTGGAAAATTCGTCTCGTTCAATATGAGCGTGAGAGATTTGGGAAAGAATTTCTCTCTGATTTCAAGCGGGTACTCCAATAACTTACTGACGGCCCTCTGTTGGGGTAACAACAACAGAAAAGAACAGAATACTCCGTATCCTTGGGAAAGGAAGGGAAACTTAGTTCAGGCTGCAGAAGGGGAACAATTCTGGGCCTCAGTTTCGCTGTCAAGAGGGACCATAACCAAAACGGTGTTGGAGTTGTTGCTGGAGCAGAATAGGCCACCTGTCAATTCTTCGTCCCTGGTTCTCCCCACCTCTCTCACCACACCTGTGACTCTACTGCAGTCCCCTACTGATCAGGATATGCTGGTGTTTGGGACTAATGGAGCCGTGTCTGGTGTTAGTCAGGAAGACAATCCACATCTTGTAGGAGTGGTGGGCGATGAGGGAGGAGTTGTACCGAGTGTAAAGTGGAGCTTGCCTCTTCCCCTCGTGCAGCCTGCACGCGGACAAATCTCCTCCCTGTCTTTCTCTTCCAGGACCATCTTGTTTCTGACTACTCCCCTTGGAGTGTATGCATACCAACTGTAAGCCCTGTCTTTCGTACACCTTGGGGAGATTGCGCATGCGCACTAACCAGGCGGTAAAATGTATCTGCGCATGCGTGTGTGAACAAAAAGGGAGAGAAGATGGCGTTCCCTGGTGGCTCCCTCGTGTCGAGCATTCTGCAAAAGTCCAGCGCTCTGGACCAGAGGCTGGTGGAAAGCGGTGCCCAGAAACTCTCGAAGAAGGTCGGGCAGCTGAAGGAGGAGATGTACGAACACGTGCGGCAGAGATACGTCGAGTTCGAGACTCACGTGCAGACGACGTGCCAGCTGAGGGAGAAACTGAGGGAGGTGGAGGGCGAGTACCGACGGCTGAACGCGGACATCGGCGGAGAACTGAGACGCAAGATTGCCGACTCGGCAGAGAAACGACGCGAGATCGAGGACAGTCTCCGCGACGTCCAGGAGAAGATGGAGTTTGTTCGGAGATTGGCCTCCGTTCACGAGGAGCTGCAGGCGTCCCAGCGGAACCTGGACGAGGGGGACTGGGTTGAGGCGGCACAGAAGCTGCACGACGTGGCCGTGTGCCTTGGGGAGCTGTCAGAGATGGGCTGCGAGGCGAGGGTGTTCAATGCTCTCCAAGAAGAAACCGCTCTCGTGAACTCTGAGGCAGACCTCACGCTCGTGGAAGAGTGGGACAAACGAGTCAACTGGAGCCCCGAATCGGCCACAAAGGACCCACCGTATCACGTGATTCTACAGACTAAGCTGAGCATTCCGTCAAGCTACACTCTCGACATAGAAGGAGACGGGAGGTCTCTAGCCGATGTAGTCGGTGCATGTCGGGCCCTCGATACGTGGGCAGAGGTTCAGCTGGAATTCTCCAATAAACTCCGTCATCTCATCGTGAAACCCCTCGTCACAATTCCAGCCCTGGGGGTTGCATGTCAAGTCCAGTCCGCAAGGAGCTGCATCATTCTCTCAATCACCGAGGCAGAGGAGGAAGAAGAAGAGAAAGAGGGCAGTGAGAGGATTTCCGAGCTCTACGCGAACCTTGCTACGGTATTCAAGGTGGTCGGTCAAGTTGTGCCGGTGGAGAAAGAGGGGTGGACGGGGAAAGTGGGGAGGTTGGTGCTCCCGGAGATGACCCAACTCATCACAGATCACCTCCTCAAGAAACACGTTCCAAAGACACCGGAAGAGCTGGAGAGATACGAAGAAGTGAAGGTAGCGACATGTGAGTTTGAAGCCGGGTTAACAGAGTTGGGTTTTGCTGAGGCGGGGTTTTCGGGGCTCTCAGATTTCACTCAGAACATTGAGGTCTATTTCGAGGAGCAGAAACGACAAGAGTTGCTTGCAAATGCTCGATCGATTCTGATGAAGTCCATCCACGACACGGAGAAGGTCGTGACTCCGGAACGCTCTGAGATCGGCCATGCCTCGCCCTGGAGCGAGGGGGAGAAGGGGGGAGGTGGCAGGGAGAAATGGACACCACAACTAGAGCCTGGAACAAAGATCCCGACGTTAACGGATCTGATGTTGCACGAAGACAAGTTGAGGGATGTGGGTACTCATTTCCCCGAGTGTGCAGTCAGCAGGTGCATATTGGAGTATGTAGCTCTACTCTGCGACCTCTTGGAGGCTAGCTACTCCAAGGAGACAGAGGAGGAAAAGATGGACATGTTTCGGACCGTGCGGGACCTGATTGATCTCTACCGCGCCGTTTTCCCGACTCATCACAGCGGGGACATTGCCACTATTCCGGCCGCGGCGGCAACGTACTACAACAACTGCATGTACCTCGTCCACCACCTCATCGTGGAGAGCGCAAAGCTCTCGCGGAATCTGTCGCCACGTGCCTCCTTTGTTGATCTCATCCTCATCGTTAGACGAATGGGCGAGGACACCTTTCAGCAGGAGATGCGGAAACAACGCGAGTCTGTCCTGCGCAGCCTGAAAACGGTTGGCGATTTCGGTGGCGTTTCGAACGACGACAAGAGAGACGAAGTGTACCGTGGGGTGCGCCAGGGGCTGTTTCAGATAACCCAGCTCAGCAGGGTGTACAAGAACACCCTGCCGGTTCACGTCCACCGAGACGCCGCAGGGAACCTACTCGACGTGCTGGTGTCCTACATGATCCAGGGTGTTCTGTCGCTCGAGGACATTGTGAGCAAGGATTCGTCAGAATTGAGCAGACTTCTCGGCGTGATCGTTGAAAAAGGGCCGTCGGTGATGCAGATGAGTGAGGAAGAGGCAAAGAAAGAGCTCCATCACCACTGCCCCAGCTGGCTCCAGCTACAGGACCTGGCATTTGTCCTCGATGCTCGCCTGCAAGAGATTGTCGACCGATGGGCAGGGGGAGAGGGGACACTGGGCAAAAATTTCAAAGCCCTGCAGATTCGCACACTCATAAAGGCACTGTTCACCAACACAGACCGCAGGGCTGCAGCCCTGGACAAGATCACCATGCAAAAAAAATAGATGTCAGGAAATATTTTTAGTAGTCTGAGAAATTTTTTAGTGCGCTTTGATTGGAGTAGGCGGCGTCGATGCTGCTGCGGGTGCAGCGCTTCTTGAGGGAGGTTCGCAAGGCGACCAGACTGCAGAGCTACGACGTGCGGGAGGAATTGGTGCTGTGGCACTTCAGGCACTCGAGCTCGCTGCGGGAATGGAGCTGCATCAGCGATCGGGACATGGGCGGCTACTCGACCGCTTCTCTGGAGCCCAATGGGAAAGGTGGCGCTACTGGTGAAGTCACGTAGTAAATCAGAGCCGCCTTTTATCACTGCAGGAACGGGAGCTAGGTTCCACGGCCATCTGAGTGTCGAGCGGCCGCCAAATGCGTCACCGCGTTACAGTGGATACTGCGCCATTAGGTCCAAGCCGAGAAAAGTAACCATTGACTGCTTTATCAGCAGCAGACGACGCCATCTCTCGAACGATGCAGGAGCAGTGGATGGAGAGCGGGTTGTACGACGTCTCCGGTTACGATGCGCTCCAGTTGCGTGTGCGCGGAGACGGACGGAGGTTCATTGCGAACCTTAGCGCTCCCAGCATGGGACGCAGGGACGACGTCTGGCAGACATTCGTGTTCACCAGAGGCGGGCCTGAATGGGAGGACATTACTGTGAGAACCACTCACTCCATCTGTTTATTTTTTTCCTTCTTTGCTACTTGCGCAGTTGCCGTTTTCCGAGTTTTTCCTGACAAATCGTGGCTACATGCAGGACGCTCAGACACATCTGCCCAGGTCGTCCATCAGCACAGTGGGCCTACTGTTGGCTGACAAAGTGACTGGTCCGTTTGAGCTCGAGCTGCAGGCCATCAAAGTAGTCAGGCGAATGAGCAGCAGAACAGAGAATTAGACACATTGCCGTTCATTAACTCATTGACAAACACTTTTGATTCCATGTGAGGGTACAGTGACAAGGCATCACCTATTTGCTCCGTTATTGTCCTTTCCACATGGGATCTATCATTTGTGTGTCTATTCTGGGATACATGTAATGTGTTTGGAGTTGCTTGGCTATCTTTTCTTTGGGTTGTCTGTAGTCTTGAGGATGGAGAGGGAAGATTAAGAGGTTAGGTGGATATGCTGTGAGGCTTACCTGATCCAAACCAAGTTTCTTGATCCAGCCGTGGATGGTGTGTAAGGTATCTGGGTTAGGATGCATGCGTACGTCCTGGAGCGAGACTGCGAAAGAAAAAAACGTAACGTAATGCGTGCGCGGTTTCGGACGCGACGTTTTCGTTCTGCTCACTAACTTGTGATGTCTTCTCCTTTGCGGAGACGGTAATAGACGGTGCCGAGGCCGCAGAGCATGGTTCCTGCCCATATCCACACCATAGGAATGGTGTTTCGAGCGACAAACAGTCTGAAACGGTACCACCGGCCTCCTAGCGAATTCATCTCCGCCGTATTGTAAAGGTCGAAGTGCACACGTGTGTCGCTTCAGCCGTCGTCATCATCATGAAGCTGTTGACTCACAACATGCTCACGTCCCACGTCAAGGGAGTCAAGAACGGCTTCCCTCTGAGAATACTGGTAGGCCAACTCGTTGTACTAGTGCCTTGGAACGTTTCCCTGTTCGTGCGTGTCTCTGTTTTCAGGCGAGGAAGGTGGAGGTGAGACAGATTGACTTCAACCCCAACTTTATCACGAGAATGATACCCAGGATCGACTGGTCCGTTCTGAGAGCTGCTGCTGAGAACGTAAGTAGTTAAACACAGCAGACTTCTACACTAGTATAAAAATACTGAATCTAGCTACCACATTCAGTTGGGTCATGGACAAGGCCTGCCAGAGAGTCCTCCCGAAGAGTATGAATCGCAAGAGGATTTCCTGAAATCTGCACACCACGTGCTCATGGAGGTTTGAAGAAAAAAAACACCTTGTCCGATATAACTTAGAGAAAATACGGCATCTATGTTGGCTCAGGTCGAAGTGTTGGAAGGTGATCTGGAGTGTCCAGAGTCTGGGAGAAAGTTTCCAGTCACAGAGGGAATTCCAAACATGCTACTGAGAGAAGACGAAGTGTAGCTACCTATACACCATGTCTCATTCACTGCCTCACTTATGACAATTTTCCGCTGTACTGGTCTCGAATTTTTCGTGATGGTGTGCATGCTGAACTGACAAAATTTTGTAACAGCCAATATCACAGGAATCTAAGATTCAGTATAATGCTGGTGAAAAAGTATATAATTATTATTGCTGGTCATTCGCTTGAGCATAAACGACCTCTTCCACTGCTGAAGCTTGAGCTTCTCCGCTCACATTAACATATCCAGGCCCCGGAGCAGTCTGAGGGTTGTTAGCAGTGGAATCATCTGGAGCGTTGCCCCCGGTTCCAGAGTCATTAACGGGATTTTCGTACTCCTGGGGTGTGGCCGGTGGGCTGGGATTGGGGTGGTCATAAGGGCTCTGGCAGATTGTGGCATAGTGGCCGTCATCGCCACTGCTCCCACCTGTGTCTTCTCCTCCTCCATCCTCTCTTCTCCCTGTTCTGAACTTTACCAACTCATAGGCCGCATTACCGTAGGTTGAGATGTCCTTCGCTTCCGGTAAATCAGTCCTGTGTAGAACAATAAACATTCTCAACACAAGCTATAACACAAGTAGCTATATAATATTCCTCAAGAAAACCTGACGTGTGTCTTAGCTACTCGTTTGGCCATAATTCTTTGCTCACTGTTCTGCTCTCCAGACAGCGTTTGAAGGCTCTCTGCGGCGGTGTGCTGCTATTCTCAGCCTGGCGATAGAGACCGCAACAATAGTGAGGGCAATGATGAGGATAATGGCCACTGCCCCTCCAATTACAGCTCCGGAATCATCTAAAACACTCTGAGAGGTTGTTGCAGACACTGTAGGTGATTTGCATCCCTCGGTGTCATTGGGAGATAAGACAGCTACGGGGCATTCAAGATCAATGCTTATTTCAACTCGAGCCACTACGATGCTCGATTTGCTGCTGAGCCACTTTTCTATCAGAGGTATGAGGGAGCCACTGTCTGTCTCTGAAGTTCCCTCCAGTCTGGCTCGATATGTCACATACGTGGGGGACTCTGAGTCGCAGGCAAAGTACTCCTCGTCTATTGTACTGCTAGTGATTGCACAATTATGACAGGAGTCTCTCAATTCAGCCAGCACTGCGCCAGTTATATCGTCCAGTTTTTCATTAGTTAAAGATAGCTGTAGAATGTGTGACAATGGGTAAATTATCATTTCAGAGAGATAAGAAGTTTTTTTACCGTATATTCTGGGCAAGATGCAACACCACGAAGGTGCAACTGAAAATAGGAATCTATAGAACAAGAAGGATAAATAACGGCAAATGGTCATGCAGTGTCTTTACAATCTTCCAGTGTGGTGAAATTCTTTATTGCTGGTGGCCCAGTGCCTTGATTGTTGCTGGCAGCCAGAGAACATGAGTGGAGAGTGTTGGGAGAGAAGCCAGTGGCAGTGAGGCTCCCAGACTGGGAGGAGGGAGACTGGGGGAGGGAGGAGGGGGAGGGGGAGCAGGAGAGGGTGTAGCTGGTGATTACTCCATTATGCTGGGTCACAGGTGGGGGAGACCAGGTAAAGACAACTTGTCTCTGGCCCACGACTGCCTCAAATGCCTCTGGAGAACCTGAGGGAGCTGAGGACGAAGGAACAATTTTACTGAGGAAGTATAAATGTTGTTTCTACCGATCTCAAAAGTGCTGTAGGTGATGTTATGCGGTAGTGATGTCCCCCAAAGAGTAAAGGTGACAGCAACACATGTGTAGCTGATGCCAGGGTGGAGTTCAGTCACAGTGGCAGAGGTGTCTCTCTGCTCTCCAACGAGAGGCTCTGGAAGGGGAATCCCCTCCATCAGTGGGGTACAGGTGATGTTGTATCCAGTGATCAGTAGTGAGGCAACGGGGGTCAGAGTCCAGGAGAAGGAGAGAGAGGTGGCCGAAGAGTTGACGAGAGAAAACTCTTCAAATGGATTAGAGGCTAAACCGTAATAAAACAATCGTCAAACTGTAAAAGGTTATTAAGAATTACCATTCACATTCAGTTGTGCCGAATCCTGTGATGGTTTGCTGTTGGAGACGGTGCATGTGTAGAGTCCTTCAGGTCTCCCAGAGACTGTCAGAGTGTGGGTGTACTGTGCAGTCACTGGATCATTCAACACAGTCTGATTTCCTTGGGTGACAGTGGTGGAGTCTCTGGTCCAAGTGACAGTGGTAGCAGGTCCACCAGTGGAGATACAGGTGAGGGTGAACTGAGGACTTGGTCCATTGAGATCAGAGACCACAGCCAGTGAAATGTTCTCAGATATGAAAACAGCTAAAAGAGAATATCATTAGCTGACAATAAATCAAACTGCAAATAGCAAACTTCATGCGTTTGTATTATTCTCTTACGTGCAAATGCTTAGTGAAGTTAGCATACAATAATTAGAGGAAGCAATTATTATACCTCCGCTGTTTTTGTATATCCCGACACACATTCGCCGCATCACTGAATCTCTGTCTGTTGCGAAACAGCAGTAGATTCCTTCATCGGCTGGTCCAGCGCTGGCCCTGAGTCTCACCACCATTGGGCCCCTGTTTCTAGTGAATCCCGGAGTGTTGTCTCCATTGATTCTAACGTCGTTTGGTGTGAACCAATCTCCCCCGGAGTGGGGGTAATAGGAAGGCTGTCTGTTTATGTGGCAGAGGAGAGCCGTGCTGTCCGAGGAGCCAATGTCTTCAACAGACAAGTAGCCACGGTTGGGGACGAAATCATCTTCTAGACTTAGGTACATGCCTGAGGAATGAAGGGGGAGATCAAACTACTGAATAAGGAACACTTTGGGGACATTTAAAGTGTTTATTCAGAGGTGTCCTTTATTTGGGGTAGTATTAGTATATCAAACCACATTATGACATAGCCAAGTGTCCCTTAAACAATTTAACAAAGGTGTCCTGAGGGTCCTTTTGATCAGAGGTTTCACTGTAATTGGTTCATTAAGCAATGCTGCTATAATGGCTCACTATTTCGAGTTGTCAGAATCAGTGGGTCACTGTACTCCCCAGTACCAGCAGTGTTTATCCCAGCAACTTGAACGGAGTAGACAGTAGATGGAGACAGTCCAGAAATGGTGGCCTCAGTTATGTTTCCCATAGAAACATTAACATTGTGTGTGCTCTCAATGTCCATGTATCTGACAGAGTAACCGGTGATGATTCCGTTCTCTTCAAGGCAGGGTATCGTGTCCCACGTGAGAGTTATATCAGAGAAAGTCACTCGCGAAGGTCTGACAGACATGGGAGCAGCAGTGGGAGCTGTGTGTGTGTATCTATACATCGTGTAGAAAGAGAAAGAAAGAGGCAGTATATGCTAGGAACCTCACACAGTAGGAAAGGAAGATTCTATGGATGTGAAATGGAACCATTACACACACTCTCTGAAACACTGTTGTTTTTTAGTCTGACATTGTATCAATTTTACTTGATGCTTTTTAACACCTGGAACGGGAATCGCTTACCGGCAGGCATCGTAGAGGCTGTGATGTTCTGTTCTTCTGGCAAGTCATGGCCACTGAGCGTGGCAGTCACAGTGATAGAATACTCTGTGCCTTCCTCTAACCCAGTCAGGTTGATGACCATCTGTCTTGTGGTGTATTCATAGTAGGAAGTGGAACAGTGGGTGTTGGAGTAGGATATGTTGTAGCTACTGGCATTTAGACCCTCGTTGAGTAGCCATGAGATGACCAAATGCGTAGTGGACGAAGAGTTAACAACTATTCTCAGTGCTTTTGAGAAAACAATCAACTAAGCACAAGCTCATTGTAACTAAAAAAAATTACCCTCTGTCTTTGCTCTCAGCGAAGTGCTGTAGACTCCGATTCCAGCATTGTTGACTGCTGCCACTTCAATGGTATACACAGCAGGAGATAGTCGAGAGAGAGTTAGTTCCCTCTCTCCAGCCCCAACCCTCTCCACAGACCTTTCACTATCACCCACTTCCCCGTACCTGACAGAGTAACCTGTTATCTCTCCGTTGGTGTGGTTACACTCCACCACCCCCCACTGGACTGTGATAGTAGTGAAACTGGTGCCGGATATCCTCACAGACGGTGGGGCAGCAGATGGAGCTATAGAGGAAGTTGTATTAGTACAAGCCGGTCCCTCTAGCTGGCATTTCTTTCTTGGTATATAGGGACTAACTGAAAAATTACACAAGTCTTACCTGCTTCTTCAGTCGTTGCATTTATTGTAGTACCAACTGAGCTCCCAGCATCATTGAAGGCTTTCACCGTTACAATGTATGTAGTGCCTCCTGCCAGTCCTACTATTTCTTCATAGTTAGTGACATACGGATCAGTGACGGTTAACGTTCCCTTGTCTGCCAGATAAGGACATTTTTTCGAAGTGTTTGTCTTCCACTTCACCTCATAACCAGTCACCACTGAGCCATGGGGTGCCCTCCAGAGAAGGCCTATGGCATTCGTGTACGTACGACCTACGCTAAGGCGTCTTGGTGCACCTGGTACTGTGCAAAAGGAGTGACCACAAGTCAATGTGTGTTGCTCAGTTTTCTACAGCTTACCCAAACTGACAGACAGTCTCACACCGTCGCTGGGGAATTGCTCTTCTAAAGTTGCTGAAACGGATATGTTGCAGGTTTCTCCATTCCGAAAGCCCGTCAGTCGCTGGCTGTAGGTCCTAATAGACCCCCGGAACCCACTTTCACTCGCTGTACACTGCCACTCTATTCTGTACAGGATCTGTGTATCTCGATATGGACTCCAAGACACAGTGACATTGGTGGGACCCTCCTGGACTGCCCTCACATTTGTAGGAGGCGAGGGACCTGAGACGGAATTTGGAGGGCGCAGGAACAGCATAAACTGATAGCTATATGTGGTGAAGTATACCTGGTATACTGTAGATAGCTGAATCAATGGATGGTTTGTTGTTGCTCACAGTGCAGGTATACTCTCCGTTTGTGCTTCCAGTTAGAGTGTGCAAGTAAAGTAGTCTCTCTGGCCTAGTCAACTCAGACTCAGTTCCTTGGGTGACAGTGGCCGAGTCTCTGGTCCAAGTGACAGTGGTAGCAGGTCCACCAGTGGAGACACAGGTGAGGGTGAACTGAGGACTTGGTCCATCAGGATCCGAGCGCATACGCATGTAAATATTTTCCACTCTTACGTCTCCTGCAATTGTATATACAGCTCAATCAACAAATCATGTATTTTGCATATTGCCTGCTAATCTGCAGTTACCACTTTACCTCCTCTTGAGTAGATTCCCACATAGACAGCCTGCGCTCTTGCTGTGCTAGGGATTGGACAGTGGTACATGCCAGAAGGGCCACTACCACCTTGCCCGCGTTTCAGCTCAATCGTTTGATTGCCATGAGATGTAAAGATGCCGTTTGACCTGTTAGAACTAAGCACCACTGAACCATTGGGAAAGTACCAGTCTCCGCGATGGACCCGGTCCAGGTCGGTGTGGCACACCAGAGTGGCTCGGCTTGAGTCCTGGAGTTGGCTCATGTTCAGAAACCAGTGGTTGGGAAGTGGTGTCCCTCCGAAGGCAATGTATGGGTATGTGGACACCTGCAACAGAGAGCTCAGCAACAGTAGAGCCATCAACCACTTCCTAACACCTGCACCATGAGCAGATCTGTCAAGGTGTAGCTAACTGGGCATATTTTCACCCTTGAGCTAAGGGTGCCGCTTAAACAAAAGAGAATGAAGGTAACAACTCACAGGCTATATTCTTTCTCCACTCCATCTCTATTATAGACAAGGCAGTCCTTGCATGTATGAGTAAAGCTGCTTATTTCACCAGTTATTATAGCTATGCACGGAATTATGCTGCTGGGGAGAAATTTGGTATACAGTGTTGGAGTAAAGGTTATCAGCTAAGAGCATATTTCCGTGGAATTGTGTCGCCACATGTTTATACAGTCTCCCACGAGAACTTGTACTCTGTGTGAAACATGCACACTCTGATATCATTCGTGGAGTTTGCCCATATTTTGATGGTTTGCTGACACTCTCATGAAGCATAACACAAGGTGAGCAATCATATGGCAGGGTATATACTGGTGAGGTGAAGTTAGCAGAGTGAGAGTAACACAATGATATGAGGTGTGCATTGCAAGTCTGCTAATTAGTAGGGACATCCGTTTGCCCAGTGCCCACGTGCACCTGCAATCAAGCATAATAATAATGAAACAGAGTCAAGAGTATAGGAATAGCGAGTGGACTCACCGCAGTTGTAGCATCTTCCATACCCACCATAGTAGGCACCATCGAGCCCAGACTCATAGACGCCAGAGTCAGACTCCTCTTCCTCATCTTCTTCGTCGTCATAATCATCAGAGTAGTAGTCATCTGCATCATCATCATAGTCATCATGCACCGTAGTATACGGTCGTCGTCGTGATGTTGGTGTGTCCGTCCGCCCTGCCGACGATGTCTATTGTCACCCCTCCTCCTCCTCCCACTCTTATCCCACCATTGCCGCGATTCCCACTACCTCCTCCCCCTCCTCCTCTTCTCCCTCCTCCACTTCTCCCACCATTACCGCGATTCCCACTACCTCCTCCTCCTCCTCCTCTTCTCCCACCATTGCCGCGATTCCCACTACCTCCTCCCCCTCCTCCTCTTCTCCGTCCTCCACTTCTCCCACCACTCCCTCCTCCTCCCCTTCTCCTACTGCCACCACTATTCCCACTACCACCAGTGCTACTGTGACCACCACCAGAGCTTCCACTAGTACCACCTCCACCACTCTGGTTTCCACTCCCAAGACCACTAGAACCACTCTGGGTACCACTGACGCCACCACCAGAACCACTAAAGCCACCAAAACCACTGACGCCACCAAAACCACTAGAGCCACTGGCATTGGACTGTCTAGGTGCATTTAAGAGTCCACTTGTGGACAACGTGCCTGCGGACGTTCGTGAATCTTTCAGCTTTCTTCTCTCCTCGACGGCGGCAGGGCCCATCTTTTCAACCATCTTATCGATTGCGTTGTCCAGGACGAGAGAGCGGACCGGATCTGCCGACACGGCCTTGCGACACACCGGACACTCCCGTTTCGACTTCATCCACTGCTTGATGCACTTGTTGCAGAAAGAGTGGGCACACGTCAGTGTGTGGGCCTCGATAAACAGCTCCTGACAGATGGCACACGTGAACTCTTCCTGCATGGAGTCGATGACCCCCTCGCTCTTTTTCTTTGTCTCCTCAACCTCCTTCTCCGCCTCAGACTTCTCCACCAGCAGCTTCTCCTTTGAGGCCAGCTCGCTCTTGAGTGCCTCGATGCTGCTCAGCAACTTTTGTTTCTCCTTCTGCATGTCGTCCCTCGCCGCCCGAATCTGTAGACTAGCTCCATCTATGTGCCCGCCCTCTCTACTGGTAGTCCCTACTAGAGCCTCAGAGGATGGCCCTGCGGTAGAAGTTAGCATGGAGCCATCGTCACCAAAGATGGCGTCTGACACGATTTCGTCGAAGTCTTTCTCGACAGCTCCGTCGGAGAAGAGTTCGTCAATGGCCGAAGCAGGTGTCTCGAGGAGAGAGAGAGGAGACACCAGATAGCTTGGTGTAGAGGGCGGAGGTTGTGGGACCAAGGGGAGAGGTTGTTGGGAAATCAACTGAGTGTTGTCGTCTGTGGGGTTCTCTTGGCTCTGTGAGCCGCTGGGAGCAGTCGAATCTGTGTCTTGTTCGTGTGTCTCGACCACTTCTCCACTCGAATGAAAAGACTTGGTGGCATTGTCCCGTTGACTGTCATTTTCATCAATAGAGCCAGTGTTCTGTGAAGATAATGCTACTCCGGGGGCTGAAGACTCGTCTTCTTTTGCTTCCAGTCGAGGCTTCTTCGCTGATCGACGCAGAACTTCAGAGGGGGATGGTTGTTCGGTTTTTTCGTAGATAATTTCCTGGGGACTATTGCTTGTATGTGGTTCGATCTTTACCAGCTGTGGAGATGGTTCAGCCTCCTTGTTGGCTATTGTACCAGACTCACTAGGAGCTCCAGGGATTTTGGCCGTTTCTCTCTCTTCCCCGGCCCCAGCTCTGAGGAGCATGTGTGGATCTCCGCAGGATGTGACTAGCGTGTACCTGAGCTGATTGCCAGGTATCGGTGACCCGAAACAGATTTTGTTGCCGTTTTCGAGAGGGACAGGAGTTGAAGGCTTGATCTTTGTTTTGCCATTGATGTACACACCATTTACACTCTGCAGTGGAGGAGCAGTTTACCAAAATATAGAAAATGTGACAATTGATAACTGTGGTAATTGTCTTTTCCGCTTTGATTGATCAAACGCTACACACAATGGACAAAAAATTACAACAATTTCGCCATTTTTTAAGCATCACATTTGAGGATAAATGGTCAATATAATTATGGCTGTCAACAACATACACAGTTTGTGTGTGAATGTACATACCTCCAAGTCGGTGATGTTCCACTGACTGGTTGACTCGTTGAACCAGAGAGAGGCGTGAACCCGAGACACCATGGAGGGGTGTTTTGACGAGCGGATGAAGATGTCTGCCTGCGACGCTCGACCTATTGTCAGGGGCCCAGCTGACGGCTCTAGAGGGATGAACTCGGGGACGTTCCAGGCGTCATGTGCTTCTGACGACTTGCACCTGGCGACACTACCCTGGCCCTGCTTATGGTGTTCTGTAGCTGTCGTCATCCTCTGCAAGTCACGTGAGCAAAATGTGACGATGACATTCCATGCACAAGAAAACTACCAACTTCAAGTGCTAACTTACAGACTTATGGTATATAGCAGATGGTAGGAGATAGTGATACCCTGAATTACTCGGATCCTCTGGTTACATGCCCGCTGCGCTCCGATGTCCGATTCGTTGCCCTGGTGTCATGTTTTGTGATCCGGTGGGCGGAGCGACCAATTTGCGCATGCGCTATTAATCTTCGCGCCGAAGTGCGACACAACTACAACCCCCAGTCATCATGGATCCTCTTTACATGGCCAACAGCCTGTTTCGTCGCAGACGATTCGAGGACTGCGTACAGGTGTGCACAGAGATCCTGGAGGCCAACCCTTACGACCAAGTTAGTCGCTACTTGCAGCCGAGCCTGCGAGCCAGCCACTCCCCTTTCTTCTCGACTGCACTGCATGCTAGGCGGCATGGTTTCTGAAGCTCCGCTCGCTGACAGAGCAGACGTACGTGGACGAGGTTGACATGGACGAGGAAGGAATTGCAGAGGCCTTCCTGGACGACACTGCCATTGCTGATGTTGCTAGTGAGCTCCTTCTTCTCTTTACCCTCTCTTTCTCCTCTCACAATTCTCTCTTCTCAGGGCCAGGAACGTCTCTGAAGGGTCCACCTGGTACTACCAGTCGAGGACTGAGCCAGGGAATAAGGTTAATACACAAAACACCAACTTTTCAAACCACAAACTGTTCTATACTAGACCCGTTTCGCAATCGGGGCGGCCGCTGTCTGGATTTGTTCGTCCCGGGACTCAGGGGGGTCGTCCCGGGACAATGGAGCAGGCTCTCCGGACGGCAAGAACGGCAATGACTGCCAGGTAAAGTCGAGACCGCCCCTCTCTCAGTGATACTGTGGTTGAGATGTAGTTGTATGGCTGTATGGCTGTTGTTGCCTCTCTCCCTCAGACCTGTGACAAGTGCTTCAGGAAGACACGTTCGTCTGGGCACCGTAAGTGAAAAAATTGCAAACTCGATCAAATATTAATCTTTCTCCCTCCCTTACTCACTTACATACACATACTGTATTTCTCTTCCGTAGGCCTCAATGCTGACTGAACCCGGAGGTCCTTTTGTGGATGTCTCCAAGCTAAACATGAGCAAATACTCCCAGCGACCAGCCCTAGCTAAAGTGAGTAAGAAGACAAGAACTTTACTATCACTGTCTCTTTGTCTCTTGCAGGCTCTCTTTGAGTATCTATTCCACCATGAAAACAATGTCAGAGCGGTCAGTTTCCATGCATATTTCACATCATCTGTGAGAGGGTTCCTGGATCTTTGGGAGGGTAGGAGGGAAGGAGGTGTTAACACAAAGTACTTTTGCATATGGATTCATGTCGTAAAAAGGCTACTCTCTCGTAAACCACTCTCTATTGCATCTAAGTGCTCCTCCCCCTGCTTCAGAACGTCTCAATTGTATGTGGTTTACTCCCCCCAGGCACTGGATCTTGCTGCACTGGCCACCGAGGCCTGTCAGTTTGGAGACTGGTGGTGGAAGATTCAACTGGGCAAGTGCTACTACAGGTAAACATCTCTATACCACTGGCACTGCCCATATTCAGATGGGCTGCCTCAGTAGCTCCACGTCCACACTGAATAAGAGACACTCATTGAAAGTGTTCTTTTTTCGGACGTGTGCCCCTGTTTCGGTTAGACTAATGTATTTGTGTGGGGCAGAACAAAGTGTCCTTCATAGAAAAGTGACCTTTTCTCAGAGGGTCAATTTCAGGAGGTTTCACTATAGTTAGTCCCCCCAAACGCACACACAGACACACACCCTCCCCCCAAACACACACACAGACACACACCCTCCCCCCAAACAAATACACACACACCCTTTCTCTCTCTGTGTGTGCGTGCAGGTTGGGTATGTACAGAGATGCTGAGAGTCAGTTCAAGTCGTCACTCAAACACTTTAGTACCATAGACATGTTCCTCTACCTGGGAAAAGTCTACGTCAAACTGGACCAACCTCTTTCTGCTCTCGACTACTACAAGAGAGTGAGTCGAAAACAACTCTTAAGTTGTTAGTGAAAGACGAGGTCCTTATTAGAGGGGTGTCCTCATATCAAGGGTGTTCTTAGAGAGAGGTGTCCTCATATCAAGGGTGTTCTTAGAGAGAGGTGTCCTCATATCAAGGGTGTTCTTAGAGAGAGGTGTCCTCATATAAAGGGTGTTCTTAGAGAGAGGTGTCCTCATATCAAGGGTGTTCTTAGAGAGAGGTGTCCTCATATCAAGGGTGTTCTTAGAGAGAGGTGTCCTCATATCAAGGGTGTTCTTAGAGAGAGGTGTCCTCATATAAAGGGTGTTCTTAGAGAGAGGTGTCCTCATATCAAGGGTGTTCTTAGAGAGAGGTGTCCTCATATCAAGGGTGTTCTTAGAGAGAGGTGTCCTCATATAAAGGGTGTTCTTAGAGAGAGGTGTCCTCATATCAAGGGTGTTCTTAGAGAGAGGTGTCCTCATATCAAGGGTGTCCTTAGAGAGAGGTTCCGCTGCGTTAACTCATAGATAGATCTCCTATGTTACTGAGCTGTTTAGTGAATGCGTAGTCAAATTGCAATATGCGTTGTGTGTGTTACTATAGACATAAATTATATGAACCATTTGAGACTCTATATCTCTCGTTACCGCAGGGTTTGGAAAAGTTTCCAAACAACACGTCTCTACTCATTGCTATAGCCCGCATACATGAGGTAAGAGTAGCCTAGCTTATAATTATATATACTGCGTACGAAACGTGCCCACCTCCCCTTCTCTCTATTGTAGGGTCTGAATGACTTGGACTCTGCAGTAGAGTACTACAGACAAGTACTGAAGTATGACAGTACGTGCGTGGAGGCCATTGCGTGCATCGGAACACACCATTTCTACAACGACCAGCCAGAGATTGCACTTCGCTTCTACAGGTCTGTTACTCGAGGAAATTTACATTGTCCTCTAAACCAGTATACCTCTATATCTATGGTTCTGCTATCCACCTTTCCCCCTCAAAAATGATCCTAGTGTTTTCGCAGTGGCCGTCTCCTTTCCCTACTAGTTTTATGAACAAAGGGCGGAATCCAATTCTATCTTCGTGGCACGATGCAACGGGGCAACGTGATGAACTTCAAACCCAGTCTCTCTCTCTCTCTCTCTCTCTCTCTCTCAGGCGGCTCCTGCAAGTTGGAGTCTACAATGCGGAGCTGTTTACAAACCTCGGTCTCTGCTGTTTCTATGCCCAGCAGTATGACATGGCCATCAGCTGCCTCCTGAGGGGTCTTCAGCTCTCTCCCAATGACGACAACACTGCTGATGTCTGGTACAATATTGGACACATCACTCTGGTGGGTACTACTGTATGTAGCTACTGTGGGAAGCAATAATAATAGTGGAACTCTTCTAATTGGACAGAAGAAAGTGTCCATATTAGTGAGGTGTCCTTGTTCCATTTCATGCAAAACTGTTATTCTGGTGTCCTCGGAGATGGGTGCCATTGTGTTTACTGGGAAACGCCTGAGATGGTGCTCTCAAAATGGTGAAAACTCACATTTTTCTCACATTTTTGTTTGCATTTGAGTTATTAGCACTCGGCTTGTTTTTCATTACTTTCACTTTCACATGTTTTGTCCCTTGCCCTCTCTCTTTCCCTCTCTCTCTCCTTCCCTCCTCTCTCACAGGCAGTGGGGAGTGTAAGTCTGGCCTACCAGTGTTTCAAGCTGGCACTGACCTCCAACAACAGCCATGCCGAGGCCTACAATAACCTCGGAGTCATAGAGTGGAGGAGAGGCAGAGGAGAACAGGTATATAGAGAGAGGGGGGAGGGGGGAGAAAGGAGAGGGGAGAGGTAGAAAGAGAGAGGGGGAGAGGAGAGAGGTGAAAGAGAGAGGGGGGAGGAGAGAGGTGAAAGAGAGAAGGGACATAGTGAAAGGAAAGTTAGAAAGAAAGAAGAGATATAAAGGGAGGCAAACGGAGGGAAAGAAAGAAGGGGTGTGAGGGGGTAGAGGAGAGAGGAGGGTGCAGAAAGCTAAAACAAAGTCAAAGTATGCGTCTACTGTGTGTGCGTTTGTAAGAGAATCTCCTTTCGCCGTGCGCTGGACATTGAAACTATGAGGTAACACGATCAGCCATAGAATGTGTCTTTGCCAGAGTCACGTAACGTACATCCCCCAAAATTTTCCCACGACCCATCGTACAACCGATGAGCGTGCCATGGAAACCAGAATACCGGAATTCCTTTCTCCTTTCCTAACTTGAGTCCAAACACTCGGTAACACGAGATATTGGTCGACATTGTCCCCCTCCAACCGCTAGAATGATCACCGCTATAATCTGTGTGCTAACTGTGAGTGCTGCTGCTGTGGAAGGCTGAGAAGGAATAGAAAAAGGAATGTGGTTGTGAGGTCTTGTACAAACTGAGAGGTAAGTACCGTCAGCTGCTTTGGTCGGGCCACACTCAACCCTCTTCATTACTGCATTGCCGGAATTCCTTTAAACAGTTCATTCCAGTATACACATAAGTCAGTATGTGTGTGTGGATACACTGTCCATAGATGGCGGGGTTTGCTGCATGTAAGTGACATCAATAAGCGAGAAGAGAATGTGCGGTATGGCTGTTGGGCCTGAGGTAAACAGCATCTCTGAGGTTCACTGACTGGAACTGGGAAGTTTGGTGTATGTATGTGCATGAAACTACAGCGGTGTGTATGTGTGTGCGCGCGCGTGTGCTGTCTGTCTGTAGGTGATGCATGTGTGTGTGTATGTATGCAGGCTGGTGCTCCGTTTGCACTAGCCAGCACTGGATAATGTTGTATTATGAAGGCTTTAGTTGTAGTTCACCATAAAGTGCCTTCTTGGAACTCCTTATCTCCTATAATGTTTGAGGAGATCCTGCCAAACTCAGTTTGCTCACCCCACTACTTAAAAGAAGTATATAAAACATTAGTTTCTTCTCTCACTAGTTGTGCTCTTCCTCAGGCCATGACCTGTTTCCAGTCCAGTGCCTCCATCTCTCCACATCTCTATCAGCCTCACTACAACCTGGCCGCTGCCTCTGAGAAGGTCTGTTTGGAGCTCTGTTGCCGACCTTGAGCAGCACACCACTCCCTAATCTCCCCCTCTCCCCCCGTATCTCTTCCCCATCCACACATCTTTCCTCTCCCTCTATTCCCTCGCTGCAGACTGGAAACCTCCACAGCAGCTACTCGTGTGTCAAGAAGAGTTTGGAGGTCTTTCCCGAGCACTTGGACTCGGCAGAGCTCATGAAACAACTCCAACAGCACTTTGCAGCTCTCTAAACTAAAAAAACTCACTCAAACTCTACTTACTCCCTTTCTCTTTTCTCTCTTCCCTTATATACATATGAGCCATTTCTTATTTCTGGCGTACCTAGTTAAAGGTTTTTCTAGAGTTCCAGGAACTACATAAATAGTGGAACTCCTCCATAGCGACTGTCCAAAGTATTTTTGTAACTCTCTTGCTCCCTCTTGATAATTAACATCTCCTTTGAAAAGCGACATTTGACTTCTTGGCTGATATCGGGGACACCTCGTCAATCAGGACACTTTAAGTGTCTTGATCAATGTATGTTGGTGGTCGGAGGTTCAGGGACTATTGTCCCTCCCTGGCCCATCCTAATTCCATCAACCAACACCCAGTAAAGAGAGGAGAGAGAGAGAGTTAGTAGCGTGAGAGTGGCGGCCAATGGCATCTGCTCCACTGCAACTGGACATAGTTGTGGGGAGATATTTCGGGTGGCCACTGAGTTGATTATAGCACGTCATGTCAACACCTTCCATTGTGCTGCGGGTCTCATGTGTATAACAAAAGAATGTGGGCAGTTACCCGCACTTCTATATATTCATTGGTGGCAGCATGCATGACGGAGAGTAGGAAAACAATAGACCATACTTTTCCTTTTTAAAGAAGTTTGGCCTCTTGTTTTAAGGCATCACACATTGGAGGGGTGAAGTAGCATTCACCATGGATGATCCACATTGTAGCTGGCCATATACTAAGCACCAGTTGAAAATACTAGTTTTATGTACCGAGTTAGCCAGAGCGTAACCACATACCGTGACTATACTTTTGGCATTCAATTCCTCTGCACATGTGTGTTTGCAACACACAAATTATTCAGTTTAACTCTGCGTCTGGAATACACCTGTTACAACCACAATAGTTGCTTGAGCATTAGCTAGAGGCAGCAGGTCTAATAACAACACAGTTCTTGGAATAGAGTGTGTTGTACTGTGGTACCCATGCATGGCAGCACTGCGCATAATAGAGCTCTACAGAGTCACGCAATGTGTGTGGCCAGAAGTGTTAGAGGGTGGAGGAATGCTGGTTACACAGAGCCTTGAACATTCACTACAGTAAAGTGTGCCACTATCGCACTGTCCGATTCATCACCAAATGCCACATGTATAATTGGAAGGTGCTGGGATCAAGTAATGAAATAGTATGGGATGTGTGAACGTAGGCGGTCAAAACTGCCTTATTTGTCGCACGACACTTGCTCGCAAGACACAATGGAAAGATCAATAATAGTATAGTAGCATTATTGTATATCATCTGTATAAAAGTGAAATGAAGTCTCAAACTCTAAAACAGAGCTTCTGGTACAGAAAATGGACATAAAAACAGGGAGTGGGACAAACATAATTGAATGGAGTTTTGTTCACTTTCCCCAGTCATGTTCTTCTGTGGGTTAAGAGAGGGTGGGAGGGAGGAGAAGGGGAGGAGGGAGAGAGAGGGAGGAAGTGTGATCAATTAGCAGTACAAACAGTCTTGCTATTGAGAGCCCAGCATTGCAAGCAACTTGATACCCTATCCTACACACTGACAGCCATTACAATGTATTGCCTGTGTGATCCCACACTAAGGGATACACGTAAGTGATCATGAGGGTGTATTAGCACAGCTCTTTATGCGTGCTATGTATACGCCATTATAATGAGAGGGTTAAAAGCTGAGGCACTCTCCATGTTTGTATATATATGCAACATCCAATCATATCCCTAGCCGATACAAATGATATCCTATACCGCAAACAATGGACAAACTATTTTGCAAAAGTTGGTAGTTTCAACACACACCTTATTTGCGTGCCGGGAACGGAAAGCTCTCAGAGCTGCTGGAGATGTAGCCAGATTCTCTCTTTTGCTGCTCTGAAGTACTGTTCTTGCGTATGTGCAGATGATGAGAAACGCTGCCACCACTAGTCGAGATCGACTTGACTAGAGGTGTGTGCGGAGAGATCAAAATCTGCTCTGGGGAAATTGGAAGGTCTATGCTTCCACTGACAGAGCTACGACGATGCTTGAGGGGGAGGGAAGGCGGAGTAGGCGCCTTGTGGTGATGGGGTGTGGAGGAAGTGTCGGGGTGTGCTGGGGTAGGGGAAGATACTTCGGGGTGGGGAGTGGGGGAAGATACTCCGGGGGTGTTCTGTCGAGAAAAGGACGGGGTGGACTGTCGTGTGTGTGTCGGGGAGCTCTGTGCACTGATATGATTGCGGAGCATGTTTGGTTTGAACTGAGCCCTGCGGTTGGCAAACTCGGAGGTGGAAGTCTGGAGGAATGATCCCCCGCGTCGGCTCTGCGGCCGAGAGCGCACCAGCCCCCTCTTACCCCCTGAAGTCGAGGGTACGGACAAGAGTGACTCGGGCGTTAGACACGTGGGGATAGTTGCATCACTCAGCAGTTCGTCCTCGGTGAGTATGCCAGTTGACTTGGAGAGGTTGCTGACGTTAGACTGGGCAATGCTCTCAGTGTCTGTATCGATGCTGTCCTCTGAGTGGACTCTGCGAAGGTTTGTCAGCACGACGGCAGGCCGGTTGTGGTACATCGGGACTGATGCATCGAAATCGTTGAAATGTGAAGTAGCGGTGGACGCAGAGCTGTTGCTGGCCACCCGAGCGATTGAGTTTGGAATCACGAATGCTTCCTTCTCTTCCTCTTCGTCCTCCGTCGAGAATTTGTCCGCGAGGACTCTGGGCTGCATCCTAACAGAGCGTCTCGTCCGGGAAGAGTACCTGGACGGTTTGGGAGGCGAGCGAGATCCCGTTTGGTTGTGTGTGGTGGCAGTCCCATGAGGTCATGGAGGAGAGAATCATCCGGCAAGTCCACTTCTGCATCATATCCCGGTCCCCCTTGTCTTGAGTTCCCAGGAGAGTTGGTTCCGTTAGCACCGCGAGTATTTTCACTGCCAGCAGTGATTCTTTGAGGTGCTCTGCGAGTGCTGGAGCGAGAGAGAGACCCGTGGTTGCGAGCGCCGCCCTTCTTCTGTCGGAGACTGAAGCTGCGCAGGTGGTTTCGCTGGAACGCAAGTGGGTTCTGGTCCTCGTCGGATGTCCGTGGACTCTCTCCGTCGCTTCCGAGGCCGCTGTCTCTCTTCTGGTGGTGTGGCTCCGGCTGCTGTTGCTGTCTGTGTTGGTGGTGGGCGGAGTCTTCTGGTCCTGTGGGCAGTGGAAGGTTCATGACCTTCCTGAGAGCCTTGGAGCGGTAAGAGAGCTGGTTCTTGTGGAGTCGGTTGTGGGTGGGAGGGATGAAATACGTCTGTGTGGGAGATGAGGGAGTTGGGTAGGCCGTCGTGTCTGGGGGCTGAGACAGAGCGCTCTGTTTGGAAGAAAGACAGAGAGACAGGTCACTCAAAGACACAGATTGAGTAGATGTGCACATAACTACACCATTTCGGTGAAACACAACACAGGAATGTGTTCTGGGTACATATACACAGGTATATAACATAGCTAAAGTTACCCAGGTAGTGGCATGCATATGAAGCTTATGTGGATCTTCTTCAACTGAATGGTTGTATCGGTATGCAGTGTTAACATTAAGTAAACAGTTTATCTCTCTATCGTAGGAGACGGACATGTCTGTGAGCATGCACAGTTGACTTGTCTTCCCACACTGCCCCACTCTATTTTCATTCCTCGGGTTGGTTGAGAGGTTTGCGTGCAGTGTCCAGCCTATAGAGAGAGCGCCATGGGTGGCATGGGAAAGGCTCAAGTAAGCGTTGAGTGCTCAAGGACCAATTGAAGATAAATCAATAGAGCGGCACGTTAAAATTAATGTAGCATTCATTCCATGGGATTCCGCATACTGCATTGATAATTTCACTGCTTGAGTGAAATATGATATTTGTTTCCCCAAAGGTAGCTTCACTAACTCAACTTATATTCTTAAGAAAGCTGTGCAACTGTAAACTTTGGGTGATGAATAATAATTATTAATGACGTTTTGGCGGCAAGACACATTCCACCAGGAATGACACAAGAGTGAGCATACAGGCCCAGCTGTGATATCTGCGGAGCACACACACGCTCTGTCAGTGAGGGCCGGAAAAGGAACAAAGAGTGCCATTTAGAGCCCTGACATTTCTCCAGAGACTGATTCAAATACCATTCCGGCGAAGGTGGGGCATGCAAATTACATTACTTATGAATAACTCTGGCATTGAGGAGGAGATGCCTAAGCAAACATATCAGCTGCTATGAAACTTGTTTGTTGCAGCTCTGGAGCAAACTCTTTCTCCTTTTTTGGGCCTTCTACACCAATCACTGTCAGTGCTGTACACTAGAAAGCTGTAGTCTACGCTAGACTGGTAAGGAGACTAATGCAGACAATTACTGCCATGAATATATTGCGGAGCAGCTATGCATCAGCATGACTTACCGGGACCCAGGCATTTCTGAAGGAGAATCGCTGGTCGTGCGAAGACGTCGATGCAGCGGACGGACTGCGAGGCTCGCGGTAGGAGCAGCGCGACCTCGGTAGCGTTCCGTAATGCGCGTGCACGTCCAACGGCATGAAATAGTCGTCGACTACGTCTTCTTGTAGGGTCTCGTCCATGCACTGCCACTCGCCCGCATGCCTCTCCTCAACATACTCCTTCTCCAGTACTATTGAGCGAGTCATCGAGTTGAGGGATTTGAGGTAGTCCGACACGCGGTTGGAGAGTATCTGACGCCGGGAACCGCTCGCCGCTGTCGCCGGCACGCCACCGCGTGGTCTCGACGGCCTCGGGAGAGTGCAAGACTGGTAGGGAGTCGCTCCAAAGTTCACGGAGGGGTCGGGCTGTGACATCGATGATAAGTGGAGGCCTGCAGACTGTCCGTCGTAGCTGCCGGGATCCATCATTTGGCGATAGCGAGACTGTCTCTCCATCACGGTGGACATTGTGAACACTTTATACAGCAGCAAAATTCTACGACGTCTTTGAATGCGCAACTGAGAAGACGATAATATTGGCCAGTGTGCTGCTTCACATCGTATTTTATAGCTGTTCAAGACTCTTAGAGTAGTTTGCGCATGCGCAATAATCGCGCGGAATATTTTGTGGGTGGGGCACACAGCGACGAATGGCAGCGCAGGAGGACAACGAGTCTCACCAGCAGTTCCCTGTGGCCTCGTTCGCCGTTCCCTCGCGCACAGAGCTGGAGGAGAGGCTGGTCCTCGCTCTCAACACCAGAGACGGCCAGCAGTCGTGCGCACAGGACGGCGCCGACCCCTACACCCGCGCAGTCCGCTACGTAGAGCAGCACCGCATCGTGGAGATATTCCAGGTAGTATCCATGGAAACACGGCTTGGGCTTCCTCCCCACGTATCAGTTCACACAATACTCGGATCAGCTGAGCATTGTAGTAGGTAGTTCACCAGCAGTATTGCCTGGGGCACTATGAGCAACTGATGCAGTATGTGGCAGTCAATTATTGGTGTTATCTGTCTCTACCACAGAACATTACCTCTAGGATAGCCTATGAGCGACCAGATGACCCACTGCAGTTCATGCTCAATGAGATAGAGAAAGTGAGAAAGGGCCAGAAACTGGAGACTCTCAAATAACCACTCTCCTCTTCCCCCACCACTCGGATTATAGATTTATTTTCGACTTCCCACATCTCTCTCTCTTTATCCTGCTATTGGATATCCATTATATCTATATATATTTGTCTCTGAAACGAAGATTTATTTTCATTCCAACTGTCTTCCCACACCTCACTGTCTAAAACTTCTCAGAATATGAATGACTCTTGGCTGTAAATAATATCAGAGCGTCTTTGTTAACGGTTTACAAGATGAAGGTATTCTCACAAACTTAACTATGTCTTGTTCAGAAAGTAGGTAGATGGGTATATAGGAGCAGATAAAGACTTTGTGAGTGTCCTAAATGAATTCTGTGGACTCTCATTCAACAAGGGTTGAGAAATGTAGACACTCAAATAATTATTATGACTTGATGATTGATCCCCTTTGAACACCAGACAATACTGTATGCGAGTCGACCCTGGATTCGTCGCGTACCTTTTGCCCCCCAGAACACCATTCTTATCTAATTGCAAGAGTTCTCGCTGCAACAAGATACCCTCTTTTGACCTACTTGGCACACACGACATGGACTCACAATACGTAGAGTAGACATTGAGAACTGATAGAAGAGTTATTGCCTACTTTGGCATGTGCACAAAGTATTTTGAAGGAAAGTGTCGTGTTGTGAGTGAGAAAAGGAGAGGAATTTTGTTTCTAGAGGCTAAAGGGGGCGTCGCTGACACACGATCAGGGTCTGTAGCGAGTGGATAAACAACACTGTCATGTCTGTTACCTGATGGCTGAGCACCCATCAAAGAAACTGCCTGCATGCCTTCCCTTGCTCCCCACACCAATATCCATATATCATTCCTGTATGGTAACACCCCCAAACATATGTCGTTGCATCTGTATTTACGTGGAGTTTCCCTTTCATTATTAGGTACGTCCTTTCCTAATGAGAAATAATTTTCGGAATCAATTCCCCTGCGGATTATTAGTTCCAGAATTGTACAAAGGCTCCCTGACCAGTTTTTTTGGAACACTCTTCATACTTTACAGTATGCCCATCACAACTAAAGCTCTTTGCTGTCATGCTAGAATCTAGTCTTTCACAATCCAACAAATTGCACCTTAATTTACAATTCTGCTGCATAGCCACACGACCTTAGACATTGACACACCATTGGCCGTAGCTCATTACTGCATTCCTAGCATTCCTTTGTGCTATTAAGCAAATTGACATGTGTTTGCCCATGACGCTGTATCGTCAACCCCTTGGTAAACAGGAGGTTGGAACGGACGCCTCTTTCAGACGACGGGTGAAAGGCAGTGGAATAGGAAATGGTAGAACATAGCTGGCATACTCTCCAGTAATCCAATACCAGGAATTGTCAAAATGACCCTTCCTGATCCTCGGCCTCACCTTCCTACACACAACAGATCACTACAGTTGCAGCTACCTACCAGCATTGCATCATGGTTGGTTGTTTGAGCTGTGGAGCACTCTTGGTAGAACTAATAAACAGATCACCAACAACCTTATACACAGGTCAGGAGGGAAAGAAAGGGAAAAAAACCAACTTCTATCGGAAGTCGGACTCGGGTGTCACGAATGAAGATCTAGTTCACACCACTGGGCTAAAATTCATAGACAAACATGTCTTCCTAAGTACTACAGCAAATAGTAGTTGCCACCAGCAACCATAATTACGTGCTTAGCGTTATTAAATTTGTGTATCGATGGTGATATTGGCATTGAATGCACAGCTGTGTCCCTATTTACACCATGACTATAGCCCATGTGTGTTGCATGATTTGCCACTTCATGCTGTAAAAAAACCAGCGACAAATTGCCTATAACGACGATAATGAAATTAATCTGGAATGGAATTCAGTTAATTATCTGTTTGGTTGTATAGCTACAGATCTAATTTGTTAAGCCTCAGCATGAGAAGGGACTCCATTCATGTTGGAGGAAAAAACGTACCGGTTGTCCAAACAGATGATGTGCAACAGGAAATGCTTGGGTTCACTGTACCACGAGTCCCATTCTTGCATAGTAATTCCTCGCCATAAACCTCTATATTATAATTATTATAAAGTTGTCCGACAGTTTCATTTCACAACACTGTCCTGTGCCCTCCCCGTAGCACACCTGGCATGCATTAAGCATGATGGAATGAGATGCTAGACTATTGCTATAGCTGCAGTAACTCTTGTCTGTGTGTGCGACAAATGAGGTTTGGTTCAGTTCCGGTGCAAGTCCCACTGGTTTATAGCCAGTTATTACGTCTGAGCCGCTGTGCACCAGCCAGGGGTTGATAGCCATTCCAAATGGACATTTACGCTCAGACCGTGTAGCTGTATCAATGTAGTAGGTTAATTGGAATGTCCGTCAACTAGACAAATTGAATTCCTCCTCGACCCCCTCTTCCTGGGGCTCCGTACAACGAACAGATTAGTTCTCGGTACATATCTCCATCCAAAACAAGTAACTTCCTTAAATACTTGGCATAATGACGCACATCATTATCATAAACATGCTGCACAGTCCATGGCTGTTTTGAATGAATGCACTCCTACCCGTTCTCTGTATATACAAGCACAGTTGTAAAGGATGAGGCAAGTTTGCAACACGTGATGATATGAAGCACATTCGTACACACTTAGCTTATGTAAATAAAACACTTTGGTTCTGGATTAAGGCCTGAAGAGGAATGCTACTAGTCTCCTCCTCTCTCGTCTCCTTTGCACTGATGTGTGTTCGTTCTACAGCCATCCCGGTACGGTTATACCATACTTTAATATCGGCTTTGAGCAGCTACCGCTATATATCACCAGCATTCCTTGCGAAACCCAAGATTCCTGGTTCTCATGCAATGAAACTCAAGAGCTACAATTATTACAAGCCACACAGTGAGAAATTAGTATCGTGTTTGCCGTTCAATCGAACGCGAGAACACAACACGACCTACGCCTTGACGTATATACCTCAACGGGAAACTGCTAATATTGCACATTCTCAGAGCAAAGAATCAACTTTTAATGATCTCATATAATATAGTCAGTAAGGATAGTGAGGTTGACTATAATATGTACATCAGTATGTTATGTGAACATGGTGGCGTAAGGTGAAAATGCCAGGCATTTACTACTTTGTTTTGGTTTTCAGCAACTGTGTCATGGAAATAATGTATCTTGCCGTGGGAAGAGGAATTTTAGAAATTCTCGCACACATTTTCGCAGTGAGTGATTATTAGTCACCATGGCAACTTCAGGAGCCACATCTGGGGCCTTAATTAAATTTGGCCGTGTTCCAGGGTGTAATGTGATAGTGGGGCACGGGCAAGGAAAAGGAGGAAATGTAATCGGAGACAGACTCCTGGTAAAAGCCCTAACGAGGCTGGCTCCAGGCTGTTTGAACAATAATGATACTCATGTTAGGAATGGCAGATTTCTAGACTGCTTCCAGCTGCTCATTGGCACGATAGCCACAACGCTCTGTGACTTGGTATGCGGGTAATTGTGAAAACAAATGAAGGAGGAAAGGTTTACACAGAGCATATGGTGCAGTTGACTGTTTGCTGGGGAAATCTGGATGAGTGATTTAATAAACTCTCACACTGGGTTAATTGGATTAACTCCACCCTCGCCCTCTAGGCTCTCTCTATCTCTTTCCATCATTCCTTTCAGGGTTTTTCCCTCACTGCTCTTCTCTCTACTCCCATAGCATATGGGAATGATGTAGCTAAGTACACATTTCCCAGAAGGGACGCATGTGTTTGTCATGATATGTGACCCTGCAAATACCTTGAAACAGATGGATAAACATCAGAGATGGGGTAATGTGTGTCGTCGTCCTAGATCCTAGCTAAACAACTTGCGCATGCGTACAGAGCGCGGAGTTACAATGGGCGTGGTGGGTACGCTTTGCGCGACGCGCGCATGTGATCGAGAGCTCTGCACAATTAAACCGTGCCGAGGTAAAGCCACGTCGAGCAGGGAGTATAGAAGATGCCCGCGTTCACCGTCAGCTTCTCGTTTCTGGAGCCGCAGAGCCGGAAGGGCGTCTACTTCAAGCAGGACGGACAGCGGTTCGGCACTGACAGGACCATAAAATTCTGCACGGCAGTCAAGTACGAGATACGGATCACCGTCAAGCCACCCGTGGCTCCCCTGCGGTGAGAACTGCCGTGTGTATTATACCCTGATATGCGTACCCCGGTATGCACGAACCCACGTGTACATACGTTATGCATGATCGTAACTTGATACGATACAGTTGCACAGTTGAATGCTTTTCATTTTGCTCATTCTCCTGAAGTTCTCTTACTTTTTGGACAAAATTGAGAACCATTCATTAGTGATGCTCAGAGCTTGTCAAGGGACACCCTCAACAACTTTTCTTTGATTGTCACACAACCTTTCACATATTGACCACTCAGAATACAACACCATCTCACCCTACAAGGTTTTTATCACTTCACTGTGCTTCCAATTGTCAGTCAGGGTGTTGTGTTGGCACCAAATCCTTTGATCTTTGATTGAGTGGGAGAGGATACCAGCCTTCTGTTCTTATCCCCCCTCACCACACACACACACACACACACACACACACAAAGTTTCCCCTTAGGATTTCGTGTTAAGTACACACTCTGTCATCAATTTTTCAACTCTGGCTCGTTAACATTTTCCCGCAGGAGTCTGATAATAGGTGGGGATGAACTCACTCCAGACTCTGAGGAAGAGCAGCCGGCCCAGTCCTCCTACCTCTTCACCTGGTTCACCAATGGCCACAGTCCCACCGGCTCTCGGCGGAGGCTCGATGTCCCGTTCATCTTTCGCTTCGATGGAGTCGAGTTTGCCACCTCCTTTCAGGTATATACAGTACTACGGCCATTACAACTTGTTGCTTGTAGCAAGTGTTGTCTTGTAATGTGAGGCAACCTAACATCACAGTCTATTGGACACCAAAAGGTACAAAATGAGGGGTTCCCAAATCATCCTTATCAGCTCACATTGCGGCTAGCCTGCAAGGCCTGATTTCTGTATTATTTTTCTTTGACGAAGGATGCGCCAAGGAAAGGGAAAGCCAAAAACAATGGTTACTGTTGTCCGTTCTTACTATTTCCTGCAGACCAAGTTCTATCCAGTGACGAGTGCCAGTCACCTGACCTGGGGTACAGAGGTCAAACAGATCCAGCTGGAAGGTCGCGGGGAATTTGGGGGCGGAGCCACGCAGAGACTCACACCCACCAATGTCACCTTTGTCTAGCACATCTTTTACAGCTCCACCCACCCACCAACTACAGCATCTGTATAGTCTATTTCTCCACCTTCTCTCCAGAGAATCAAGAGTGACTTTATTACTGACCTATTATGTCATACTGCTTCTATTTTTAGAATCTGCTTAGTCGATATTTATTTGTCCAGATCATAGCAAAATTTCTTAATAAGTCTTCGAAAATGTCGTACATTGGTGTTAATTACATTGTAATGGTGTACAGAAAAACACATGTTTCTATTAGTGACACGAACAATTACCATTCAGTGGTTTATGAATGCAGACGAGAAAACACTGGACATACATATAATGCAGGGGAATAGAGCAGTACTATTTGTATAGTTGCAGTTATAGAGTCACCCACTGACTGTTGCTGGAGGTGGCAGTGGTCTCCCGGTCACGGATCGTGCCTCTTGTGAGTGTTGTGCAGTATTATCAGAGCCTGCGTATGTGTGTAACACGCGAAGCAGTGAGAGACCTCACATACAGTGAGTACGTCTGGCAAACAAAGTAAGCTTGATTTTGTGTTGTTCACAACGCAGTGAATAAGGAACACCTTTGGGACGTCAAAGTGTCCTTTACTCATTTTTGTCCTCTCTACAATACCAGAATGGGGCAGAATCAAGTATCCTTTATACAGAGGCATCCTTCTATGTAGAGGGTACATTTTCAGAGGTAACAGTGTTTTAAAGGGAATGTGGCAGTATATAAGGACTATATTTTAAAATGTTCCTAAAAATGGAACGTAATTCTTTTAACGGTGTCCCTATTGTTAAATTTAGCCCATACGTACTGCCACGTTCCCTTCAATGTGTAAGTGAGTGGAATTTTTCGGTCTCACTTTCTTGAGAGACTTGAGCCACTCTGCTCCCTGTTTCCTGGCGTGTGAAGTGGCCGGGGAGAGGACCAACTTGTGCTCAAGGCCGCCAGACTTGTAGGTCAGCTCCAGACTGATATTCTTTGGGTTAGAGCCAGACCTCTTCTTCCTGCTTCCTCCGTCCACCTCCCCCTCTCCTCCTGCCCCAGTTGCCAGTCTAGCCTCTGAACAACACACAGACGACACAACGGCAACGACGGAGGTAGAGGAGGGAGGAGGGAGAAGGGGAGAGACATGGAGTGTAGAAACAATAGAGGAGGGAGAGAGGGGACTTGTTCAACCTCCGAAAAGGTCTTTCCAAATAATGGACACCTCTGTATAAAGGACACTTGGTTCCGCCCATAGCAATACATTACTACCTCCAAATAAGGGACGCCACTGAATAAAGGACACATTTAATCTGTCCCTACTCAGATGTTACAGCATAATAGAAAGGGACGGTATATGCAAATACTCTGAAATAGAAAAACGTCTAGAGCTAAGCTTGGCACTCACAACTGTATAAACCCTTGGCTTGAGACATACAATGATGCACGGCCATACCTTCCCCGTGGAGTGTCTTGACCTCGAGGATGTGTCTCATGGCGATGGGCAGGTGGTCCTGTGAGATGAGGATCTGCCGGTGGTCCGTGCTCAACTTGCAGAGATACTCTGCCGCGGCGTCATCCGAGTCTGACAGATGGAAGTAGGCACCTGAACACACACACACAGTACGGGGACACAAGTTAAAAGAATGATTTTAGCACACAATCTATACACAAAAACACACATATGGCGAGTTAAGTGAGCCTAGTTTCGTCAAAATGCACATTTTTCTGATGACTACGATGGCAGCGTCACATGTCAATTTCGCAATTGTATACCACACACATGCGTTTGCTTGCCAATGCCTTCGTTCTAGTATTGTGATGCACACATTGACAAAACAGCACAGCATATATTCACAGGACAACTAGGACCTATAACATACACACCATAAACATGTACATATATATATACCCGTAGTGAGTGTCTTGAGGTGATTCTGGAAGAACTCGTCTTCAGTCTTACAGAGAGGGATGCAGACCTTGCACACGACAACGTGGTCCACGTAGCGCATCCTGACGAGAGGAACCTTGTCCATGCAGTCTGCACACACCACCTCCCCACACCTCCGACAGTGGTGCTAGGGAGGAGAGGGAGGGAGGAGAGGGAGGGAGAAGGGAGGGAGGGAGGAGAGGGAGGGAGGAGAGGGAGGGAGGAGAGAGAGGGAGGAGAAGGAGGGAGGAAAGAGAGGGAGGGAGGAGAGGGAGGGATGAGAGAGAGGGAGGAGAGGGAGGGAGGAGAAGGAGGGAGGAGAGAGAGGGAGAGAGGAGAAGGAGGGAGGAGAGAGAGGGAGAGAGAGGGAGTGACTAAATAAAGGGAGGGAGAGGGGGGAAGAGGGTGTGATTCTAAGTGTACGCTGATGAACAAGGAAGTAAAGGGAAAGAGGGAAGAAAGTGTCAATGAAGACACGAGGAAGGGAGAGGGGAAAAGAGGAGAGAGAGAATGGGGAAAGAAACATCCATCAAAATACAAAGTTGTTGACTACTTGATTACGACACTGAAAAAGCAAAAAAACATGGAGTGGTGCCCTATTTAGACGTGTTCACACTTCTTCACAAGAGTGACCACTTAGTGTTTTGCTCACCCGTCTGTGAGTGAAGGTAAATGCTGCCGAACACTTGTCACACACTGGGCTCTGTTGGGAGAGTGATATGGAGCAATAAAATATTTGTACCCCCTCTCCCCCTACACATGGGGTACTCCTAGGGTATTATCTGGAGCATACTCATACACAACTTGGGCTATTATGGGGAGTGATGTATACATATCAGTTAGGAAAGTAGCACAAAGCACATACAGTTACATTTTCAGACGCACTCTCTCTGTGTGACTAACAGCTATATTATATATAGCTACCCCTGGGGAGTTATGAAAATCTAAATAAAGCACCACACTTGGAAAATGCTACTACATCGTCTACAAGCCCCGAACTGAAACAAAACACAGCCACACTTGTCTTTTACTGGTAGCCTGGAAAGTAACCCGGAGAGATGGGCAGCCTCTTCCTCTCTGTGTGGGCATGCGAACGCCATATACCGCGCACCCCACGCAACACTACGCAAACCCGCGCACCTTCTCGTCCGCGTGCCACACAGGCTCGTCCAGGTCGAAGAGCGACTTCTGCCCCACCATCTGCAGCTCCCCTCGCTTGTTGTAGTGGATGTGGCGCTCCATGCTCGGCTCCTCTTCGTCGTAGCTGTGGGCCATCGTGTCTCTCCCTAAATAGCCGATCGCGACGCTCGCGAGTAACCCCGCCCATCCCTCGCAACCTTTGATCCCTTGCGCTCGAATCAAAAAAATAATGCCGGTTCAGCTTATATATTTTCATCGGGTTTTACCAAAAAATTTTTTAAATCGTTCTTCATTGTTTTGGGCAGGAATTGTGGTACTGCTCTCTGATTTTCTCCATGATTGCCTTGTGTCCCCCTACTGGAGTCCGCAGTTTCACCTCTGAGTAGTGGTCTTTGACAAACTGGGCGTAGCGGTTTATCTTCGCTGGTCCTGCTGGGCCATCCAGTCTCAGGGAACTAGTTGGAGACATCGGAAGGAATCAGGGAACTTAGTAACATACGTGCTGTGGCAGTTCGGATCACAACAATAAAAATAAAATTGGACGAACAGACGACTGTTGCTCCAGCTCGCCAATTAACACCTTATTGTTTTTTAAGTGGGCCATAAAAACAATATTTGGTGGTCATCACGTTGCACATTACAACTAAATGTTTGGCAGATGGTAACTATACAACCGCCAAACCACTAAATATTCCAGTTAGCTAACGTCATGCCTTGTACAAGTAGTGTGTAAAACACATTCTTAGGGAGTGTGAATGCTGCATGTGCAGGCAGTAACTACATGTCTGTGTGTGTCAAGAATCGGTAGATTAGTGTCGCACTACTGCACTCAACTCCTTTACACATTGTGCATTAAGGTAAACTTGCCGAGCTTGGCACCCGACGCGAGTGTACATGTGAATATTACGTGTAATTGTTGTGCCTTGTGTAATGTGTGTGTGTATATACCTCAGGCAATAGGGACACCTTGCATCTGTAAGGTTTACCGACTTCGAGTGTCTTCCTAGCCTGGACGAAAACAGTAGATAGACAAGGGAAGGACAAACATAAAGAGAAAGTGGTACGTATATACAGTGTCTGACATACTTGTAGTCACAGCGAGTACAGTGGTAGTGGAACTTGTACGAGATGTCGTAGCTATGGCAACGAGTTATGGGGTCCAGATCAGGGTGGACAGAGTTTGCCTTTGAGGACCTGTACATACGTATATACACCAGGAGAGAGAGAAAAAGAAGAGGAGGAGTTAGTGGGACGAGATCTACGTCGTGCAAGAAGTGTCAGAGTCACCATGCTCTCCAGTGTCTCCTGTGACATCCGTCTTTGATGCCGTCAATGATCCAGACAGCTGCGTGGCACATCTCATGGATCAATGTGTTCTTCAACCTCTCTGTGTAGCGGGCATTTGAACATCAGTGAGTAAGACATGCTTTGGAAGAGAGAGAGAGAGAGAGAGAGAGAGAGAGTGTGTGTGTGTGTGTGTTGGTATATACACACAACTTACCATAGGAATCAATCACTTTGTGGACAGCTCAATTTGTGATCGTCGATCATTCATTAGCCTAATATGAGCATTTGTCCTATCAACATCTAGAGTTGAGATTTATTAGAGCAGCTCTTACCCGCTGTTGCGGCAGTAACCAGCTGTGGTCCTCAACTTTGTGTTCCACAGCAACTCCATGTCAGGCGCCAGCTTTTCAAGGGAAAAAGAAGAAAGATCACGTGCTGTTGCAGAAAAAAAAATGGGGAAAAATATATAGCAGAGGATGGTTTCGATCCATCGACCTCTGGGTTATGGGCCCAGCACGCTCCCACTGCGCCACTCTGCTGGCTTGCAAACACACCTTTAAAAGTAGTGTGTGTTCCAAACACACAATGGCTGACTTTGTACCACAGAAGCCCTAGAAATCAAAGGCACCGCACGCAGTTTATGCGCACTAAGACAACTCGTTAGTATGCATGCCATGGTGTATGGTGTGCTGACTCAGCCATACACTCACATGTGGTGTATGAGCTCTCATACACCATGGCATGCATACTGATAAGTTGTCCTTAGTGCGAATTCCTGTGGTACAAATTGGTTACACTACACGGTTTAGTGCATCACTACTCGTGCTGCGCACTCGTAGTGTATGTCCACTAAACCGTCTCGTGTAACCTATATAGTATCAGACTGCCCTTGCTGCTTCAATCATCTGTCTCACTTTTTGAAGCAGTGATTTTTACACACACGCACACACACACAGACCTTGTCACCAAAGACGGAGTGGTTGAAGAGGGTGTAGAGTTCACGTGCCATTGTCTTCCTGTTGCGACTCAAGTTCTTGTGAGCTGAGGGAGTGGCCACTGGAGCTCTGGCCTTCACCTCTGTCCTAACACCTGCAGTTCAGTGGGGTTGTTCCATATAGTCACACTGCATGCGGCGGGGAGATTAATCCGGCACATGAAAACAAAGGTGGCATGGTGGAATTCAAACTATGCAGTAGGGCTCGGACATACATGTAGCATTCATGGCTACATGTGGAGCTCAAACTGCAGAATATGAGTGTATAATGGGAAGGGACACATGTATTTCTACATGTAGTGCTTTGCTTTGACTGACTGCAAACCAGGCAAGCCCAGGATACACAAGTATAGGCACAAGACCCATTTGCTAATGTGTGTGTGTGTGTGTTGGGTATGATTTATGTAGTACACCCAAACCTGGTGTGTAGAGAGAGGCGTTCTGCTCAGTGAGAGGGCGTCTATTGCCCACTCCTTTAACAGGTGCAGTCATGGTACAGTTGGGAGGGCCAGCGACTGGAGAACTCCAGAAGTGGAGCGGGGTACGGGGGGTGGAGTACGGAGTGAGGGAGGCCTCCGAGCGAGACGGTGGGCAACTTGGGGTTCTAAAATCCGAGGCAGAATCAATTTCACTAGACACCTGGTGACCATCTTCTTCACTGCCGATATCTTTCTTCATTCTCTCTGTCAGAGTCTTCGTCAGAATCACTTACAATGAATTCTGACATAGCGCACGATCTGTAACACACACATGCTTATAAAACACCCAGCAAAAAGTGTGCCTGCATCTGTTTTGTTACTGTTGCCTTGTGGTGATAAAAAATCTAGCAGAGGATGGTTTCGATCCATCGACCTCTGGGTTATGGGCCCAGCACGCTCCCACTGCGCCACTCTGCTACACACACAGAAGCCCCACTCCATATTAGCAACCTTACTCTAAAGCCCAGTTTACGCGGACAAATTTGAATCGGTTTAGAAACCGGTTTAAACTGTCTGTGTGAACGCGGCTTAAAATGAACTAACCTCCTCTGATGAACTTTTGGTAATGTCGCTTTCCGTTTCTCCGACTGCAATCTCATCTGTGAAAACACTGCAATGGAGAATCAGGTGATAAAGTCATTATTTGAATAAAAACCGACAGACTAACTGTTTTCGAGTTTGTCATCAGCGTCTTCCTCGTCACTGCTGCCGAGTACGATGACTGATGTGTGGGTGAGCAATGGCGGGGAAGATGATATGGAGACGTGTGAGGATGGGATGGAGTGGAGTGGAGTGTGAGAATGGTGAGGGTGTGTGTGGTGAGATGGGGGAGATGGGGTACTGGAGTGAGAGGGGGAAGAGGGATGGGGTAATGGGGCAGTGTAGTAGATAGACGAGGCACAAGGAGGTGGGGAAGAAGGGGTGTAGTAGGGAGTTTGGGGAGGGAGGTGAGGGTGTGCAGATGATGACAGATCAATGCAGCTGGAGGCGGAGGAAGACTGATCAAAGTTTAGTTGACTCATGACCGGATCACCAGAAAACATAGACCTGCCCCTTTCCTCTCCCCCAGTGCTGCCTCCTTCTCCCCCAATACTGTCAGTGAGCAGGGAAGAGGCGGAGCTAGTCTTCGGTGACATCTTTCTGGCCTGCTGCTGTTCACCCTCAGGGGTGTCTGGACTAACAACAGTGTCTTGAAGACAACTGATATCCGGGGTGAGGATTGTCCAGTTCATGTTCTCCAGTGAATCTTCTTGTTCATCGTCCACCACATCGTCCACCACCCCTCCATCTTCCTCCTCTTCTCCTTCTCCAGCTAAATCTTCATCACCTTCTTCCCCTCTCTCCTCCACTTCACCACCCACACGTTGGTCTACTTCAGCAGGGGTGAGTCTTGACGCCACCAGATCTTCGCCCTCCTCCTCCTCCTCTTCCCCATCAATTCCAGCTTCAATACCTTCCCCATCATCACTGATGTCACAGAGTGAACGCTCCCTCTCTCCACCACTCCCATCAATATCACACGAAACCTCATCTGGAGACATGTGACCCCCATTTGGCTCACCGGAAGAAAAGCAGCTCATCCCATAGTACCACCAGCTACACAAAACAACACAACAGTCAGTATGAAGTAATAGGACTCTGCAGTAGTATGTATGCACTACATTTTCCCTCAGCTGTGGGAGAGGAATGGCCAACTGAAGGTATCCTCGAGACGCACACTCTGCCACACAGTCAAGGACTAATTCCTGTAGTCTCTGCTTATCACACGAGTCCAATGCTGCAAAGATGCACCAGGCATTGCGTGCTTATCGTTAGGAAAAGAGGTACTTACCAGTCGCCTCCATTACTCACGAACAACTGAGCGCTACTGTAGCTGTACGTGCTTTCAAATTCGAAATTTCCGCGCGATATTTGCGCATGCGCGCACGTCTCACAGCCCCGCCGCCCGGCCCCCCATGCACACATACTACGCATTGTATCATCGCCTCATTTTGCCATGATGGGAAAATCAGGATAGATGTGAAAATATTTTGTCAATATCGTCCACACTTTCACTGGTTGGATTTTTGGCAGGAATCCCGTTGCTAGAAGAGCCACGAGCAGTGCTACTGAATGAAGTGTAGAGTGCTCTGGAGCTTCCAGCAGTGGGAGTCTCCTGATTGGTAGAGGGCGAGGTTTTCAGAGAGGAAAATGAAGGTGTTGGGAGAAGGCCTGAACCAAGAGGGGTCCATTGGTCGGAAGGTGGATGGGTCCGACTGCTACAGATCAGAGGAGAGTTCTGGACGGGAGTAGAGGTGGCCATTGCAGTAAGCGAGAGCAGGCTGCCCGAAAGAAGGGGCTTTTTGGTTTTCTCTGATGCTGGAGGTCCGTTGCTAAAGGTTGGAGTACTTAGCTTAGGGGACGCTGATGCAGTTTTTGCAATTTTCTTCTTTTCCCGTGCAGCCTTTTTCTTGGCTTGTATTGCTGGCAACGTTTGCGTACCAAAGATCAGTTTGTCCATTCCATTCTTCCTGACAACGGCCAGTCTGAACCCACCACGTTGCGGAGAATCAGACACGTCTCTCCGCTTTTGCAGTCTCTTGGGTTTCCACTTAGACTTATGCTTTCGTTTCTTCTTGTTTTGCTCTGGACATTCTTTCTTGTCTGCCTTTGATAACGATGTTTCAGTAGCATTTGACGATACAGTTTTGGTAGGATTTGACGGTTCACTAGCAGATGGGGTTAATGTCTGTGAGGCTACTGTTTCCACTGGTGCTGAGCTTTCACACGGTGCCCCCTTTCCCGAGTCAATACTGCACCCAGGAGCTTTCGAAGTTTGCACCAACGATGATACAGCAGTTGAAGATGCCTTCTTTTGCTGTGAGGACTTCTCGTTGTGTGTAAACTGGTTCTTCTTATTTGATGGTGGCTTTTTTAGGAGTCTTTTTGCGTGAAGTAATTTTTGCCACTTCTTTCTCTTTCTATTCTTTTTAGTTTTGGCAGTCTCATTGCCAGTCTCCTTAGTCTTGCTGTTCATAGTAGTTGTTCCTGGGCCTCCACTGGTGGAAGATATACTGGGGGATTGTAGCTCAGATGATGGTGCCCCAAGGATTGAAGATTTAGAGGGTCCTGTATTCGAGGAGGTTTGGAAGTCTCTTGCTCTCGCCAGCATCTCTTCTTCAGACAGTGTCACAGCAACTGCAGTTTCAGTATTATAAAAAAACTTGAGAAACAAATTAATTTACCTCCAGTATCGTCCGTGAGAATAACAGAATTGCTCGGGAGATTACCACTAGATTGCAGCATGCTAAAGAAACAAAGGACACACACATAAAGACACACAAACACATCAATGTTGTTGCCCCATTCTCATCAGACCTCGGACTGGGTTCAATGGGTAGTTTTGGTGGTGGTCGGAGGTGACGTAGGGCCGAAGTTCCCAGGTATCTACTTTGGGACTGTTTCAAGACTGACACCACGTGTGATACTGGCTGAGACAAATGTAAAATAAAATCAGTTAGCTGCCCGACTTTTTAAAAAAAATAACAATGTACCGTCTTAGCCTGAGGTACTGTACTTTTTAGTACTGAATACGTCTCTGCAATACCAAGCAAGTGGTACCTCAAGCAGACCCTGTATAAACACATATTATAACCATACATCTATTGCAATACAAATGTGACGTTCGTTGGCCTACCATAATCTACTGAGGCTGGCAAGCATGACAGTGTTCAGGGAAATAAAGAGTGCTTTTGTCAATCTCTGGTTCACTTCCCTGTGGTCAATGTAGCACATGTGTGTGTGAGTACGGAGGTAGAGTGTGGTATAATATAGAAACATGCCTCCAAGTCTCCTCAATAAACTCTAGAAGATCAGCAGTGAATATGGACGACTCCAATAGTTGCTGGAAAAATGCCTCCACAGTCTCCAACATACCCACTGGATGACTCACATTTACACTGTTCAAGTACAATAAATATATTTCATGTGAAAAGGTTTAGCAAACCTGAATAACTCTTTTATCAACAATCTCAATTTCTGTTGTAGATTCACCGTTGCCAAGTATTTCTTCACTTTCCTGGATACCTATACACGACAAAGTGTTGTTGGTGGGCACCAATTAGAAATATCAATCTTTACCCCGGTCATTTTCTGGAAGGACAGGTCGTGGCGCTGTTGGTTCTTTGCTCTGTGAAGCATCTTCGAAAAGATGACATGTTCCTTGGACAGGGCACCCACGCAGATCCTTGGTAAGCAGCGTTTCTTCAGCTCGACTACGCCAACACGCCCAGTCGCCATCTTTGTATCTATGCAATGTGCGCATGCGCCTAGCGTTACTAAATAGTCACGTGAGACAAAAGTCAGAGACGATAAGGGTTAACCGTATTTACACGCGGTTGCGGTTCTTCCCTCCTTGTATATGACGACCGTACAGTCGCAGCCGCTCCACCTGCTGGTCAAGAGGAACCCATGGGAGCCTAAGCACGAGTGGGAGTCCCGCCTTCTGTTCGTGGAGGACAACTTGGACCGGCACGGCCTGGAGAAGGCAATACATCTCTCCCTGGTCTGGGCCAACGTCACTTTCCTCGGCTGCAGCTACCCCGCCCACACGCAGGAGCTGGTGTCCGACTACCCGCGGCCCGACCACGAGTTGCTGCGCTCAGAGAGGAAGAAGAGGGAGAGGGTGGAGAGGAAGAGGCGTTTGTCGCCGGGTGGGGAGGTGGGAGGAGGCGAGGGGGCAAAGAAACAAGCCAGGGGGACCAGCCACGGGGAATCCTCCAGTTCGAGCAACGAGACAGCTCACAACACTTCGGGAGATGACACCGACGCTTCGTTTGAGCAAATTTCCCTCCAAGTCGATGCACTCATATCGGCCATTCGCAAGCAGCACGAGAAGAAGGCAGAGAAAGAAGGGACGAGGTCGAAAGAGGCAAAGAGATGGCATACCAAAGGAGGTCCAAAAGATGCTCCAATCCATGTGCATGTGTAGCCAGTGCTTCTGTCCCGGAAACTCTTCCAGCTCACTAGTCAACGCGATCACACAACGCTACATCGCTCGCTTCGACAAGAAGTTCACGCATGATTTTGAATTCAACGAAATGCAAAACGGGTCGACGGAGTGCAAGTTCTTTGTCAATGGAGAGTTTGTCACCTCGGGGAGAGACGAGAGCAGAAAAACTGCCAAGCAGAAAGCCTCAGAGCAGTTTGTGCGACTGGTAAACAGCTATTATAAGGAGAACGGGAAGCCATGTTGTCCGTACGAGCCAAGCAGTAGGAGAAACAAATAATTTTATCGATATTAGCAAGCAGAGAGGATATGCCAAAATGTACAGTTTTAGAGCCTTTTTGAGTTAGCACATATTTTATGCATACAACTTCTATTTTTGTCTTGGTTCGTGTGAGTGTAATCGTGTACAGTTTTATGTGTATATATAATATAGTGCACATCAAAACCAATTTTTAATGCAAAAAAATCATCACATCCTTTTCGTCTTTGTGCTCTCGGCAAACGAAATTGTAGGCCACACAAACGTCATCCAAACAATGGAAACACCTGTTGAAAAGATAAGACCAAAGGTGTACAGGTTTTAATTCCTTTGTGAATTTTTCTTATATTTAGTATGGCACAACTGCTTGTTGTTTCGTAGCAATCTACAATTCCTCTTGCAGAGATCAAACAGAGCTAGCTCAGGAGCAGGAGTTGGCATATTGATAACCAGTGTTCAATTATCCCGTTAACATAGGGGCGCACTGTAATTGTCACCTGATACAAAGAGAGGTGCGATGGAGGCAAAGGAAGGGCTGGCTGTGTGGTAGACAAAGACTTCCAGAGCAAATTGAGCAAACGCCAGCACAAACGAAGCAAATGTCACTGCAAACACACTGCCACAGCAGAAACCAAACTGTGATGTTGCATGACACAAACGAAACCGATAAAAACCTTTTGTTATGTGGTGATACAACAAAAGCGATTCGGACGAAGGCAGCTAGCAGTGTCCAAACTCCCAACATTCTCGACAATAGGCGTGTTGCTGGATGGAGGAGCACACCATTATTAGTGCAGGTCAATACAACTATCCAGTCACCTTCAGAAGGCTGGAGGTCATAGATTCTGTCCCTAGGGAACTGCTGGTCTAGGAAACACTGGACTGCATTCACCAGAGCCATAGCTGCAACCAGGCCTACCCAGCATCGCAGCAGAGTCAGCAGCATCTCAGCAGCAGCGTGCAGGAATCATGCAGAGCTGTGGGTGGCCGGAGCTTCCGAGAAAACCCACCGCGAACTGCGCATGCGCGGTACCGCTAGTTAGTTAAGTTGATGTGGGCTGGGCTTTGAGTATTCGCGGAGAGTCTGACACGGGCTATAGATAGCATCCGAGAGTCGATACACGCCATTCGTTGTGACTTCTTGTGCCTGCTGAGATGCTGGCTAGGCCTGGTTGCAGCTATGGCTCTGGTGAATGCAGTCCAGTGTTTCCTAGACCAGCTAGTGCAGGAAAGTGCTGACTCAGCGGGTTGACTGGGTTGCGTGGGCGAACATACATGACGCGACGACTCCTAGAGATCCTCGCTCGTTCGTCGGAGCCGATGTCATCATACAAACACATTACGATGGCTTTGGCTTGCGGTTTACGGGTTGCACACTCAGCCACTCCTGTAAACCATCGTATATACTTATACACACGGCTTTGCCAAGACACTGGGAACAAGGTACGGACCATTCCAGAGTGTTGCGAGGGGCTCCTCGGACGGCTGCAAGACTCGCCATCAGCGGCATTTGCGTCTCATCGTCCGGGATTGGCATCAGAGCTCCAGAGAAGTAGCCATCATTTCCACTTGTCCCCACACTAGCTGCTCAATATGAAGTGCCTACCCCTCTACCTTCTCTTGCTCCCTCTTGCAGTGAGTGATCACAACAGTGTAAGTATTCATCACCGACACTAGCTATGATTATCATCTGCACTCCCTCTCCCTCAGAGGGCAGGATATTTTGTCGAGGCCAACTTTCTCTGGTACAACAACTCCCTGGACTCATATCCGTATGTCCCCAGCGGTGATGAAGGTTGCTGCTTTTCACAGAGAAACTGCTCTGAGGATTGTGTCACTCAGCAGCGCATCTGCTTCAAGGACTATGAATCCGTCAATAACATATCTGATGATTCTGTCAGCGGCACTGGGTGCATCGGTGGTGGTATTATGCCACGGGCAACTCTTTCCAAGCCAGTGGAGTACATTGACTACTCCGAGCCACCTCTCGACATGAAAAAGAACAGAACAATCCCAACGATGATAAACAGCAGAAATTCACTAGTGAGCTGAAATGAACTCAAGTGCATTTAGGTAAACATGATTATTTTCTCATTTCAGGGAAGACTACAGTTGTTCATCAGAGTTGCAATAGGGATGCACATAGTGGAATACTTTCAATTGGACTTTGAATTGAGTGTAAACGACCCTCCAATGAACCTAACACTCAACGGCAGCTTTTATGGCTCATACATGACCTTTGCCCTTCGTCTCACGCGGACCTGCTTGCCACTTTACTATGGAGACAACTGCAGCATCTACTGTAAACCAGAGGACAGTGATGGCGGCCACTACACATGTCTCAGTAATGGCACTAAACAGTGTCTTCCTGGCTACCAGAACACCAGTACTGACTGCACAACTTGTGTACCAGCCACAGGCTGCAGTGAGTTCCTTACCACCAAGTTGTATAATATAGCCATCTAAGAGGAAAATGTTCTCTCTCACAGACCCAGACTACGGCTATTGTAAGAATCCAGGTGACTGCGTTTGTATCAAAGGATACAAGGGGGAGAACTGCAGTGGTATGATTTTACTGCTCTGCTCTTGCTAAGAGAGCTGTGTATGTACACCATGTGTATTACGTCAATGTGTGTGTGCCACAAGAACACAGAATGTATGAGAGTACCCGGCTAATAGGTCTTCTAATGACTTTTCCATTTCCAGTAATTGCCTACAGAGCCATAGCTGCAACCAGTCCTAGCCAGCATCACAGCAGCATCTCAGCAGGCACAAGAAGTCACAACGAAGGGCGTGTATCGACTCTCGGATGCTATCTACTGCTGTAGCTAGCCCGTGTCAGACTCTCTGCGAGCTACTAGTGGAGTTCATGTGTGAGCTTCCGAATGCAGCATATGATTTTGTGTGGCTCATTAATGCTCATGAATTTGGACCAGAACTTGGGATAATTTTGGTCAGAGAAAATAACAGAACTTTCGTTGTCATTGGTATCGACCCAAGAGTCGAGAATAACAACACAAGATTGCTTTGTTTAGCATCTTTCTTGGGCACTTCTCCCCTGATGAGTGCTGAAGTTACTGTAAACCCAGAAATTTTAGCGCGCCATAAAATTTAGCGAAATTAGTGTTTCCCATCCTAAACGCTAAAATAATAGGATGGCAATTTTTTTGTAAATGCTCATGTGTTCGCTAAATTTATAAGCCGCTAATATGTGAGTTCTATCAAAAACGCTAATTATTTTGAGTGCCAACATTACTGGGTTTACAGTACTTTCAGGATTCAAGGTAGGCAGCAGCTAGCACTCACTGTTGATTGTTCCACAACTGTGTTCCCAACCAGGTCTGCTAGATCCAGTGGCAGAGGTGTCTGGTGTTCCTCCCAGCACTTCATCAACACCTGACTTCACAGGTCAGGTGGTATTAGTGTAAATGACTTTATTATTTGACCTTTGTAGATGGGACGGGCAGAGCCAGTATGGAAGTGGTTCCTCTGTCAGTTGGTCAGTGGACAATAAATGTGTAATAAACTCTGCCTTAACTGAATTCCCACAGGCATGGCTGCTTTGTTTGTTGCTCTGATGAGCATTTTTGGTGTAACAGTACTTTGTCTCTTTCGTCGCAAGAAATCCAAAGTTATCGGTGAGAGAGGAGAAAGTTGTGCAGACCTTGTGTACAAGATGTTTTCTTGCTTTAGCTATTTCTGCCAGTAATGTTGAAGTTCTGCCTGTCATTGCATTGGAGACTAATGCTGCATATTCCACCACCTCTGCTATAACTACTGCTCCCAATGCTGCGTATGCCACAACGGCAGCAGGCAGAGTAAACAATGATGAGGAATATGAGACTATTAGCTAAAAGTGTTATGTAATCCTTGTTTAGATGTGTATATTTTCATCATGAATGTGCAAATGATAAAAAATGATTCAACAAACTTTAATAAATTTTTTTGCCCTAACTGGTGGTCTAAAACAGTGGTAGTTTGTGGTGACGTCTTATTAGTTTCTTCCAGTTTAGGCGTGACTCTTCTCTTGCAAATGAACTAGTTCCATTTGCCATTCCCTCATACAACCTCATATTCCTTTTTTGAAATGAGGCGATGAAACGTGTTGGTATCGCTATTTCGTTGCGCGACAAACGGAACGCTGCGCATGCGCGCCGAGGGTTAATAGCTAGCTAGCTATGAGTAAAAAGCTGGTGAACAGAGCCGAGGACTGCGTGAGAGAGGCTCTAGAGGGACTGGTGGCCAGTCAGCCGGGGCTAGACTCCTCCAGGGCCACACGGTGGTCCTCAGAGCCGATGCTGAGTCTTTAGCCAGCCAGGGGAAGGTGGGTTGACTGCTCAGACATTGAACCTAGAAACCGAACCTTAGAATGCTTGCAGAACTCAGAAACCTTCTGGCTCTAGATGCTTCGGTTTATTAAGAGTCCTGATTGGTGAGGTGTTCTGGTTTTAGGATGGCCCAAAAAACAGCATTTAGTGCTGTTACAAGGAATAATTTCAAGACGATTTACTACAAACGGCTATTTCTTGCTTGTGTAGGTGACTTTGTTATCTGGAGGGGGAAGTGGGCACGAGCCAGCTCATGCAGGCTATGTGGGGTACGGGATGCTTACAGCTGCAGTGGCGGGTGCCGTATTTGCCTCTCCCCCACCTTCCGCCATCATCGATGCACTCAGAGCCATCCGCAGCCCGGCGGGTTCCCTCATGATTGTCAAGAACTACACGGGAGACCGGTTGAATTTCGGTATAGCTCTCGAGAGGGCAAAGGGCGAGGGGATGAAAGTGGAGATGGTGATAGTTGGAGACGACACGGCTCTGCCGAGTGAGGGGAAACTAGCTGGGAGGAGGGGCCTGTGCGGTGCCATTCTAGTCCACAAGGTCTGACTACAACTTATACTGTCAATTGACCGATTGTCTGTAGATTGCAGGGGCAGCTGCCGAGCAGGGGAAGAGTCTGGAAGAGGTTGCCGCCATTGCTCAGAGAGTGGCAGACAGTGTTGGTAGGTCACATACACACACCTCCAACAGTGCTCGTTCACAGTGAAATAAGTTTGTCTTGTTGTGTTCTGCAGCCACTATGAGTGTGAGTCTGTCGCCGTGCAGTGTGCCTGGACTCAAACCTTCATTCACACTCAGAGAGGACGAGATGGAACTGGGTTTAGGTAAGCTCTTCAGTGGACGAGAGCTGTCATATGTATATACTTACTGTGACATGTAGGTATTCATGGAGAAGCAGGAGCTGAAAGGACAAAGGTATAATGAAATGCAAAACGAGTCGACGGAGTGCAAGTTCTTTGTCAATGGAGAGTTTGTCACTTCGGGGAGAGACGATAGCAGAAAAACTTGCCAAGCAGAAAGCCTCAGAGCAAGTTTGTGGCGACTGGTTAAACAGCTATATAAGGAGACGGGAAGCCATGTTGTCGTACTAGCCAAGCATAGGAAAACAAATAATTTGTATCGATATTTAGAATGTGAGGGATAGCCAAAATTACAGTTTTGAGCCTTTTTTTTGAGTTTCATCTATTTTATGCTACATTCTATTTTTGTCGGGTTCTTGTGAGTGTAATTCGTGTAAAGTTTTATGTGTATATATATATAGTGCACATCAAACAATTTTTAATGAAAAAAAATCATAACATCCTTTTCTGTCTTTGTGCTCTCGGCAACGAATTGTGAGGCAACACAACGTCATCAACACTGGAAACACCTGTGAAAAGATAAGACCAAGGTGTACAGGTTTTATTCCTTTGTGAATTTTTTTTATATTATATGGCACAATCTTGTTTTGGTTCGTGCAATATCAATTCCTCTTGCATAGATCAAACAGAGCTAGCTAGGAGCAGGATTTGGCTATGAAAGAAGTACCATGTTCAATTATCCCGTTAACATAGGGCAAGGCAATGTGCAGGGAAGCACGAAAATGATTCTTACTTCCTTGTGTCCCCGTGATCCAAAGAGAGGGTGCAATGGGGCAAGGAAGGGCTGGCTTTTGGTAAGACAAGACTTCCAGCAAATTGACAAACGCAGCACAAACGAAGCAAATTTCACTGCAAACGACACTGCCACAGCAGAAACCAAACGGTAAATGGTGTCATGACCAAACGAACCGATAAAAACCTTTGTATATGCTGTGATACAACAAAAGAGATCGGACGACGGGCGCACGCTAGCAGTGTCCAACCTCCAACATTCTCGACAATAGGCGGTGTGTGCTGGATGAGTTTGCACACATTAGTAGTGCAGGTCAATACAACTATACACAGTCACCTTCAGAAGGCTGGAGGTCATAGATTCTGTCCCTAGGAACTGCTGCGGTCTAGGAGCACACGGACTGCATTCACCAGAGCCACTAGCTGCAACCAGGCCTACCCAGCATATCGCGAGCAGAGTCAGCAGCATGTCAGTCAGCAAGCTGTGCAGGAATCATGCAGAGCTGTGCGAGTACCGGTGGCCGGAGCTTACCGAGAAGAGACACAAACCCTCGCGAACTGCGCTATGCGCGATAGAAACCGCTAGTGTACGTGTACGTACGTACGTACGTACGACGTGTGTTAGACCAGCAGTTCCCTATAGTGCAGGAAAGTGCTGACTCATGCGGTTGGGGTTGACGGTTGCGGTGAGGCGACGCGCGACACATACATGACGCTGACGACTCCTAGAGAGATCCTCGTCGTCTGGGAGCCGATGTCATCATTACAAACACTTACGATGGCTTTGGCTTTGTGTTTACGGGTTGCACACTCAGCCACTCCTGTAAACCATTGTATATACTTATACACACTGCTTGCAAGACACTGGGACAGGACGGACCATTCCAGAGTGTTGCGAGGGGCTCCTCGGACTCTGCAAGACTCGCCATCAGCGGCATTTGCGTCTCATCGTCGGATTGGATCAGAGCTCCAGAGAAGAGCCATCATTTCCACTGTCCCCACACTAGCTCTCAATATGAAGTGCCTACCCCTCTACCTTCTCTTGCTCCCTCTTGCATTGAGTGATCACAACAGTGTAATATCATCACCGACACTAGCTATGATATCATCTGACTCCTCTCCCTCAGAGGGCAAGATATTTGTTGAGGCCACTTTCTCTGGTACAACAACTGCTGGACTCGTATCCTATGTCCCAGCGGTGTATGAAGGTGCTGCTTTTCACAGAGAAACTGCTCTGAGATTGTGTCACTCAGCAGCGCATCTGCTTCAAGGACTATGAATCCGTCAATAACATATCTGATGATTCTGTCAGTGGCACTGGTGCATCGTTGTGCTATTAGCCCGGGCAACTCTTTCCAAGCCAGTGGAGTACATTAGACTACTCCGAGCCACCTCTCGCATGAAAAAGAACAGAACATCCCAACGATGATAAGCAGCAAAAGTTCACTAGTGAGCTGAAATGAACTCAAGTGCATTTAGGTAAACATGATTATTTTCTCATTTCAGGGAAGACTTCAGTTGTTCATCAGAGTTGCAATAGGGATGCACATAGTGGAGTACTTTCAATTGGACTTTGAATTGAGTGTAAACGACCCTCCAATGAACCTAACACTCAACGGCAGCTTTTATGGCTCATACATGACCTTTGCCCTTCGTCTCACGCGGACCTGCTTGCCACTTTACTATGGAGACAACTGCAGCATCTACTGTAAACCAGAGGACAGTGATGGCGGCCACTACACATGTCTCAGTAATGGCACTAAACAGTGTCTTCCTGGCTACCAGAACACCAGTACTGACTGCACCACTTGTGTACCAGCCACAGGCTGCAGTGAGTTCCTTACCACCAAGTTGTATAAATAAGCCATCTAAGAGGAAAATGTCTCTCTCACAGACCCAGACTACGGCTATTGTAAGAATCCAGGTGACTGCGTTTGTATCAAAGGATACAAGGGGGAGAACTGCAGTGGTATGATTTTACTGCTCTGCTCTTGCTAAGAGAGCTGTGTATGTACACTGTTTGTATTACCTTAATGTGTGTGTGCCACAAGAACACAGAATGTATGAGAGTACCCGGCTAATAGGTCTTCTAATGACTTTTCCATTTCCAGTAATTGCCTACCTTATGAGGTCTAATTTTCAAAGAGGGAGAGAAACTACGTTCTCTGTATAAGGTCCTTCCTTTAGAGCTGGCCCGTTTTCAGCTTTGAAATGGAGGCCCCACCGACAGCTATACTGGAGCTGACATTGATACGAGGGAGGTAGAGCCACTAATGAATAACAATTACT